GGGCGTAGTGTATGTCGTCCGAGTACAAGGAGACCTATCACAGAGGTTCATGACAACTAAAGGGCTGCAACAAGGAGATACTCTTGTATGCCTCCTATTTAACCTGGCACTCAAAAAAGCTGTGAGGGATTCTGGCATCCAAACTACTGGTACGCTATTCAATAAGACAGTACAGCTACTTGCATATGCCGATGACATCGACATAATAGCCAGATTGATGAATGCTATGGAAAACGCGTTTGTCCTACTAGAAGCAGCAGCTGCAGGGTTAGGACTGGTCGTTAACGAAGTATAAACCAAGTATATGTCTATTGGAGGTAGTGCTACTGGCCGAGAACAACACCTGGAGATCGCGCTCTATAAGTTCCAGAGAGTTAATGAGTTTGCATATCTGGGTTCTCTAGTAAATAGAGAAAACAAAGGAAACCTAGAGATCAAGAGAAGAATAGTAGCAGCAAATAAGTGCTATTTTCGCTTAAATAAGCATTTCAAAACCAAACTCATCTCTCGCAGCACCAAGACACAGCTTTATAAAACACTCATTCGTCCGGTACTGATGTATGGCTCTGAAGCCTGGACCATGACGCAAGGAAACGAGCGAGCCCTAGTATTATTTGAGCGGAAGGTACTCCGCAGAATCTATTCAAGGAGCCGGATATCATAAGAATCATAAAGCTTGCAAGACTGCGATGGGCAGGGCATGTGGCGAGGATGCAAAATGATGAAATCCCCAAAAAAACTATGGAGAGCAATGAACAAGGCTCTAGGAAAGTAGGAAGACCACAGCTGCGATGGCAGGATTGTGTGTCAAGGGATGCACGTGCACTGCTTGCTGTACGTAACTGGAAAGTGGCTGCCCAGGATAGAGACGCCTGGCGGACACATCTTGAGGAGGCCGAGACTTTTCATGATTTGTAGTGCCGTGGAAGAAGAAGAAGAGTAAGTTCGATCAACAGTGATGAAAAAGATATTTGATCTTTTGAATGTATTTCAGAAACTAATTATGTGCTTTGGCAAATTTTTCTACTTATATACAAATTTATAAAACTAGATAAATTGTGTTAAAGGCTCTGTGTTTATTTATTAAACTATTTTTAACAACTTCCTATTAAGATGTATATTACAATATGTGTGAAAGCTATTATACCCAATGTTCTCATTGTGGCGAATAGTGAAAACAGATCAGATAAGATCTAAAAGATAAAATTTAATCGGCACCACCTACCAGATGCACTCGTCCCATTCCTATGCAGATATTCCCAGAGGCATCAACTAGAGCTGACTGGAGGGCCCTCTCAAATAAGTAAGATGTCTATAAAAGATACCAGCATAAAAGAGTGAGTTTATATTTTTACTCAATTCATATAACCTACCACTTCATCAACATAAAGTCCACTGCCAAAATAAGTTGAAAGTTGCCTTTGTTGAATTCATTAGAGTTATTTGCCTTTACTGTAATTAAATTTGGAAAGTTGCTTAAACAATAGGAGTATAAGTCAAGCAGAAGTTTTTTTTCTCCCTGCAATCCAGTGTTGAAGTCGTTTATATGGTCAAATTTGTCAATTCAGTATTAAATGTGTTGTTTTTAACTCTGCCAGAGAATGATTCCTTTCATTTAAGAACTGTTTGGTTTTTGTCTGTAGCTAAACAAAACTTTCCTGCAGCTAAGCCATCATACTGCAGTGTAATATGGTATCTAATTTCCTCCAATCTCTTCAATAAACTCGGGGAATTGACGATGGTGGAGAGTATGTAGTCTAATACGAGGGTGGTCTGAAAATTTTCTGACCTAAAAAAAATACAAGACATTTTTTCTGAATTTTTTTAACATAGTGTCCTTTTAACTCTACACACTTCTACTAGGGATGCTCCCATCTCTGTAACCTGTCCAAACAGTACTCGGCATTTTTCTCTGCAAAATAATTGTTCACGCAGGTGATTGCCTCTTCATTTGACAAAAATCTCTTTCCTCTGAGCGCAATTTTTAGATAAGAGAACAAAAAAAAGTCGCTTGGGTCTAGATCTGGCAAGTAAGGCGGATGGTAAAACAGTTCAAACCGTAATTCGTGGATTTTTGCTATGGCAACCTCTGAGGTGTGAGACGGTGTGTTGTCTTTGTGAAACAGGATTTTCTTTTTCTGCAAATGTCGCCGTTTTTCCGCAAGTTCTACCTTTAGCTTGTCAAGTAATTACACTTAGTATGCTCCTGCAAAGGTTTTTCCTATTTGAAGATAGTCAGTTAAAATAACTATCCAACAAAACAGTCACCATCACTTTCCCAGCCGAGAAAACAGTTTTTGCTTTTTTTTGGAGCCTTTTTCCCCTTTGCAGGCCACTGTTTGGACTGTATTTTTGTTTCAGGCGTATCCAAGTTTCATCTATAGTTATAAATCGGCGCCAAAACTCGGATTTATTGCACCAACTGAGCGTTGGAAATATACATTCGAACACATTTTTGGTCTAACATGAGCAAACGCGGCCCCTAACGTGCAGACAGCTTCCTCATATCTAAATGTTGATTTAATATGTAATAAACACATTCTTTTGACATGTTCATAACCTCTGCTATCTCTCTCACTTTAATTCAGTGGCCATCTAGCACCATTTGGTGAACTTTGGCGATGTTTTCGTCAGTAGTTGCAGTTTTTGGACATCCCGAACGTTCATTGTATCCCAAGCTCTTGCGTCCTCGTTTAAATTTAGCTGCCCAAAATTTCACTGTGGTAAATGATGGTATAGAGTCCCCATACACAGAATCCAACTTTTCTTTTATTTGCGTAGGCGTATTGCCTTTCAAAAACAAATTTAATGACTGCTAGATACTCGATTTTGTCCATTTTCACAAAAACACTCTCATCAACTTGATCAAACGACTGTTACATAAAAACTGTGCACCCAAAATGACTGAAACTTTGGTGGGTAACTGCCAACAGATGAACAACGAAATTCACTTGCTTTTATTTACGAGTGCTGCCAGATGGCGTGAAGATTCACGTTGGGGTTGGAAATTTTTCAGAACACCCTCATATAATTGACACCTCGTACAGCTGACATGACTGGCTTTAAAACTTCAAACATGTCCAAATACTTTCCGCACAAAGGCTGTTGAAGGATGATGCAATGTATAATTATTGGTTTCAAGTCATTTTCTACGGCCTTTGATACATAAGCGACGACACCTTTATTTTTTTCCACCATTTGTAGTAATAAACTTGAAGTTTTTCCACTGAAGATTATTTTTCTTGACTGTATGTTCTACACTTTTAAAAATATCTTCTCCGCTGTGGTCTTACATGTAGGCTGTGAACATCAAGCAGCTCTTCAAAAATTTCATAATTTTTATCAAACCCTCAAATAAAAATTAATACCTGAGCAGTATCTACAACATCTGTAGACTCATCCTGGGCCAAAGAGTACTATTCTTAAGTTTTTATTTTTCTCAGAAAATTGAGAAATTATATTTTCTGAAATGAAATCAACTCTTCGCGCCACCGTATTTACCGACAAACTTATGCTTTTAAATAAACTAATTTTTTGAGGGCACATTTCTTCTTCAGCTGCAATTCTTCATTAACTTGATGAGTTATAAGATACCAATCAGTACTATTTAGATAATGCTTTCTAAATAAGTAAAATGCGTTTAAATTTACTTTTAAGATACTTACTTTGAATTATAATTCTCTAAAACAAGTAATAACACTTTTGAGAAAATATACTTCAAAAACACACGTGCCTAACAAACTGTATTATAAACATCTCAGCGTATTTTTACTGCCAAAATATGATGCAAAACATAACTTTCCACAAGATGTCACAAGTAGTCAATAACAATAGTTAAAAAGCCTACAGGCCTAAGCATAAGGCATTTCCTCTGCAGTGACGTGTCTATGATATTTTTTCTCTAAGTACCAAGGAACCTGTGTCCATCTCAGTTTTATTAAGTTCAGGGGGAAAAAAAAATATGTATATGTATATCTGTTTTCACAAAATATCAAATGAAAAATCAATATGATTTCTAAATTATTTATACTGGAAACATCAATGTTTCTACGTGGATGTAGTGGTAATATCGACCTTAGACTTTAAATGTTATTAAATGTCTGTTTCGATATTTTTTTGTCATGACATCATGTGGCCTGCGGGATTTACTGGAAGTGTCAATGTGGCCTGCAGAGAAAAAGTTTGGAGACCCCTGGTCTACTCTATGTGATAGTATTAATAGAGAATCTTGATTCACATCCTTTTGGTATTTCTGGTAGATAGGATAGTTCTCTAGACATACTTCATTTATACATTCAAGACAGTCTGTTCTATATTCCATTATCCTGATTAAAAATATATACTCATTCAACAATGGTTGGATTAACAATCTTCATTCTGGCTTACTAGTTTTCTTTTTAGAGATAATTTAATTTCGAATAAGGATTAGAACTGAATTAATTTTTCATCAGTCAGCAGTACTCTTATCTCTAGGCCAGCCTGCTCCTCATGTTCATTATTTGTTTTATTTTACATTAAATATTTAATGTTATTTGTAAATAGGTGTGTGTATATATATGAATCAACAAATTTATTTATATATGTATATATATATATTGATTGGCACTGGTTTTCTGTTTGTTTTTTTCAATGATAGTGGGGGCTTCAATAATAAAGGTGCCTATGCATCCTATTTCTTTGATTCCCTCCTGGTTTAATTAATATTTATTTTGTACCGATTCATTCATAAGAAAAAACCATAAGGTCTGGCCACCTGTAGGAGGTAGATGTCAAGGGTTGGAAGAACAACCAGCCGCTATATTTGTCAAATCTTATTTGTTTTTAATATCATTACTAATACGATTTTACTGATATAAAATTGAACAGTCAGATATTTTTATGTCAAATAACATTATAAATATGAATCTTTACCTACTTCCAACTTGAAATATTTATTAATGTATGTTGAACTTGAAAATATTGCTGAATCTAAGTAGTATATTTTATTATTATTATTGCAGATGTCTTGTCAAGCCTATCAAGCGTGCCAACCATTGGGTCATCAGATGTTAGTAGTTCTACTGCCACTCCAGACTCTAGTCTCCTGCCCACCCAACCCCAAACAGGGTAAAATTGCTTTTCAATTACGCTTTAGTTTTATAACATATAAAATATGGTTTACCATTGTCGAGGTATATGTGCAAAGTATGCAGTTACCAGAAGGCCTCGACAGAGCGTTGTTAAATTTAGGGGTAAGATGACTAAGTGGATGGAGGAAGATGAGTAGAAGGATGACCTTAAACGTTAGGCGGATCAGCACACAAATCACTCTTGGTCTGCGGTGTAAGGGATCAACCTTAGCATTCCGCAGGGGCGGTATCCATAAATGAAGCGATCAATCTCCGGACTTAGTATGTAGGAATGGATGGATGGATTAACATCCAGACTTGTATAGAGTGAGAGAAGAGGATGAAAGGTTTTTTGGACATAGTGAAATAATAGGAAGATAGTTGAGAACAAAAAGCTTATATGAGACAAATACTGGTCATCTGCTTATAAGGTCTAAACCCCAAAGGGTGGAGACTCAAGTCAAGAACCTGATGACTTCATCAAAGGACTGCGGTAATGGGCACTGCTAGGTAGTGGACAGGTAAACTGTTCCTTGAAGCAAGTGGCGGGTGAGAATCTGCCGTCATACCATGTACTCTAGATTTTATTTTTATTTATTTTTTTGTCAGTCTTCTATGGAACCAAATCATTTACAAACTAAGATATGAAAGTATAATGGGTTTTTATAAACTTGTAACTAATTATTTTCTGATCATAGTAGTAGATTCCAATAATTCTGTCCTTAAGCAATATTAAAACAAATAAAATAATTATTAAATTACAAATTTTTATTATTTTACTAATTACAACAATAGAAGGATATATTTCTACTGGTTGATGCAAAGTGGATAGAACAACTACAAAAATAATGTTGAAAAACTGCATACCGACTTGCAAAGTTAAGAACTAGATCTAAATCCATGAATAACCAAAGACACGGGGCCCTGTTAAAAAGGGTTTTTAAGAATGAGATGCTGCCAATGTACTCAGATTTTTAAATTAAGAACTATATTGTATTAATGTATGTATGCACTATTCTGGAAGGATTGGCAGAACTAACATGACACAGATCATGCAATGGAGTTAACTGTTACACTGACAAATCCCTAACAAAACACGAAGAGAATTGGCAAACCCATATTTTCCCACAAGATTTCCATGCCTTAAGATATTCATACCTCAATATTTCAGGCTGAAGTACAAGTAATTAATGACTGTGTCCAATCTCTAAAAGGAGTAAGGAGCTGGTGAATCTCAATATTTACGGGTAGTATTACAGTACTATTAGTACCCTAAGTGGTTATGCAATCCACTCTAAGTGACTTAAATATTCTTGCCAGAACTAGCAAGGGTTGATTCTCGAAGGATACAGAAATTTCACGTAATGAGAAGGTGGATAGTCATACTAGGAATGACTCAGAACAGTACCCTTACAATCAGAGTCGACCTATGGTTTCAGCTTCAGCTATGCCAAGACATTAAGGTAGCTGTTGGTTATAAGACTGAGCTCTGTTGGGACAACATCAGGAAGCTGACATTCCATGTTATTGTAACTGAACAAACACTTCTGTTGTCATTGGCGTACCAAACTGCAGATTCTACAGAATGGAGTATGAAACTGCCTATCACAGATGTAAATGTATACAGATGTATGTTTGATGAGCGCATGTAATTAATATCAGATGACATGATTAGGTCTGAGAGCAATTGAAACCTTAGAGAGCAAATCATGGCTAATTATGTCCCACCCCCATCTTTATCGCCCCATCATCCCAAAGAAATATCTTTCCAAAAGAAAACTGTTACATTTGAACAAAAAAACAATCTGGTGCACACATCATACAACTTTCACTTACCACTCTCTTCTTAGCAGAAATAAGTATTTTCAGACAAAGGATAAGGGAAAGTAAAAATTATAGCCGCTATATTTATTTATATTTCATTGTGGGTATTTTTATTTGTATAAGTACTCCTATATATACAATTTTTAATATTTATATCGCTGTAATCTATTCTTTTAAATATTAAATAATACCAACAATAGCATCTATGAAAAACACATATATATATTTATATAATATTGTCGGAGTCTGTATTATATTAAGCTCATGTTACGAATAAAAGTGTGTTCTAATCTTTCGGGAGAGCTCGGTTGCGCTCATATTCCTTAGGTTCCTTAATTACAACTATTCTCTGTTACAATCTCTTAGTTAATTATCAAATTCTTTCATATTTTATATTTAACTATTTATTATATTAGAGATTAATGTGAAGTGGTAAATTGTTACAAATAAGAAAAATTAAAGTTACTTTAGGGGAAGCTAATATTGAAAATTAGACATTTAAGCCCTGTTAGAGAACATCAATCATAATAAAAACTACATTTTATTTAAACTGCTTAATTTTACAGTGATATGAGTAATTCATTTGATAAACCATTTGAGCCGTTTTCGAGAAAATAGTAAAAATATTTTAAGTCCATTATATAAAGTGCCACTTAGGACGATTTTGAAAAAGTTGCTGTAACATCAGTCTCAGAAAAAAATTATTTTTCATTTCATCAACATCCGCAGCATATAAAAACCTTGAATATGCAATTTCACTTTTATACAACTTTTCGTTTCTAAGCTAGACTATTAACAAACACATACACACACAGACCATTTTGCGGGACCTGTTTATTTGTACTCAGAGGAAAACATGTATTTCCGTTGAAAACAAAGATTCAAAAATTTTTACAATCGCAATACTTCCCTTTACTATATATTTCATATATAGGTAAGTGAAAGTTAAAATATTGATTGAAAAATTGTGTATCCTATCCAATGTGTAAAATGTTTGTTAACTGATAATTTTTAATTTAATGCATAATCCTGTTGTATAACTTACTGTAATATAGCTGACATTTATATCATTTTAAAAATGCCACTTTGTCAGCACAGTTTTTGTTTTGATTACTTCCCAATATCACAACCTATAGTAAAGACTTAAATTTTTTTTTTCCAAATTAATTTTTGCTTTTAACTGGAAGCATGGTATAATGTTGGAGTTTCTGTCTTTCTACTTTCAGATTATTTTCTACTTTTTGTCCGTCCTTTGAAAAGAACTATTTGCAGAAGTGTTAAACTAATTTTGACATTTATTTTTAGGAGAAAGAAGCCTGCTCAGCTTCAGGTTGTTAGTGTCCAGTCGACAAGTATTCCACCAAAAGAAACTGTAACATACACCAAACAAACTCAGACTACACACACCAGCAATGAACGTGATGGTATGCAATGACAGTTTTTCTTTTGTGTAAATAAAAATTATGGTTTTAAGTATGGCATTCAGACACTATTAAATCAACTAAATTCATTTCATTTCTCCATCACTAATCATTATGAACATTTTCTAACATTTCAATACTGCATGCAGATTACTACTACAATTAAAGTACTTTTATGGCTTGGTTGGTCAGTGCTTGCTTTTTTTTTCTTTTTTTTTTTTCTGCTGTTTTATTCAACTTAAAATTTTATCCTTTGAAGTAATTTATATTAATCACATCAGTTTTATTTAAGTTGAATAAAAGCTTGTTAACATGGTTATTATTTCTGGGCCTTTTTGTATCACACCTTAAACAATATTATAGAATCTAATTTCTAATGTTCTTCATGTATCCTAGTATCCTATCTTATCTTTTATGATGTCATTAATGTTTCATATTTTTCAAAGGAAGCCCTTTTTCAAAACAAGTCTTCGCCTCTCTTACATTCGCCTTTAATAGTGATATTAAATTGTCTATATTCTATTCTAAATGTATGTTTTGTTTCCTATTGATTTGAGTCTCACTCAAGGGTCTGATTCATCTTCCCCTCTGAAAGGATACTGTGAGGATTGGTTTCGTCCGAGAAAAGGTGCGTTTTAAGGAAATCCATTAGTTTTAATATTCTTATTATTGTAGTAAAGGGGTCTCATATTTTATATTCATATATTTTAACCTAAATGTGATTACTAAATTTCTCTGTATTACTCTTTAGCAATAATATAAATGTAAAATATCCATTTTCAAAATTTGAGTACAATGCTCCTGATTTAAACCATATATATTTTCTACCGTTATTTTTTCTCTCCCTATATAAGTTACTTACATAAACATTCATAAGGTCAAAAAAAAAAATAGGTAATTTTTCAGAATTGGTAGGTATTATTTGATCACAATTTGTTTATTAGTGTCTGTTTTTATGAAAGAAAGTGAGGTTTTCGAAAATTATGATGTTATGTCTCTTTTAGCTGTTTCTTTGACTTTAAGATATCTGTCAGCGGCTTAAAACCTCCAGTTCCTTCATCGTCTTTTTTTTTTTTTTTTGTTTATTTGTGTTTTATTCAATTTTTTTCTGATTTTTCAATTATTTGTTTGAATCACTTGTGGTTTAATATAAAATATGTTGTAGCACCTTGCTGTTTGGGTATATGGTGAATCAATTGATATCCAACCTATTCTGAACATTTTCTTCATCAATTAAATACATGCCTTCTACAAATGTTGATACCTCCACATTTAATCTTGCCATGTGCAGTGTCTCTGTTGTTGGTTAATTTTTGTCTGTTAGTCTTTTTCTTCTTCATATACATTATGTTTGGAAGCCTGAAACATTGTTTTATTGATATTGCCTGTTCCTTTATTAAGAAATCAATTTTACTTTAATTAACATGTTATTTAATTAATTTTGATTCAAAGTAAAAGATTATTTTTAATCAGTTGGGTGGAGTTTCTCAAAGTTATGCTAACTAATCTTAAGGTGATTCATCAATAACTTTAATATAAGCAGCTCAGTTGACTACAGATACATCGAAACTTACAGCCACAGCCTTGGTCTTAATAAAATCATGGTATTAAAAAGGTTTTTAAGAACATTGTGTCTTGTTAGTAAAGTAATGACATAGCTTTTAAGTTAATTTTTATGAGTTGATGTATGGTACAGATTATCTCTTTTTACTTAATGATTAATTGGTGATTTGGGAGAAAATAAAGTATAGGTATTTTAATGAACTTACTTTTCTGAATCTTGATAGACTCTGTCTAAGAAAAGTTTGAGGGTGGGTAGGAGGGAAGAGAGATGCGCTGTGTCAAAACATTTTCCCGCCTATCTCCCACTCTTTTGTCTTCTCTATTCATTCATACATACTTATAAATTTCTGTTTACAAGTAGAAATTTCTTTTCTCATTTTTTCCATTTAATTTCCTATTTCCTGCATTGATTCGCAGAAAGATCGGCTGTTTAAATACTTTGATACTGATTCATTTGATTCGAACTAATACAGTAAAGTCTAAAATTATACATAATGTAGACAATTTTCCTCCTTTTTTACATTCAGTAGTAAAAGAAAAAGGCTCCTCCCCGTTATTGAATATCCAATTACATAGTATCGGATTCTTTTCTGTTCTATATTTTCCATCTATTTCTATTTTTTTTTTTTTTACGGTCTATTTTTTGATAAATTTAGATCTACAGATCCTAGTAATAACACCGGGTTCTGTGAAAATTAGACCTCGTGAATTCATATATATTTTTTTCTCAATTTAATTATTTAACCATCCTTTTCATTGTTTTATTTTATATTTTAATTAAAATCTTTACGTTTAATAAACATTTGTGTTAAATTTGAAGAAAATGGAATAACGCTTTCTCAGTATAAGGTGGTTGCTATGGTGAAGAGGCGAAGTGGAGCTGGAGAGTGGTCTTGGGGAGGTGGAACTTGAATGGGGAAAGCTGTGTGAGCTTACTTTCCATAGACTTAAACTTAACTAAGATACACTATACCTAAAACCTGGTCATCAATTTTGTTTAACTTGTTAATAAGCGATATTAAGGAGCTTGTTCACTGTGGTGGTTAAAAGATTGTAATCAGATCCTTATAGGAAAAGTTTCCCCCTTCTTTTTTTTTTCTACTCAAATAAAACAAAAACAGAAATTGTTGAATAAATTTCTGTTTCATATGTATGATATCTGTTTTATATTCCAACCAATATACTAAAACAGATCAATTAAGTTTCATTAAAAGTAATGATTTAAGTTTTAAAATTAAATTAATAATAATACCTCATCAAAATTTTGATATTATAAACTTGAGTAGTAATAAAGAGATTTCAGAGGTTCAAGTGTATTTTTATAATTATATAAAATTGATGGGTGAAATTTAGACAGTTTCTGAAATCTGTTAAGTATCTGTTACATATTTATGAGTAGATTGAGCAGTGTTTTACTTTACCTTATTATGTTTTTATTAATAGTGATTTAAGTTCAATTTAAATCATTTGTTTTAATGTCATTACTTTTAATATAAACGAATGGGACCCCTCTACTGCTATGTTTTTTTTTTTCTTTGTTTTACTTCATATTTTGTATTGACTCTGAAAGATTATTTATTTTTATTATTAGCCCGTTTAAAATTTACAAGAAAGTTATTTGAAGAATTACTGCCTTTCCTTTTTTTTTTTTTTTTTTAATTTTAGTATATATTGTAGAATCTGTTGTCACTAATCTATAATTGTGGGTTTAAAATGTCACTCATATTTTTTAGTGGAATATTTTCATAAATAATAAAATATTAATAGTTCCTAATCATTCATAATTTGCACCCTCATGATTAACTTTGCATCATGATATTTTGTTATCAAAGTTGTTTTAATTTAATAACAGATGGTGTTTGTTGGGTTTGGTGGTTTTGGTTCACATTTTTAACTCTTGTTTTAGTTAAAATATATTAATTTTTTTTAAATGTAATCTATATCATAATTAGTTATGTTAGATAACATTTTGTTGCATTGGATGTTTTAATAATAAAAAAAAAATCATGTTTCTTTTAGGTTTTGTGATATATTCTATATCTTATTAAATTATATGGACTGGATTATATTTTTTTTTGCACTTCATGGAAAGAAAAAGAATTGTATCATTTTTCTTTCATTTGAATATATCAAAGGTGTGTGTGTATTTTAAGATATTTGTAAATTTTAATTTAAAAAATCTTTACTGTTAATTATAGATTTTTCTATTGTTAGTTTTCATTATTTTTTTAATTAATGAATTTTGTTTGCAACAAAATATAAATTATAGAAAAATATTATCGGTTTGATGTTTTATTGTTGAAATTAGAATTAATTGAATTCTTAATATATTCAAACCAAATAAGAAAAAAATGATTCAATTTTATTAAAATTTAATATTCAATAATTCATTAAACATAAAAATGATATTATAAATTACAAAAATAAAATGAAACTTCTAATTCATTTTGTCCCATCAATGGTGTTTGGTTGGTGTTTTTCTAGTTATGATTTATAAATTTCTCCATTTTTCCTAGTTCTTTTTAACTTATATATCTGTTGTCCAGCCCTGGAAATTCTTCAATAGAATACTGCCATGTTTACCGTGTTCAGTTTTTTTATAATATTAATTTTTTTCAAGTTAATTAGTTGTCTCCAGTGTGCTATCGCAGGTCTGACTTAAGGTAAATAATTCACGGTAAGTATATCTTTAGAAGCACCCTGCCTCATTGCTATAAAAATCTTTATTACTTGTTTAATTTTTTTTATTTTAGTTTTGTGTTCATGATTTTAATATTGAGAGGAGGATGTGAGGATATTCTAAGTTCATTGTATATTGTTTGGTTGAATAAGTAACCAAGTGGAATTCTGAGTTCCACTTTTGAAGAATAAGATCTTTAAAAGTCTCATATTTAATTCTACAAAAAATACAAATAATTCTAGTGTGGACTTAAATTTTAGGATTTGCCTAACAGGTTCCTTATAAATTTTACCAAGAACTTGTAAGACTTAACCTAATAGTACTATGATGTATCAATGTTTTCTAGTTTAGTGTTAAGGTTAATAGTATTATATTATTTTTACTTATTATAACTAATTAAAGATGGTCGGTCTTGTGTTTGTTAGTCAATATACATACCTGATATCATTGAAAGTCTTATCTTTTTGTAATTTCATCTCTGTGAATGAAAATGTTGTAATAACAGTTTATTACATTTAAAGTCCAGTTCATATAATTTTTCTTACAGTTTTTAGTAAATGTAATGTTATGTTAACAATACCTCTGTTTGCTAACAGTCATGATTGATTAATCTGTGGTTTTGTTTTTGTTTCCTTTCTGTGTATATGTTGATGGAACTTCGGACTGCAGCCCAGGCATTCGGTTACTACGGTAAGTTTGTCATTCCCCTTGTATGTTTTGTTAATTATATTTAGCACAAGGTAACTGCCTGAATTTTGTTTGTAGTTATACTTTGTTTTCATTTGAAAGTTGTCTTATGCAGTTGTTTCTTGATTAAAGTTTCTTTGTTCAATTATTAAAATTAACAGTTATGAAATTCGGGTGCTTAAATACACATGCGCATGTTTGTGATCAGAGAATTTAATTTGTTTAAATATAGTGTAGTGAGTTGAATTTTTTTTATTTTTTTTTCTGGGAAGTTGTTTATTTATTTTAGTTATTTGGCAATAATAACTTCCAATTGGTAACAATTGAGTATATTTCTATTATCAACGTTACATGTTAACAAGTTAGTTGACGTTTTGGGATATTTGTTCCCATCTTCAGTACTGCCCTCGCGCGGGCTCATTACCGCGTATGGGGAGCGTCCCACGGGTGGCGGATGTGGGGATGGTCGGTGGAAATTCCTTGGAAGTTCCTCCCGGCTAAGTCCGATGGACTCGCTGACCAACAATGAGAGGGGCCCTCCAGACTTGCTGGAGGGAGGGGACCTCCAGACTTGCTGGAGGTAGGGGCCCACCAGACTTGCTGGAGGGTGTGACGTAGGATTGAACGCCCTACTCACATATCTTTAGTTCACCAAACACCACAAAAAGTCATGGATCTCCCTAAGGTAAAACGCTCATTATCCGGAGGTAAACTAGTCCCCCGTTCGGGTCTCCGGGTGGGGACTGCTTTAGGGGATTCATGGTGCAAGTTGAAATATAGGGATTTAAATATTGGTACGTGGAACGTAAGGAGTTTAAACACAGCAGGGGGGCTAAAATCGGTCGCGAATGAGGTAAATGGGTACAATTTGGATGTCGTGGCTCTGCAAGAGGTTCGCTGGCCAGGGGAGGGCTCGATGAGGGAAGGAAAGTACACTATTTGGTACGGAGGAAGCGGGAATCACTGTTTAGGTACCGGGTTTCTAATTAGGAGTAGATTACTATCCGCTTTGAGCGACGTACAATTCTTTAGTGATAGAATTTCGGTAGCTACATTTCAGGGACGTTGGTTTAAAATCGCATTAATAAACATACATTGTCCGACCGAAGACAGTGACGATGAAGTCAAAAGTGAATTTTACGATAAACTCGAATGGGTTTATGATAAACTACCGCGAAACTACATGAAAATAATTGTAGGTGACGCGAACGCAAAGGTTGGAAGGGAAGAAGTTTATATTCCGACGATTGGTAAAGAAAGTTTGCACGAATATAGTAATGATAATGGAATCCGTCTGATAAACTTTGCCATCTCGAAAAACCTGATAATTAAAAGTACGACGTTTAAACATAAGGATATTCATAAATATACTTGGACATCACCGGATTCGCAAACACGAAATCAAATCGATCATGTCTTGATACAACACAGCTGGCAAAGCAGTATAATCAATGTACGGTCTTATCGCGGAGCAGAATGTGGGTCGGATCATGAATTAGTAATCGCGAAACTTCGACAAAAACTTAATATAAAAAAGAGAAAAGAAAACCGGTTCGATTTTGAGAATTTTAATTTGGAAAAATTAAAAAATCCATCCATTAGAACCCAATTCGAGCTAGATGTTAAGAATAGGTTTGAAGCTTTAGAGCTTCCTGACGAGGAACACGAGGATATTGACAAGTTATGGGTAGAGATCAGGGATAATATTAAAGCGGTCGGTAACTCGTGTCTAGGAAAAAAGGAAAATAAGAATAACAAACCGTGGTTTGATGAAGATTGCTTAAACATGTGCGAAAAAAGAAAAGCCGCTAAATTAAAAGCTCTAAATAATCCTAGCGAAGACAATCTGGAATACTTCCGAATCTCAAAGAACGAAACGACAAAATTGCTCAAAAATAAAAAAAGGGAGTATCTTAAAAATAAAATAATTGAAATAGAAACTAATAGAATCGAAAATAAAGTAAGAGACATGTACAAAGGTATAAACAGATCACGTAAATATGTAGGGCCCGTAACGTCTGGAATTAGGGATGATAATAACAATATTCTGACCGATCCGGTTGACATATTGAATAAGTTTAAGGACCACTTTGACAATATTTTAAATACGGGAAATTATGATCTGTGTCCTCCTTCTGAGTACCAGAGTGCTGAACCGTTAATAGAAGGACCAAGTAAAGAGGAAGTTGAAGTAGCTATCGGAAAATTAAAATCATATAAAGCAGCGGGAACCGATAATATTCCTACTGAACTAATTAAGGCATGCGGGGAAGCTGGAGTTTCTAAAATACATCGGTTGGTTAAAAAGATCTGGGTGAACGAGAAATTACCTGAAGAATGGAAAGAATCTATTCTTATTCCGATTCACAAAAAGGGTCCGAGGACGGATTGTAATAACTATCGAGGAATTTCACTCCTTCCGGTATGTTATAAAATATTCACTTTAATCTTAACCAGTCGAATCACGGAATACGCCGAGGAAATTATCGGAGAATACCAATGCGGATTTAGACGGAATCGTTCGACTATTGATCAAATATTTTCTTTACGGCAAATATTAGAGAAAAAATTGGAGTATAACGGTATTGTTCACCAGCTGTATATAGATTTTAAAAAGGCTTACGATTCTATTGACCGCCAGAAACTGTATAATATTCTAATCGAGCAGGGGATTCCAAAAAAACTAGTAAATCTAGTTAGGATGTGCTTGACGGAGACACTCAATAAAGTTAGAATCGGTAATAATTTGTCCGAAAAATTTGAGGTTCGTTCGGGCTTAAAACAGGGGGATTCTCTTTCGCCTGTACTGTTCAATTTGGCATTAGAACATGCCATTAGGGAGGTAATGCGAACCGAGAAAGGGTTGGATCTGGGCGGGACAACATCCGTGCTGGGCTATGCTGATGATCTGGTACTGTTAAGCGAAGACGTTGAAACTATAAAACTAAATACGACAACGTTAATGAAAGCCGGTAAAGAACTAGGACTCGAAATAAACGTGGATAAAACAAAATATATGGTTAGCTGCAAAAATGGCGATACTACTGGTGATATCGATATAGATGGTAATATGTTTGAACAGGTAGATAAATTTAGGTATCTAGGTTCTACGATAACTAGAAAGAACGAAATTGAAGAGGAGATTAAGGTTAGACTGAAGGCGGGAAATGCTTGTTATTTTTCTGTGACAAAACTACTTAGTTCGCGCCTCTTGTCCCGGAACTTAAAAATTAGAATCTATAAAACAATTATCTTGCCTACAGTTCTTTATGGATGCGAAACTTGGCCGCTTACATTAAGGGATGAGCAGCGTCTTAAGGTTTTTGAAAATAAAATATTGCGTAGAATATTCGGACCGAAGAAGGATGAGTTAACCGGAGAGTTCAGACGGTTACACAACGCCGAATTGCGTGAGCTGTATCTGGGTAATATAATTGAGGTAATTTCATCGCGGCGAATCAAATGGGCTTGTAAAGTTGTTGGGCTTAGTAACGAGAGAATTCCTAAAAGGTTAATATTTGCTGTGCCGAATGGTAAGCGTCCGAGGGGTAGACCGAAGCGAAGGTGGGAAGATTGCATCAAAGCCGATCTGAAGGGACTGGGTTTGGACGGCGAACGGTGGAGGGAGGTGTGTAACAAGCGATTGGTGGTGTCGGCATCGAACCTTCGGGTTCGCTAAGCCTTATTATTATTATTATTATTATTATTATTATCTTCAGTACTGCAATCCCAATACTCTTGTGGATGCAAGGCTTAAATTTAATAATAATGTGCTCCATCGTCAAATTTCTAATTCATGTTCTAAAATGTATCATCTAGAGCAACATGAAAAAAGCCGGATGTTGCTCTAGATGATACATTTTAGAACATGAATTAGAAATTTGACGATGGAGCACATTATTATTAAATTTAAGCCTTGCATCCACAAGAGTATTGGGATTGCAGTACCGAAGATGGTAATAAATATACTCAATTGTTACCATTTGGAAGTTATTATTGCCAAATAACTTTTTCTTTTTTTTTATATATATAGTTTTCTTATATTATTAATTGAAGATATAAACAATCTGTAATATAGATACATTATTTTGATGTTTGTCATCAGAACTTTAGATTTAGAATTCTTGAGTTTATATTAATATTAATAAAAAAAAAGATAGTTTATTAAAAAAACAAATTAAACTTTAAAATTAATATTTTAAGTTTCAACAAAAATGATGTTACACAGCCAATTATTTTTGTTAGATATCCATTTAACAATATTATAGAGTTTTAATTTATTGTTTCATAACACTCAAGAAAGTTATCTTTTATTACTGCAACCAACCAAATTTTTGACCCATAAAAATCATTTCAACTGTTTATCAGGATTTTGAGGTTGTGTTATGGTTTCCTGCTGACCATAAACATGTTTGTGTGTTATTTATGTCAATATAATTAAGCAGTTCATAATTTAATATTATAATTAACTAATGAACAGTATTTATTTAAAATTATCCGTCTTATTTTAATCAACATGAAGTTTTAGGTTTATGTTGGCAATTTTCAAATCTACACATATAGATAGAATTAAATTATCTCATTAAGAATACTGACTTATGTACTTTTTTTTTTATTATTTCTTATTATGTCTTGTTATCTATTATTTAAAAATGGAGTATTTTAAATTAAAGTAGGAAGTATATTCTAATCTTCCAAATCCTTAGTGTTATTATTTAAATAAAATATGCTATAATTTATATTTGTGGATTTCATTATAGCCAATAAATGATCGAATTATTATTTTCTCGGGAAATATTAACAAATTCGGGTTTGATTGTTCATGCTGATAATAATCTTATTAAATTAATTTACATATGTTAATTAGAAGAATGTAAAAAAGAATTTAAGAGCCTCATCAAATTTATTATTTAAAAAATGAACAGTTAATATACAATAGTAATTAGTATAACCATTTCATAATTTAAGTGTGTCTCATTATGTCCCATCTTCCATGAGAGATTCTATTAAAATTAACTAAAGTCACTTTTGTTCACTTCTAACCATCTGTATTAGTCTCTGATTACTTTAGAGTAATGAAATTTAGTCTACAGATCGACACCATCATAACTTTTAAGTTATTTTAATACGCAACATGCAGCATATGTTAAAACTTATGTATTTGTTTGTTTCATTTTTTAAATGAGCTATATGCTAAATTCAAAATAGAAAATATCCTGAGTTTATTGAAAAAATTCTTAAGTAACATTCTGTAATATTAAATTGCTAAATACTATGATGAATTTTCCCTCTGTGAAATCAGGACATCGTGCACTTATCAGAACAGTGTACCTATATAAGGTTTATAAAATGGTTTGTGTCATTTTGATGCACTTATGACGTTTTTGTACCTGTAAATGAGGTCACAAATCATAACTAAAACTTAACCTACATCAAAATTGCATTTAGTGACCTTTTTATATAAGTTAATTTTCTAAGATGTTTTTTTATGAATTTATACTTTATTTATCGATACAAAAACACTACAAGGGCATTAAAATGAAACCCTTTTATACATTAAATATAGTTACAACAAACACACAATGTTCTGATTCCATGAAGGAAAGATTGTTCCCAGTTCTTAATTAGTTAAGGTTATGAAATGATTTTTCGCAGTAAACTGACGATATATTCCATTTAGCATACAGTTTATTTAAAAAATAAAACACTTTTTTTAATCCAAATATATTAGTCTATTAATGAGTAATTTAAGCTCAGTTGTTTATTTTAAAGACTTGATTTAGTTATTATTCCATTTTAACTTCAGTTAAAAAAGTCCCTCCCCCAAAAGATTAAGATCTGTATGCTTTCATTTCAGACAGATTCTAAATTTAATCTGATGTTAAGAAATCAATTTATTAATTACGTAATTAACCATAAAAATTGCTTGTTGCTTCCGCTTTTTGAATAGGGATAAGGTTTCTTACTCACTTAATTGTGAAACACTCAATAAAAGAAAGTTGGAAATTTCAGAATCAATTATATGCGTATTTGTTGATGCCTTCATTAATTTTTATTCTAAGATAATTATTTATTACTAAAATGATTATGAAATTATTAACTAAAAGTCTACAATATAATATACTTTATCAACGAAAGTAAATTATTGGATATAAATTTTTTTTTTTTGTTTTGTAGAAATGTGAATATTTATTATTATTGAGATCATTGTTTTATTAAAATTACAATCTGATTTTCTTTGCTTTAATATTTTCCTATAAATTAATTTGTTTACAACATGTTTGTAAGAGACCAATTTTTTAACTTAGGAACTGTTTTAATCAATTGTTTATTGAAAACAAATACTGACAACTATCTTGTGCTAAGTAACTTAAATGTTACATTTATTTACTTCTTTTGATACTTACCTACTAATAAATAGGCATGGTTTCTTCACTGTGCTTCCATTCTTTGTTTAATTTCTCCTTTTTTTAAATGCTGTTGTAATGTTTTGTGGCATAGAGAAATATTGCGTATGTTATAGTTGTTCTTAATTTCTTTTCTTTTTTTTTTATTCATGACATATGTGTTTTCAACTTGTAGTTACTCACTATTCAGAGTAATTATATGTTAAAGTATTCATTAGCCCTCATTCATTTTTTTAATTTTAATCGTTTATACAAATATAAGTGTTTTAGCCTGTTTTGTTTTTGTATTCACTTTGAACCTTATGTAGTTACTTGTTTGAAATATGAAAATAAATACAAATTAACGCACCCTCATGTATTTCTATTTTTATTTTTTATTTTTTTTTTTTTCTTCTCTAAGCTGGTCTTTCAGTATATTAAGTTGTTTGCTTTGCCTAGATTGCATTATTATTTGCTTTTTATTTATTTATGTTTTTCTGATCATTTAATTTATTGATTTATCATAAATCACTTCTTTGAGCTCTTAATGGATCAAAATTTTTAAAAAATGATTATCTAATTTTGAAATTCCCAAAGTTGGTTTTTAATTGAGTAAAACATTCTTTTATTTGTATTGAAGTTCTTTTTGTCCATATATTTTTGTAAATTATCAGAAAAAAATTGATTATGATCTGTCGCATGTATTATTAAAATAATACATTTGACTCTCTGCATTCCAAAACAAATGAATATATTATTTGAGCATGCGTAGTCTAGTTGCGTAAAATTAATACTTTTTTAAATTAGAAAGTGTGAATGTAAAAACAGCTCTGTAGGATTAAAAATGGTTTTTGTTTATTGAAAATTATTATCTGTTTCTATTTTTATAACATCATAAAATCATATGCATACGTTAACCTTAAATATCTTATTTTTAAATCTAGACAGTAATTCTTCATAGCCCTTGTTATTTTAAAAAGATTTTTAGTCTCTCAATAGATACGCAATTTTGCATGAACCCAATCTATATTGCTAATGACAACTAAAATGGTTCTTTTAATTTATACAAGTTATTTATTAACATTTAATTACATTATTAATAAATATTACAGAGATGTTTGCATACAGAATTTGGATAGAACCTAATGCTTTAGTGTCTTGGGTTGTACTAATAATTTTTTATCAAACTTAAAACATTTGTTTTATGTCGATGGTATGAATGAAAAGAAAATATAAAAACCTGCAGACTTATGTATACTTTTGCCAATCATTGGCTGACATATTTTAATAAAACAATTTTCTTTTAGTTAAATTCTATCTTATTTTTTCTTTATGCAGACATTTCTTATATTTGTATGCTCCATTTTTTTATTTTTGGTGTATGGTGTTGTTGATTATCCACGACAGTTGGTGATTGTTCTCTTTTTTTTTTCTCTTTCAAGACGAGTACAATCTAAATCCTGGTTTAGAATGGGAAGACGAATTTACAGGTAAGGGATCATTTAAGAGGATGCGTTAATTTGTTTTACCTTACTTGAACTGTATATTTTCAGACATTTAAAAGTACTTAATTCCAAAACTAATGTTTATTAATGAATACATAAAATTTAATGTTTATTATATTAAAATAACCAAAATCACATTATAGTTAAATTTAATTTATTTTATTATTTATTTATTTTTTTTAATTTGAAAAAGTAAATATAATTTAATAGTGATTAGTTTTAATTTTCCCTGATTCATTCATATTTTATTTTTCTCATAAGTTAATGAATGTTTTTCATTATTATTAAAAGAAGTCAATAATATCTATTAGGATTAATTTTGCCTGTATTTTAGAGATGCATTGATTTGAATAAATCAAAGTATTTTAATACTATCTTAATAAGTTATGTTTAATATTCAAATAATGAGTCTACTAATATAAATTAACATATTTCGTATATTCTTGGCTTATTCAAAATAAATTAAAAGAATTTTTTTTCCTCCAGAGATAAATGTATTTTGATAATTTTATCATAGCTTAATCTTTTGTCTATTTAAGTTAGCTTCCAAATTCAACTAAGAATATATTTGATATCATAATATTTAGAAACTACCGTTTTTAATTTGTTCTTCATTCACTGATTTCTCCTAATTTTCAAGAAATATTTTTCTGATATCATATAGCCTGGTCACTACCATAAAGTAGGGATGAAAATAAAAACTGTTTTTCTTTTTTTTTTACACTTTAAAATATCCAATTACATTTTTTTTAATTTATGGATTAATTGAGTGGGTGAGAATGACCATTTGATTTAAAGATTCTACCCAACAAAACGCAATCTAATTAATTATAGAATAATAACTGGTAAAATTGGCTAGAACATTGTATTATATAAAAGAGAACAGCTGTCTTTTACCATCTTAGTCCACATAGGTTAGACTAAATAATATCCGATCCTTGCTGTTAACAAATTGGCTAGAACATTATATTATATAAAAGTGAATAGCTTTCTTTTACCATCTTAGTCCATATTGGTTTGACTAAATAATATCCGATCCTTGTTGTCTTTCGTTTTAGTTCTTTCATGCTTTTAGTTAGTTTGCTCTATAGCTTATTTAGGCGATCTTTATCATTTTGGCATCACTGAACCATAACATAGTTTCCCGCGTGCCTCCACTATGGTAATAAATGCAGCTTGTCTATCTAACCTGAAATATCTGTAAAAGTCAAAGAATTTTTTTATGAAAAAATTGCCAGCACAAATTTAATGTTTTGATTCAGAATTATTATTTGTCCCAAAAAGTATACATAATAGCGTTTATACCCATAAAACATCAAAGGTATTGTGATTTTTTTTTTAGACTATATTTTTTTCTAATTATATTCTTAACACTTATTAATAAATAATTTTGTTACAATGAAATAACTGTTTGTTCTTTTAAGAATGTTATGCCATAAAAGTTTTCTAGTTTCTGTTAAATGGTCTAAAAATTGTCATTAATACAGATAATATTTCTATACAGAATTATCCTGTACTGTATTTATAATTCGTAAACATTTAATCAGGAGCCAAACTTATTTTTCTTTTCTTACTTTACTTAATAACAAAAGAGAACAAATTATAGCCATCGACAGACTTGTAAATTAGCATATAAAGTAATTATTTTTGTTATTTATTGCCTCAATATATTTTGTAATAATTGAATTGTGTTTGTGGATGCGTGCCTGTATGTGTGTTTATCATGTCATATTATAACTGTTTTCATGGCCTGTCATTTTCCAAAAATAACCTGAAAAGTCATGGTATTCCATAAAAATGTTTTGGTAGCTGTCCTATAATTGTATCTATGCGACAAACTTTTACTAGGAATGTAATTTATCTTCATTCTTACAACTTCTTGTTTATGCTTGGAAATTTTGAAAAAAGCTTCTGTTTAAAAGGTATCTCTCATGATGGCAAACAAGATTTTTGTTCGTTGTATGTATTGACTAGTGATCTTATATCTGATGTAGTATATTTCACTCAATAAACCAACATTTAATTTATATAAAATAATTAATCTTAGCCATAGTTCACATAAAGAGCAACAACGTATACTTTTGTTTAAAACTTTAATTTGTTAGAAATATCTTTTTTTGGATATAATTGTTCTTATGAAATTATTTTTATATGCTGTGAAATTGCTTCTTTTCTTCAACTCCATAACTATTTTCAACAACAAAGTTTTACTTCTATTCAATTGGTGTATCAAACATATATTTTGAAAGTGATTGCCTATTTGGTTCAAATACAGTTCATATGCATTCTTGATAGCAAATTGGATTTAGTATTTATAAATCTGTTAGATGAATGTCATAATTATTGCTTGGTTATCTTGTTTATTTATTACAAATTTTCAATTAAATAGTGTGTTTGTTTAAAATTTTCTATTCATCACATCGTTAACTGTAGCGTATAAGCCCATTATTATTTTCTCTAAAGGAAAGAACAACATTAAGGTACAAACAACTAGAATTTCTAAAATATCATAATATAGGATTTTTACCAAGTTGATAGTTATTTAGTCTTTCTATACTTTTTTAATCTGATTTTTCTGCAGTGGTCCAATATATATAATAATAATACTCAACAAGTTAACCTAAAATCAAATATGTATTTACTGCCGATAATTTAATTAGTAACTTTAAAACTGGATGTTCTTATTTTAATCATTCACTCTGGTTGTACGTGCTGTTTGTAAACATCATATTAGAACATTTCATTAGTTAATTCATTTTATCAGATTTTAAATTTTTTAAAAGTATGTTTCTTATTTGTTTTTAATAATTGGTGACAATCGTGTACTTTATCATTAAGTTTTGTTCATGACAATGTCAACCCTAATTGGAATTTCTTAGCCATCTTGTCATTTTTCTAATGAAAATTATCTGGTAGTTTACCTGAAATCTCAATTTCTATTCTTCAAGATAAAGTGTAATATTTTACTGAAAAATTATTATCAATATTTCTGTTTGTCATTTCCATGACTATCCCTAAAATATCATTTTAAAAATTAATTACCCAATATTTAATTCACCCTTAATATCCTTCATTCATATTAATGTGTCTTATGGAAGTGAATTTTTATCCCATAATTCACCTATAAATAGATTTAAGATGCATGCTGTGAAGTAGCAAGATTTACTTACCATGTAGTTCTGACGTATGACGATCCACAAGCGGAGGACGACTCTCTTCCTTCACTTCTTGATGGAGGTGGTGGATTTGGAAGCAAGCTGCCGCCTGGAATCCTTCCACATGGACTTCCCAAGGTGAAAGAGATGGAGCCAGCTGTAACAACTGTAGAACCAGAGACTAAAAAAGATGTCAAAACCAGTAAGCCATACTCTGTAATTTATAGTTGTAAATTTTTTAGAATTATGCTTATATTTCTTTACTATTACTAACTCTTAACAATATTTAATTTCATACTTATTAAAACTAAGCAAATTAATATTTATTTTGTATTTTTATGATGCTAATTTTGATTATTCCACAGTTCGTGAACTAAGTGAAGATGAGAAAATGATGATTATCCTGTCTGAAGACTTTCAGAGATTTGTTGATCGTTCTGGGAGAATAATGGAAAGAGCACTATCTGAGGCAGTTGATATATGCACTGATTATACAGGCACTGCCGATGCTGATGATGTGGGGTTAGTTTTCTTCATAAAACTTTTGATAAAGTTTTGTTTGTTTATCTATATTCGATAGTAATATATATTTAAAATAAAAGCTTAGTTATTTAATATTAATATATTTCCTCCATTCCCTACTTATTTTAGGAAGCGTTAATGTTTTCTCCTGCTACTTAGTATTAAAAAATGAATGATGTGTTCATCAAAGATTATAGATATTATTGAAGAGAAGTTGGTTGGGGTGTTCAGTAAAAAAAAAGATTAAATAAATAAATATAATTTATTTATTTTCACTCTTTTTCTTTTTTTTACTGAACACCCCAACCAACTTCTCTTCAATTATTTCCTACATTCAACCATCAATCCACAATTATAGGTGTTAGATTGAACACTTGGTTTATTGATAAGTTCATTAGGACCACTCAAGGCCCGCTCACTACCAGTCCTGGTTCTTGTAAGACTGTAGTGCCCAAAAAATAAGTAAATATATATATGAGTGTGTAAATGTACCATGATGGAAGTATTTTATACAATATAGTTATCTAATCATATTTTATATTTAAAACCTATAAAAGTCCTGCTGTTTCACCGAGACTCAGTATCATGCATCTTAACCTCTCCTAGAGTAGTCTTGACAATTAGCAGCGCAACAGTTCTAGGTTTAAAATTTAAAAAGTTCTATGATAATGGCTAGAGACCAGATCTTTGTGCGGTAAAAATCCGAAAAAAGTGCAGCAAAAAATTCAAATCGTGCAGTAAAAACCCAAAATATGTAAAATTGTTTAATTTGTAATATTAATATATCAAAATCCTATCAAACCTTATGTTAAGCTCCTGAATTAAAATATTGCCACAAAAAAAAAAAAAAAAATTAAAATGTAACATTAAAATTAAAATCCATATTACAATCAACTAACGACAACAATACATACTCTTATATACAACAATAAATTAGGATTAACTTAAATCTTGAAGAAAGAGAAATTAAAAAAGAAATTAGGACTAACATAAATAATAAAAAATTTACATATAATTCACAAAACAAATAAGAAAAGATCTCAATAATTAACCGACAAATAATTAAATATATTTGTTTAAATCTCGCTTAAATTGGTTAGTGGCTGATTGGCACATACTAAGAATGAAACAATGTAGAAGGACTTAAAAACATTAAAGGTATGAAGATTGAGTATTTATTATATAAATACCAGACCAATTGATTTCAGATATTTAATTTTAATTATAAATAATATATCTACATACATAATTAGAAATTGTCTATGTTATAATGAAAACTTTATTTTTTAGTCGAATTGAAATTTATAATGTCATACATTTTGAAATAGTTTCTCCTATCCCTTAAAATGTCTTATAATTGAGAAAAAGAGCTTGAACTAATGTAAGAGGACTCATTTTGTAACAAGCAACCACTGCTGGTTCTTTATTAATATAAACATTTATACTGTTAATGCAGTCGTTATATTTGTTTATAAAAGCGTAGTAACCTGTATTTTTTTTCTATTACGGAGTAAAATTTTAGAGATAAAATTTTTCCTGTTTCACTATTGATTTTTTAAAGATTTTCTCCTTCAGTTTCTATAATTTCAATTTGTTTATTAAGTAATGAATTTCAATATTCTAACTGAGTTAATGTTTGCAGAAAATTTGTCAAATGTGATTTTATGAAAGTCTATTCGCATATTATTGTTGCCGAATTCATGATAGTATACAATTCTCTCCAAAGCCGGAAGGAATACTGAAGGAATTGTAAAAGAGTGAGAATTCAAGTCAAAACAAGGAAGGCAGTTTTTTTATTGAATTACTTCAGGCATGTTCTATTCCAAGAAAAATTAGTCTGCACTAGAGTTTACTATGAATTTGAATCTTTGCCAGTACTGTCTCAAAATAATTTACCTCCTCATATTTTTCTGTCTAAAATTATAAATTTAATATGGACAAGATAATAAAATAAAAAAGTAAATATTTACACACACATATATACTTATAAATCATTCAATCTAGCACAAAAACGTACTATTTAATGCAACAAAAATCAAAATAGTGCAATTTAAGCCAAAAAAAAAAAAATTTAAATATGTTATTCTACAGATCCTGAAATGGATAGAAATTCGGGTCAAGATTTTTAAACGCAAGCGAATAGAATGTCCAATAACTAGGAATCCGGTCTCTAATAATGGTCATGTTGTGATGGTTTCTATGTTTACCTTATCTTTTTTTTTTTCATCGTCTTAGACAAAATTGAATGAAAAATTGTAACAAAACCTTAGAAAAAACATTTTGTAGGATTGAGTAACCACTATTACTGAATCCCTATGAAATTGTAATTGTATACATTTTATATGATAGTTTATCCTTCATTATTGGCAATTTATTTTATAAGCATAGATGATGCTGACAAAATCCATATATTTTGATTTTCTTTTTTTTTTTTTTTTTTTTTTTATTCTTGCTGATGATCATTTTTAGTTAGTTATTATTTTAATCTAGTTATGTCAATTTTATTATATCATGCAATTCTTAAATTGACTTATCGTATTATGACATCTAATTTTTAATTATGGATAATATATAGGGATGAAAGACTTAATGGGAAGCTTGTAGTTTCAAGATGGTTCTCAGATGAGAGATGGTCTAAAACCAGGTGTGTTACATCACTTGATTGGTCTCCACAATATCCAGAGCTACTGGTGGCATCGTATCACACTTCTCATGAATCAGCTCATGATCCCGATGGAGTCTGTCTTGTCTGGAATACAAAATTTAAGAAAACTACTCCCGAATATGTTTTTCATTGTCAGTCTATTGTCCTTACAGCTACCTTTGCTAAGTGAGTACTAACATTTAATATTTGTCTCTTAATTTTTTCCTTCTTGCTATTTCTACAGTTCATTCATACAACCGTTAGCCCAGTAACCTTATCATAAAAAGGAGGGTTTAAGTTGCATCAAATGGGAGTAGAAGGTTTTTTTTTTCTATGGGATGTTTTAGATCTCGGCACCACCCCCGGATCACTTTTGAAAATTCCAAAAACTGCTATATTTTAGCAATTTTTGGGGTTTTTCCCCTTTCGGCACAAGAAGCAATTTTTTAATAAAAAACATTCTATACATTTTTAAACTAGATTAAATATGCTACAATTTAAGGCCAAAGAGGTTCATTAAATTTTGTAAGTTTTGAGATATAGGTTTTCAAAGTTTTGGAAATTTGTCAAACTTTCAAATTTTAAGCTATTTTATATGTTTGATCATATTGTCTTTATATCATCAATAATCTATCTTGTACGATTCAGTGAAGCATTTTTTTTTTTTTTTTCATTTTAACATTTTTAAAGTGGAGAAGGTTTGGTGGAAGAGTGGGAGATCACTTTTCACAACCAGAAGACTCAAATTGAAATTAAATAAATATTTCACAAACATTTACATCAAGTGCATACGAAAATTGTAAATGAAGTGAATGAAATTTTCGAAACTTGAAAATGTTAAGCTAATATTCATCTTTATGTCTTCAATAACCTGTCTTATAAGAGTTATTGAACCAAACATTTATTTAATCTATTAATTTAAGGAGTAAATATGAAGATCCAAAATCTTTGAAAATATAACAAGGAACCGATAGAAACATTATTTGGTGGATGAAATATATAATAGATAGATAAAGAGGGTAGCACTATAACTATGCCATTAGTGAGAACCGAATATGTTAAAAATTAATGAGTGATTATTTAGAAAGAGAAATGTATTTTCTAGATGCATTATCTGAAGGCGTTTTTCGTTATTGTTGCCCATTTAATTACAAATGACGCTTGATTTTCAACATTAATTCGAACAACTTAGAAGAATTTACTTTACTGGTATTTTTTGTTGCCTTGGCCAATTCGTTTTTAAAAAATGTTGATGTTTTATTGTTCTCTGACTATCCAGCTTTAATAAAAGACCAATCTTGATGAAATTAGGTCAACTGCTGAATCTCAGTGACCGAAAAACCGAATAAAATCAAAGGAATTGACCCGTCATGTTTAGACGCCATTTTAGGACAGTGTGACCACACTTTTTTAATAAATAGTTACAAGGAACATGGCAATTTGAATTTTATAGGGATGTGAGGGGGGAGGTGCATGTTAGGGGGGCTAGCCCAAAGATTACCATCACTTGATTAATTTTAATCAATTTAATTTTAAAATTAAATCACTCACCAAACCTCCTCTCCCTTCCCCCATCATCCTTCAAAATGTGAAAATGAATAAATGTTTACTTCACTGGCTCATATCAGACAGGTTATTCAAGATAAAAGAAAATTGCTGATGAAAAATAGTTTAAAATTTTTCCAACTTTAAAAATAAATATAAAATCTGTATCTCAAAGACTATTTGATTTACAGAGCTTATTATGGTATTAAATATTAGCATATTTAATCTAGTTTAAAAATTTATAGAATGTTTTTTGACAAAAACGTGCTCCTTCATATTTATAATAAGAGAAAAAAATAGCAGTTTTTGGAATTTTCGAAAGTGATCCGAGTGGAGGCCAAGGTCGAACACTTTGCATCTCAGTCACATCTCATACAAGAAAATAAACAGAAAGCTTCTACCCCCATTCGATGCAACTTATGATGTTCAAGGTTACTTGGCTAATGTAATTTTTAAGAACTTTTTTTATTTCCTTTATAACATAAGACTAGAAGAAATATAGGGTACTTCTTCACAAGCAGGCCAGGTTCGAAACCTCACTTCTTATCTGTGTTATCTAATGTCACGTCACATAACCTCCCTCTTCTTATCCCGCCAAACCTTTGAGTTATTACATTGTTTATTTTCCAGTTATTTCCCTATTACGTTCACTTATTAAATTCTTTATTTTTGGCCCCTTTGTGTTTATTTTTCTTTTCTTTTTTAGTTTATTTTCATCAATGTTCTTTAAGTGTTTTTTATAATTTCATTTTGATCTTTTATATATTATACGATTATGGGGCTCAGCTAAGTGGAGAAATAAGATACATAGAGGAACTGCCAGACAACACCTGGATTCATATTTATGCGAATTTTTGTGGCGGCGGGTTCACAAACAATAGGACTCGGTCCTCGCTATTTTAAATAGCATTAAACTATTTTGCCTTCCAAAATAAATAAGACGAAGTGAAAACAAATTGTACACATGTCGTTTATAGTGTTGATATTTTTTCTTTTATATCTACATATCTTCTTTAAGTATTTTTTTATTATTTCATTAATATATGTGTCGTAAAATAAAAGTTTATTTTTTTTATTTTATTACATTTGTTTTTGTTTCTGTTTATACTTTCAATAATACTAATATAATACAATAATACGAAGATAGGAATTATGAGAAGGCTTATCACTGCCTTATCAGAATTATCAGTTTTCAGGTTATAAACATTGGCAGATAGCAGTCACTCTCGGCCTGCTAGTGAAGAAGTACCAAATATAGTTGTCAGTAAAATTGTTTCAGAGGTCTGTCTCCTATATTTGAAAAAAAAAATTACATTTTGTAATCGTCATCCTTATTACACTCCTTGTTCTTCTAACTGGTCATTTTGGTAAAGTTTCATAGCTATCTAATGTCATCAATATATATATATTTAAATATTAAATTTCAAAAAGAAAACATAATTAAAAAATAATTTGTTTAATGTTGATTATAAATTCATCGTTAATTGCTGTTTCTAGATTTCATCCTAATTTGATATTGGGTGGTACATATTCTGGCCAAGTTATGCTCTGGGATAACAGAGTTCAGAAGAGAACTCCTATTCAAAGAACTCCTTTATCGGCAACTGCACACACAGTTAGTAAAAATAATTTATTTGAAATTTATATTAGTTTTATCATGGTATAAAAAAGGCAGTTTATTTTTACTAAATTATTTTTTTATCAAAATGTCAATGTGTTACTCACTAATTTTTTTAAATACGAATAATCAAGACACAGTTAATGTACTGCATTTGAAAAATAATATGTTCTGGATTCTGCTGTAAATTGCGATTGTTTTTGTAATTATGGTCAATGTTAAGTTGTTATTAAAATCTTCAATGGTATTATCTCTACTAAAACTCTAAATCTTTGATCATAGCTATTACAACTTTAATTTTCCATGATATTTATATATCGAAAAATAAGTTTATCAAAACAAAATGTAAATAAGCTAATAAGCTGTGTCAGCGTTCTAGTATTGCAATTCATTAATATATCTGTACCTTTAATGAATAAAACATGCCTTATATATTGTGTTTAGTCAACTATAAAATTTAAAATTAAATTTTGGCATGATAGCCAAGTCTCAAATGAAAAGCTTCTTATTGTGACCAACATTAATAAATATTTTAAATACTTTTATTGAAATATTAAAATATTTGATTTAACCAATTGTTCACTGCTTACACATATTGTTATATGCTGTTTAAATTCAACTAAATTATGACACTAATCTTAAATAGTCTGATATTATTTATTTTGATTCTGCAAATTTGAATCAATTTCGTCTTTAGTCGTTCGTATTACCAAATAAACCAAAAATTTATTTTACAGCATCCCGTTTATTGTATGAGAGTAGTAGGAACCCAGAATGCTCACAATCTAATCAGTATATCAACCGATGGTCGACTGTGCTCCTGGTCTTTGGATATGCTTTCTCAACCACAGGAAACATTGGAATTACAGCAGAGGCAAAGCAAAGCAATAGCTGTTACGTCCTTAGATTTCCCTCATAACGATGTTAATAACTTCGTCTTTGGCAGTGAGGAAGGAACAGTTTATTCAGGTATTTTCATTTTCATGTATGTTTAATCTTATTACACAAGCATATTCATCATATAATTGTGGGAAAAAAATTATAAAAGATGAATTAAAGATAAGTATTAAGAAATTATAAATCTATCAAAATTTTAAAATTGCCATCCACTAAATTTTATATTGCAGTAGTCTCATAGGATATATAAGATGTTTTTATGTTTCACCAAAATTTAGTCATTTAGCTAAGTATGGTGTTAGTCTACTTAAAATTCAAATATTTATTCAAATAAATTCAAATTATATAATAAATCATACAACTGCTACTTGAAGATTTGTTTCTAGATTAAAGAAAAAAATTGGTAATCTAAAATTTTGATTTCTGTTTATGAAGCTTGTCGACATGGAACGAAAGCAGGCGTGACTGACCCTTATTTAGGACATCAAGCTCCAGTCACAGATATAAATACTCATAAAGTGCAAGGTCCAGTAGATTATTCACATCTTTTCCTGACTTCATCTTTTGATTGGTCAGTCAAATTATGGAATATGAAAGTAAGTCATTTATTTGTTTTGTTTTTTAAAATATTTTATGTACCTCTTAAAAATTCATGGTGAAATATTAATTAATGGTTTCTATAAGAAGTAAATTCCTACACAAAGATCTAGAAAGGCTTTTGGTTAATTGTAACTTGTTTCTTGTTTAACATTAAATAAATACCACAAAATTCCAGTCCTCCCTGATTCATACTTGTAGAAACCATTAAAATATATGGAGTAGGAGGTCCTCTTACTCCCAATCGGTGTGAGTTGCCTTCAATGGATTGACGAGTATCACAATTAGGTGTAAGGAGGGAATTTCATACAACATGGCTTTTCCCGTGTCACCCGATGTGGGTGTAAAAGTCCCTTCCTTTGCAGTCCAAAAGTATATTATTTTAGGAAGTAATACAACTATAAAATAATATTAATTTAATAATAATAATGTACTAATATCAATAATAATTTGAAACCCAGTCAGTTATAATGTCTCTCATTACATAAAACTTGATGATGCATGTTTGATTGCAGGAAAGTCGTCCTGTGTATAGTTGGGAAGAAGGATGTGATTATGTTTATGGTGTCAGCTGGTCCCCAGTTCATCCTGCTGTATTTGCTTCAGTAGATGGAGATGGGCGACTGGCTCTATGGAATTTGAATCAAGATGCTGAAATTCCATCTGCAAGTACCGTAGTAGAAGGTGCTCCTGCTCTGAACAGGGTTTCTTTTACACCAACTGGATCACATGTCACAGTTGGGGATGATTCTGGAAAAATTTATTTATATGATGTTGGCGAGGTAAATACATATTTAATTCATATGATTTATTTAAAATACTACAAACGTTTTAAGTATTTATTCATTTTTATTAAAAATTATTTTTTTTGTGGCCTGTCATGCTTTGTAAATTATAAATGATGTCCTGTTGGTGATTAAGGCTGCTTAAGATAAGATAACATATAATAGGTCTCAATGTGGGTCCACTTAATTTATTTTTTCTAAATTGTGTGCACTTTAATTGCCATTTTTTTTTCATGTAGTTTATCACTTCCTAGTACTTAAAATACCTTAAAATGATGGAAATTTAATTTTTTTTTTAATCTTTTTCTTTCTTCCCTTTGATGAAAGTTGGAACTTGTCCATAATGAGTTTACACATTGAGACTGGCCATATGCCTGTATGGCCCCTTTTAAACCGAAGATTCAAGACGCAAGATGCATGCATCCTGAATGCATGTGTGTCTTGCATCTTGATGAAGGGGCTTTCACACTAAAGATGCACATGCCTTTTGCACCTTCTGTTTATATCCATTATCTCTGTTTAGTTTAGTACGTGAGTTCGATATGAATAATCAATCATCCTACTCTTTGTAAAATTACTTGGTTTGAACTGGTGGTTCATAATTGTATCTTAAAGCTTTACCAACTTTTTATTGTCATTCTGCTTACCTAGAAAGAAAAAAAGTTTGCCAAGTAATGTTTAATTAAAACATGTTTAGCGTTGATATAAAGCTACACATCCGGTTAGCCGATTTTAAGGGAAAAGTTGCCAGGACATCTAAGGGCATATATCCGTCTTAAATATGTAATATCAGTTTCGTACGACTTTTCGGTTATTGGGACTCAGGAGATCTCAAAACTTGTATTTCCGTTGAAAAATCAGATTCAAAAATTTTCACGATCGCAATACTTACACTTACTATATATTACATATATAGGTAAGTGAAAGTAAAAATATCAAAAACAAAAATGAACTTAACGATGTGATTCTTCAGTACAAAATAGCCTTGAGCTGGGAGTGACTAAAATAAATTGCTGGAACCATAAAGAAGTGTTAAGTGGAAATAGAAAAGGGAAGCAAAACAACTGATTAAATATTGTAAATTTATTTATTTGAGTCATTAGTTAAGCGACTTTTTTGTTAAAAATGCAACCCTGTTTGAATATTTTTTGGATTTATATATTTTTTATTCTATATTTATCCACTAATTCTAAACGTTTAACTAATGTATTTATTAACAATGCTACATAGTCTATTCTACAGACATTGATAATTTTCTTTGAAATTTTATGTGTTTATTCAAATTGAACTTTCTTCTTTACTCAGCGGTTCTCTCAGCCAAGACATGACGAATGGAACAAACTGCTTGTTACTTTGCAAGAAATGAAAAATAATCAAGCAGATGAAGAAGTCAGCAGCCCTGCATCTGGACCTAGCAGCCTTTCTTCTTTTGTCTCCAGATAAGGGTAATTATTTTAATTTTCTCACAAAGTAAAATATATATGATCAGTTATTGTAGTTTAAAAAGGTGCAACCATACTAATTCCAATTGTGGTATCAAGTCCATAATCTTTTGTTTAAATAAATTTTAAAATTCTTCTTTTATAGCATATATTTAAAAAAAAAAAAAAAATCAACTAACCAGAAGTGCCACTTAATATCATAGATTTTATACATTTTTAAAATTTTCTTGAAAACGGCTCTAATGATTTTTATTAAATTCATTATATCATTGTAAAATTAAGCAGTTTTTAGTATAATGTAGGTCTTTATTCTCATTAATGTTCTCTAAAAGGACTTAAATGTGGTTTTCATAAGTGCTAGCTAGCCTAGCATTGATATTATTTAATATTTAATTGTATATATTGTAATTGTTGTTAATTAATTGTATTACAGCAATATTAATTAATTAATTAATATAGCCTGTTTTTACAAGTCTTACAACTTGTAGGCCTCCCCAATTAAGAGGGTAATGGTCTAACTTCCCGCGGGGACCAACCGTATTGGGAAGTAGGGCCGGGATTCGATCCTATGATCTTTGCTTTACTAGTATAGCGCGCTAACCACTCTGCTATACCGGCCCCTTACAGCTTATTACAGCAATATAAAAATTAAAATTTGTATGTATACCAATGCTTAAAGAAATTAAAATACTTACAATGAAATATAAATAAATGTAGCAGCATTCTTTACCAGTGGCACTTAATTATTTATTATAATCAAATAAGTAATTAAAATCTACAGTTGCAAAGGAATTGGTTAGTGACCAAAAAAGCGTAAATGTAATATATTAGACGACTGAAAAACATGGCAATTAATTGTTTTAAATTATATTTTGTACCATAATTTTTACTACCACTTTATCTAACAATACCTATTATCTGCTTTAAAAAAAAGGGGGGGTTGATAAGTGAAAGTTGTGCCATTCATGCGCTGCACTAGAATTTCCGCTTAGTTCATTATTGCCTCATTAAGCCTACCTACCTATAGTTTGATTAAATCAATGATTTTCACAATCCCCTGGATTTTTCAGATTATTGGGCATAATTACAAATAATTAACAAAGCTAGGAATTATAAATTAGGTCTTTAAAATGGATCCTGACACATTTTAGATATTTGATAATATCTAAATCAGGAGTTCGTTTATCTTTAGCCTTAATCTGATTAAATTTATAACCCTTGATTATATTTATTCCATTGATTTTACTTTTTTCTCTTAAAAGTTGGATATGATCAATTGTTACCGAATCTTGAACATTTATCTCAGCTAACATTAGGTGTATTCTATTTTTACAGGTCAATGAAGGCTGGAAGGGATATACTTCTCCTTGTTTAAGTTATGTATATTTATTAATTGTATCTATGTTATAATGTGAAGTAATCTTATAAATTATTTAATGTTAGGAATAATGTAATTATCGAAATAATTTATTTTTTATTGTATTGCTTTTACTAATGTTCCTGTGATTTCTTATGATAATAATGCTTATTATTTAATTAATCTAAATTTAAGTTTAATTCTCCTTTTGATCCTTGTACAGTGATGCGCAACTTTTTTTTCTCAAAAGAAAAAAATATTTTTTTTAATAAATTATATTTTTGGTTGAAATTATTAAATTCCATTGTATATAATATTTTTTTTTTTTTTTTGTTTTAACTGTAAATAAGCTTGTTAAATGAATCAGTCTGCATTTTAAGTATATTATTAGAGTAATGTAAATGTTTATTATTTTTATTTTTTAATAATAAAATTATTAAATTATTATTTTAAATAAGGCTGATATTAAATGTTATGTAATTTATTTATATTGATCATTTCTGGATTATTAAATGTCAATGAATATGATTAATGCTTCTTTTATTCAATTATTTTGTATACCAAACCATTTCATATAAAAGGTGGACACTTAAAAAAATGTATTTATATGTTTTACTGTTAAACTATTTTTTATTTCAACAACATATTTATTTGTTATGCTCATTCATATTTATCTATCCTTTTTTGTTTGTGTCACCCTGTTGAGCCTATCACCGTAGGAAAGTGCTTGACCAGGAATGCCAATATTCTGTATTTCATGCCAGGTTCATGTCTTCTTCTTTTCCTTTATTATTATTAATTTTCTCAATAGTCCTTAATGCACCTGGGCCTCAGTAACAAGCTTCCACCAGACTTTCCTATCGGCAGCTATTCTTCTCCATCTTCTTATACCCATACGGCTGAGGTCTTCTACATAGTCAATTCACTGCAGCCGGGGTTCCTCCTAGGTAGGCGGTTATAGAGTAGTTTCCTTGGCAATCTATATTCCTCCATCCTTTCTGCACGGTCTAGCCATCTGTTGTCATTCTTATGAAGCTCATGTAGCTCTTCATTTTTTTCTTATTTGTATCTAATCTTTTATTTTACTTTCACTTACGTATATGTGTAATATATAGGAAGGGTAAGTATTGCGATCGTGAAAATTTTCGAATCTCAGTTTTCAACATACATAGTCATTTTCTCGATATCCTTTAAATTTATCTATATAACTTACTTCAACGAAAAGAAGCTGGAAAAAAGTTACGTAATTTTTTTAATTTAAAAAAATTAAATTCCGAATAACTCAAACGCTTTTTTGGGATATTGTAGTGTTTTTTTCAAAAGTTTATGGAATTTCCTTAAAAAAATCGGACAATTGGGAGGAAAGATATGGTCTCTAGTTTTTTGTCCCTGAAGAGGCGAAAATTGGATAAATTTAAAATATACTTTTTTAATTGTTGAAACTAAAAAAACCTTTTTTTCTACACATATTTAATAAAGTTTCTTTCCTAAGAACATCTTTCATAAGAAATAAGTACCTAAATTTATACCTTTATTCTCAGTTCTATATTTCAACACTGCAATCACCATCTCCGGAATCAACTTACTCATATTCTGCATAGATAACTTTTTCAATTAAAAATATCACTTAAATTACATCCCTCAAAAATGTTGAAATTGGAGTTAGTCATTCTGTGGTTTATAAAAGCAAAGAAAGTTGTGTGGTTTATAAAAGCAGATGGAGTGACTAGATTTTTATTGCCTGTCGTCGATATATTAAATAGACATTTTGTAATTATAATGGTCTTAATAACTTGTTATCTGTAAGATTTAAGCTTTAGCTCCATTTAAAACGCACTTCAAAAATTTTTATAATAGCCCAGCATTGCCAGAAAATAATTTCTATTCAAAGTAGATCGGTAAGTGAAAGTTGTGTGTTCCGCGCACCAAATTTTTCAAATATGGTTGGTGTATTCCATGTCATGACATCCTTGGTAGGCCTCTAGACCTTCTAGAATCTGAGACATAGTCCATAGTTTTCAATGGATTTAGATGTTCCTCCATCCGGGCAACATGGCTGATACACTTCAGTTGGAGAGCATCTAAGCCTCCTTCACTGAGAGAACTTCAAGTTCCTCCCCTAATCCTTTCATTGTGGATGCAGTCTTTTCTTGTTTTCCCCAAAAATTTTAAGTAACCTCATTTCTGCAGTAGACATCCTGCTCTCCTGTCATTATCTAACTTTCAGCTCCTTATTGGAGTACTGGCAAATGTAACAACTTAAAGATATGTCCACCACTTTCCAATATTGCATTATATATCTTGTAGTTTGCCTTATTTATCCTGGTAGGATTTCTGAATCCACTTTCCCACACTGCTCCATTACACTCAACATCTTCCTATACCCTTCTTACCTGAATGATCTTGTTTTTGCCAATATTGATATCCATTCCTTTTTGGAGCTTCTTGTACCATTTTGTCACTGTCTGCTGTAGCTTCCTTTCAGAAAGATTGAAGGATCTGAATCACCACAGGAAGCAGATTTCTTTGCCTCAGGAAAACATCCTTTCATTTCAACTTTTGCAGATTTTCACTATTTTGCCCATGTATATGAATAGGAAAGAGCTAAGACTCATCTTGTTTGACTCCCCCCTAGCTATATTAAAATACCCAGATGCCTGTCTATTTAGCCTGATGATTCCTTTTGGGTCATGGTATCTGAATTTGATGGCTTCTTAGCTCTCAGATCTAATGATATTTCATCCCTTGGGACTGAATCAAATTCAGCATGAAGATCAAGAAAAGTGAGGTACAATGAGTGTTTTACAGAAAAGCATAAAAATAATTATTTGTTTATGATTTATTAGTATAATTTCATAATTTTATTTCCCTCTACTATATTTTCTACTGTAGCAGATGCAGACTACAAAATGTCACCTTTTGCACTAAGAGTAGCAGTATGGGACTGTAGCTGGAGCATTCTGCCTGACTGCCTTTCTTGTGTATGGGAATTATGAAATTATAATTCCATTCTGTTGGACTTCTCTTCTCATCTCTGGCTTTTTGAAAAATTATTTGGAGAGATCTCACTAGTTCCATTCCTCCCTCCCCATACTTTCCAAATTCTGCAACTGTTATATCTTGTCCTGAAGCTTTCTCTATCCACGGACAAGACATTATCTATCCATAGAAGTAAAACATATTAATATTTCAATGTAATTCACTTATTGTAAATCAAGGACCATATCTCATTTATTGCAAATCATCTGATTCCAGTAAGTGTTTGATTTATAGATCAACATATTTGAGAAGAAATAGATTATTGTATTCTTTAATGGTTTATTCACTTTGTATATAAAATGTGTATAAAGAATATATCGTATGTTAGATTTGTTTTATTCTATCTGTAAAAAAATACTGGATAAATGTGATTTAAAGGAAGTGGTGAGTGATGGGATAAGTCTGAATATGAAGACAGAGAGAGATTAATATTTGCAATAAATATAGTTGTATAGATTACAGAATTCTTCACCAATGTGTTATTCTATTTGCATCATAAATTGAAGACATTCTTATTTTCATTCTGGATTTATTTATATTTACCTTTTTAAAACCTACCAAGGTTTTTAGGCAATCAGATGTTTGCAGATGCAGGATCTCATTTTCTCGTATTCTAAAACTTCAAATTTTTACAATCTGTGCACACATCACAAATATTTCAGCCCTCAATTTTGAGTCAGTTCCAGTTTTCTCCTATGCCTCCTTGTTCTCTGGGAACCTCTCAAGAGTGTGTCCTCTTTGTTCTAAGGCTGAAATTGGATGGACCTACTGCATAAAGTAATAAATTGAACAAATATTAAAGTTGTTTTGTGGATTCCTCTAATATTTTCACCTCATTTTAGGAACAAAATTTTGAAAAATACAATTTTCTAGTTAAGCATGAAGTTGTTATAGACATATATATATGTCAGTATGGACTCAATAAGACCCTGAACCAATCAGTTCTGTAGGGTGATTCTCTAACAAAACAAATCCAAAAAGATATCTTTACAGATGGGTGTATTGTTATTTTAAAATTATGACGGTGATAATCAGGATTTGCAGTCTAAATACTATTTTTTACACTTTCCAACGTTTTGACTCAGTCATCTAATTAAGCCTCTTTTGTAAATAATTGAACTTCATGATATTTTTTCAATTATCCATCGGTTATTTAAAAAACACCTGTGTTCCTCTTTTTCTTTTTATAGAGTTGTATTTAATTTCTTTTTTCTGCTTTTAATTTAATTGCTTTTTTTTTTCAAACTACGCAACTGAGTTAAGTGAAAATTATTAGTATTCTTTTTTTATGAAATAAATTATTAAGACTTGTAGAAAAATAACATAATTAAAATATATTTTTAAAATCATTTAAACAAAATTTATCATACTTTTCAAAATAATTAAATTGATGATTTTAAAATATAATTTAAATGGTTCTAAAATGAAATCAGATAAAAACATTTAAATGAAATTGATGTAAATTAGCAGGTAATTCAAGATGCACATAGGCATCACAAAAATCTTTGCAATATAAATCAAGATAATGTTTACTTTGTTTTTAAAATTATAAATTTGTATATCATAACATCAATTTACCATGATTTGTTTTGTTAATCTAATCTCAGTGTGTGTTGATCAAAAACTTAAGTCTATATATATATATATATAACTATTGTTAACAAATGTGTTAATATTGTTTTTATTTTATTAAAATTATTATTTTACTACTTAATCGTTACTTTACTTCATGTTTTTAATTATTTTTACTCTTAATCAATTTAGCGTTTATTTTATTAAATATTTACCTGTATGATTGCTAAGGTGTTGTGTTAATCTATTTTGTTTCACTTCTTTGAAGCTTAACTGAAGATAGAAATCTATTAATAGATAAAAACATCTTAAATAATAAAAAAAATTAATTTATTTAATAAGTTTCCTCTTCATATGCCAATTTTAGTCAATTCATGAAGATTTAAATATCATATTTCTTCTTGCTCTGGCTATTTCTTCTTTCTTTTCCAATACTTTTTTCTCCAACTGCTCCAAAATCTTTGTTTTTCTTCTTAACATGGCTGCATTTCTTTTCTGGAAATATAATTTGTTTTTATTTAATTTATTTTTTTTTGTTAAGGGTGTCCATCCATCCAAGATCAATGATACAAACCCTCTACCATGAAATTTTATTGTGAAAGTAGAATTAGAAAAAATGTAATTAATAAATAATTGTACTTGCCGTTTGTTCCATGATTTTTCTCTTGTTCTCTCATTTGAGAGTTCCTCAAATTGAAACCCCACAAAAAGAGGGCACCCTCCAATAATTCATAATCTTGTCAAAATGTGGTCTCTCAAACATTTAAAACTCCACAAAAATATACCCTAAAGGTACAACTAGCGTCATCTCATTGGAGGAACCAGAAATGGTAAATTTAAAATAAGTCAATATACTATATAAACGATATTATAATAAGAAGGAGAGGTGGCGTACTCTTTTTCTGATCTCACTCTATAAGATTTAGGAAACATGGTTTGTTTTTTTTAAGTTTGTTGAATATCATATTTTTAAAAACATAAAAATATTTTATACGTCTAATTTTAAATACATATTTCTGAAATATGCCACTGTGTAAGCAGTAAGAGTTGAAAGTTAATGGCTTAATTATTATAATAATATTTTGAATACAGTGATAATCATATATGCTGAACCCTTTGTAATTAACTATATTCTGGATTCACGATTTAAAATATTTAAAGCGTGTGCTTCAAAATGCAAAGAAAAATAAAGCACCAGACTAAACTGAAGACTGTATGAGTACTTCAAGAGCAGTCCTGAAAATTACAAAACCAGAATTTTTGCTACGTTAAATAAATGTAACACCTAAATCCTTTAAAATCTTTATTAATTTTCCGCTATATAATTCTAAGCGGTACAGAAAATGTGTATAATAATTGTTGAATCTAATATTATTTGATAAATGTTTACTGGCCTTCTCCTTCTAATACGAGTCAAGTGGTTTTATGAAAATGTTGAGTTCCAATGGGACTTAGATAATGTTTTCCAACAGTGGACAATTGTGAATTTGTTGAACTTAGTTAAAATAAGCTTGAATAGAAAAAGAGTTGTCTTTTTGTGGACCTAGCCGTCGAATTTGACTGCATTGGTGTACAAATTAACAGAATTGGTTGTTTTTACCAAGCTCGCTTTTTTTTGTTTGTTGTTTACTCTTTTAATGTGTGGTTTGGCATGATAATCATTATATTTCTTTGAGCTACTGTTTTTGTGAGCGTAGAATTTGTAAGAAAATTATTGATGTCTAATTAAACTTTCAATATAATTGTTAAAGCATTTTACTTGAGGTGAATATGTCAAAATGAACAGTTGCAAACAAGGAATATTTATGGGGCAGAAAGGTGCTACTTTGGACGCCCGTTGGTCGGTTATACATTCTTTGTTCTTTGGTGTTACCTTGCAACAGAAGAAAATATTTTTCATTTTATAACTGTATGCTCCATTTTGGCTGAATTTAGAATAAAATATTTTAATGAAAAAATATTAAATGAATTACAGTTTAAAAATAATCAGAATGTTAAATATTGGAACAGCCTTATTGGCTATTTTAGACCATCCATGTTCAATGTGTAAAATATGATGACTACCTAAGCTTGTTTTGTTCCAACTTATAACAATTGTTTTCTAAAACATTTACTTATAGCCCCCCCATTATTTTTTATGACTCTTCTCATACGGTTATTACCTTGAGCATATCTTTAGCTCTTTGTTGTTATCCAATCTGCTTATGTAAATTTATTAGAAATAAAGCTTTATTATTATAAAGTATGTACTCTTCTTTAGAGAAAAAACCTGATGGTCGAATATTGTCCTGGCAAAATCAGACCTATCATGAGTTGTATGTGTACAAGTTTCCTCATCTCAACATCTACATAAATATCATATCAAATATATTTATAAATGAATATCTTTAAATTTCAAAAAACATTCATTCTTTAAAACAATATTTAAAATAACAAAATATCTCAGGCAAAAATTAATTGGTTGAAATTAATGTCAAATCTTGTATCTTATCTTTATATCATATTACCCTCAAAATCATGCATTCTTCAGTAAGTTTCGTTATCTTTGATTCTGAACATCTTTCATTAAACCAGTTGATTTGATCTTGTAGTACTTCTTGTTTCTCAACCAGCTTGTTTTTTTTATTTTCCATCTCTAATATTTCTGAATCTTCTAATCCCTTTTCCCCTAAACAAACATGTTTTATAGTACTTCTTTTATTTAAAGTAACAGAAAAAAACAGTTTTTAGAATTTTAACATATAAAATTTCATTATATGTACACTAAAAAAACTAATTTACAAAATTTTCTAAGAATTCTGTAAATTATCTTAACAGAAAATGTTCCATTTTATTTTTTTATTACCATTCCTTTGGAGCAGGATAGCTCAGAGGTAAGGCACTGACTTCTATGTACCAGGTTCGAATCAAGCTGATGATAGGTAATTTTTCATCAATTGTGAATTGACCCTGGGGTTAGGAGACCTTCTGGGACACACCCAACCTTTATAAAGATGTACTCTTAATTAAATAATTAATTAAGGAGCAAAACCTGGCGGTTGAGTTTGACTCTGGTCCAATCACCCTTCATTGGTTGTTATAATACATTTTTTTCTGTTTTTTATCATTGTTAATATATATTTTTAATGGATAACTTAATGTGGCTTTCACTCTAGATAAACACATTAAATATAAAATTTTAGTTTATGCCACATATTGGAGTAAAATTATTGCTACAGTGAATGTATGTTATGATTCAGTTTTATTGATTCGTTTAAGTATTTAGTGATTCATTCAGTGCACTTCATCTAGTGCAGAGAGGGTTAAAATCAACATAAAATTCAGAATTTTGAAAAAAACCCTTTTTTTTCTTTTAATAAAGATTTTTGTTCCTTTTAGTAACATTATTAAATTCACAACTAAAAGATAAAACCAAAAGACATATTTAAAGAGACGTAGATAAACTTACAGAATTCCTTGAGTAACTGTTTCTGTTCATCCATTTTTTTATAAAATAACTGAAGAGTTTTTACTTCTTTTTCTTGGACCATATTAGCGAACATTTTTTTCAACATAAGTCCATCTATTTTGAACATTATGTCCTGTAAAAGTTATGAGTTTCAGAGTTTTTGCACTTCAATAAAAAAAAATTACATATATAAAATTATTGGTCAATAGAAAAATTCAATTGAATACATAAAATGTTAAGAAATATTTTCATTTTGCGATTAATTTCGTAATAAAAATTGAATTTACTTGTACTGAATCTTGAACTTTTGTTATGTTTAACTTTATTGTTGATATTTTTCCACCCAGCAAGGATGTTTTGTTAAGTAACTCATTTGATTCTTCCTGTAAGCTTTGAACAGTAGAGGTCACTGGAAAAAATACATGAGTACATAAAAATAAGAATAAAAAAATTGATCTCTAATTGTTGTGCTAAGTAAAATTGTTCAAATTACACTTTGTATGATACTTTTGCTTATCTAGCAATAAAGTTTTAAGTTTCAAATATTCATTCCGAATCAATCTCTCTGTTTCCTCTCTTTTTGCTAAAAGTTTTGTGTTCAAAGGTTGAAATACATCACAGTCTTTATTCATTTCTAAATTCTTCTGTCACTATAAATGGCTTATTGCTATTTTAAATTTTCCAAGATCAAGTTTATCACATTTAAAGTCGATACTTATACATATAATCGATTTATAGTATCGATTTTTACGAATAAGACCGAAATATTGATTTAGTACTGTAGATTGGCCCCAGTTTTTTTTTTCTTTCTATTTTTCAACGGAAATACATGTTTTGTGGTCCCCTGAGTCCAAATAACCAGGTATCACAAAATGGTCTGCCTGTATGTATGTATGTATGTGAGCAATCTAGCTCAAAACCAAAAGTCTTAGGAAACGGAAATTGCGTATTTAAGGTTATAGACTAGGAACTACCGACCATTTCGTTTTACAGAACTACTTAAAACTAGTAACCATTTTAAATTCTAGATAAACTTCATCTGGACTCACAACTTCGGTCAGCCGGTTGAAAGCCGTTGCTTTATATGCAAAAATTAAAATTATAGATACGAAATTCGATGGTTCATATAATGCACTAGCGGATCCAGGATTTAATTTTGGGAGGGGCTTCAGCCCGAAAGCTTTTTTTTCATAAAAGTAACGATAATTACTTTGGAAAATAAGAAAGAAACTAAGTAACTATACGAACTGGTGTTTAAGTGATTCCTGAAGCCCTTTTAAATGTAATTACACGAATAATTATACTTTAAGAGATAATTTTTTAATATTTTTTCCGATAAAACATGGTTATATTATACCATTTTGGGGAGGGCTTCAGCCCGAAAGCCCCCCCCCCCCCCCGTAGATCCGCCCGTGATATAATGGAAGAACTGATGTCTGAAATTTTTATATGATGTGAAGAACATATCCCTAAAAGAGAATTGAACTTGACAGACGATGTACTCGGTAGCGTTTGGAAAAATGATGACGTCAGTCATCAAATTATGCCAGTCGGAGAGTAGTTGGATAAGGAAAAAAATCAAGTAGTCGAGTCGGTTTCTCTTCATTTTTTTTGGGGGGGGGAAGGGAGGAGGAAGATTGTTGAATCTAAATTTGATGTCGTCGAACGAAATTTTCCATTGCCAAAACAGCGAAAATTCCGAACTTTTTTTAGTTTTTTGGACATTACTCTGAAACTATCAATTTTATCGTATTTATTATTACATACAAAGTTAAATAAGATAAAATTTATTATCAATTTTATAAATAGCTTATTGATGTAGAGCAAACAGGTGAGGAGTTAGAGAATGATGACTTGCTTATTTCACAAGAAATATCAGTTTTCATAGGTATTTCCCAAAAAAACTCATAAGCTATGCATCTCTAAAAGAAATACATTATGATCAATTTGAAAGAGCATTAAATTTCCTATGTACCTCATGTAGACACGTTAATATGTGAGAAGATTAAGCGACTGTTAAAGTGCATGGAATGGAAGTCATATTTCACTTGTAACTCTCAACTTAATGCTTTTTATCTTTTCAATACCCATGGTTTGGCTGATTTAACTATATTCATAACAAAATTAGAATTTATAAACAACATGTATAGTTTTTATATATTGTATTAGTATGAGAGACATGGATCCAAATTCAGAAAATGTTGGGAAGAGAGGTTTGTGTAATGTGAAAACAGTAAGACAAATGAGGGAGTTAAGGGTTAGAACACTATATATTAATCAATTTTCAAGTGAATCACTTGGCACCATACAGTTTCAATAACTGAATCCCTTCATAAATGTCTAAATACCCTCATAATGGATGAAAACTACTGGTAAAAGTAGAGAAAATTATTTCAGCAAGGCCTATTGACCTTCTTGTTAAGGAAAATAAGTTTGTTAAGCTTGCTTTTTTTTTTTTTTCTTTCTTAAATATTGACTCAAATGTCAAATATAGACGCAATCATCTGGAAATGTAGAGAAATTTTATATTTTTTTTTTTTATTCAACTTTTTCTGACTATTACTTTAAAAAGAAAACAAAATAACTTTTGGCCGTTTAGATTATTATTAAAAACTCATTATAAATAAAAATAAAATTGTAAAAATTATTGATTCTTACAAGTGGAGATTAGGACGTGGGGTCACCGATTTCAATGAAACTTTTTGATAATACTAGGTCGAAAAATATCAGACCCATGTCTGAGGATTCTTGCCAATGAACCCTAGGAGCCGAGAAAAAAATGTTTTATAAAATTTTTTTTTTTTTTTTATGTTACTGTTTTCTAGTTTTTCTCTGCATGAATTTATAAGTTATTATATAACAATCTATTTTTTTTTTTTTTTTTTTTTTGTGTAAAATAAGGAAAACATATCGCTAATTGTATTAAACGAATTATAAGGTATAATAAATTACAAAACCCCATATACGCTTCCAGTAAGGTAGGGCAAGTAAATTTTGTCATGAAAAACGATTCAGATTTGTTTTTAGTTTATATACATCTGAATCGTTTTTACTTCTTGTGCATTGACAAGAACTCTCAGATATGGACTGGGCCTAATATTTTTTGACCTAGTTTTACCAAAAAAATTTTCATTGAAATCGGAGATCCCGGTCCCTAACCTACCCTTGTTAGTTAAAAATAAAGTTTAAAGAAATAAAAATTCACCTTTTCAACTTCAAAATTCATTTTATCTCAGACATTTCGGACCTCACTTGTCCATTTTTAAATCAATCTAATCTAAAATTAATTAAAGCATTGTGAACAACTACTGAAAAATTGTTTAAATTATTTAGTCTTAATTTATTAACATAATTTAAACCTAGTATAATTTTCGATATATATAAAATTTTGAGAAATACTCAAATACTATCTATTAATAATTATATTTACCTATTTAACCTCATCATGTGGAATATATTGTTATATTAAGGTTTAAGTTACTTATAATATTAAATACTCTGTTAACTACTCATTTTTATAGAAATATTGTGTTCATTTTAACCCTTGATATAATAGAATGTTATAAGGAATACAATGTCAATTTTTGTATTCATGATCTTGAACGGGTAAATATAATTATTATTATTTGGCTATTTCTTAAAGTTTTATATACATCAAAAATTATGTTATCAAAATGAAATTATTATAATGATGTAGAGATGGTTGACCGTGATATAATATGAGAGGCAGTTGGTCGGCGGGTGCGATTAAATAAATACGCAGTGGCCTATACCACATATTTATTTGACCGAACCACTCCCTCCTTCTCATGAAATTATTATAATTTTAATTACATAATTAATTTTTATTCAATATATGTACAATATAATATGCATTTTTGTTTGTTTAATTATACATAAAAACTTTGATTTTAAGGACATAATATAAATAATTAATACCAGAGATGGCATTTAAAAATGTGACAAAAAAAACTAATGAGTGCCACAGGTTCCCCACCTATAGGTGTTTGTGGTTATTTTTATAGTTAATGTTGTCAATATTTCAATTAATTTTGCATTAGATTGAATTGAAAGTGATGTTTGAAATGGCTTTTAACAGAAAACAAACGAGTTTTGATGTTGGTGTTGAATTCTTTTCACAAAATAAGCATTATAATAAATTACAAAAAACTTAGATATAAGTGGTCTAGTATATAGCTTATTGTTTCAAGCATTTATTTGTATAATGTAAAGAAAATATTTACCTGGTTAAAGTACCCTAATATAACTGGCTCAATATCTTTTTACAGTCTAAAATTTATGTAGAACTTTTTATTGTTAAGATTTAAATTCAGAAGAAAAAAAATTGATGGTAAATTAAGAAATAAGATTCTAGTGAAATGATAAAATCAACTATTCCAATCATTTATTTAGGTTATTTAATGATTAAGTTCTCAAATATTATTTTTAAAAAAATTTTCCCAGGCTTATTCTAAACAATGCTGAATGAACTATTTTATTCAGGGGTGTAAGTACAGTTTGACTTCAAATAAATGTTATGCCTCAATTTTTCATTATTTTCGTGGCTGATTTTTGAAACATTTATGTTTACAATTCATGCTCCGCAAAGAGCAACTCATACCAGTTTAGAATTTCAATTTAATGAGACAATCATGCAACGCCAAAAACACATTAGTTCCACATCACCATACATACCATTCTGTTACTAAAAAAACAAAGGAATTACATTTATTACTTTACTTTATTTATGGAGAAAATATCTTTTACATTTACAAAAATATTAACAATCACAATAATTTACAATGTACATGTCATTACAATACAAATAAAGTTAATTCAATCCATAACTAAGGATCATTATGTTTTTTTTTTAATTTTCTTTTCAAGCAATTTATAGAAGACTGTCAGACGCTTTTGGGTTTCTTCATCAATTTCACCACAAAGGGACTCATCTGGGTCCAAACCATCATTAGCAAGATAGGTCAAAGCCTAAAAATAAAAAAAAATATAAACATGAACAATAAGAGAACATAGGAATAAAACATTGTTTTATATTATTAATGTATAGATTAGCATTATTATTTTAGTTCAGTTAATTTTAATGAATTTCATACCCGGCCATTAGAAAGAGGTATGGTCATTTGTGGAACTGAAATGTTATCATGGGAAGTCACTAAGGGACTTCCATTCATTGAAACAACCATTTCTCCAAGAACAGGCCTTCTTAGGACACTCAAGGGTCTATCAATGTCTGGTCCAGGTGTTACCTTTGCAATATTGTAGCCTTTGTTATAACCTGTTCGTCTAGGAGTTACGTATTGCTGAAAACAAAGTAATTATAAAAATAGCAGTATTTGAATGGGTAACACAAATAGGTTTAGAAACAGAAATTTCTTATTACTAAATTTTCTTATAACTACAGAGACTGAAAGTTAGCATGCAAATTAATTTTAATGCCATCGTAGAAAGAATCAACAATTACTTGTCATATTTATTTTTTAAGCAGACTGAAAAGTTGTTGAACATTAATATTTGATATAATTTCGATTACTATGATAATTATACTTCCACAATATTAAAAACATAAGAAACTGCTTTGTAAAGTTTAGAAAATATTTACCTCTTTATTCATTGTTCGTGAAGCTTGACGTGTTTTCCTTGTTATACCTACAAAAATTCAATAAAATATGTATTAAATATTATCCTGCCTATCTTTTAGTCACCATTCTTATTTTCATACATTCAATTTTTTTTTATTTTTTTTTCATTTGATTTAATAAAACCTTTAATGAAGATGCTTTTTTAGCAGATAATATTATATGATATAAAATAATATATTTTCTTCTGGGTGATAAAAAGGAACTTGTAAGATTTTTATAAATATCTATATCTGGGATATTAGAAATTATGATATATACCTGCAGGTTTCTTAAAGACAGAGTCATTTTCCTCATCAATAATTTTTCGATTACTAATTTCATCATCTTAAAAAAAATAAAGAAATATTTGTTTAAAAAATCAGTACTATACATTTTTAAAGAACTTAATTGCAACTTTAGATAAGAAGTATGCACAAAAATTAACCTTTTTGATTGTTTTCTAGTTCAGGAACAATAGTGGCTTCCTTGGCCTGTACACAAAATAAAAATTTTATAGAACCATATTTATATTAAATTTAATCAGCTAGAGAAAAATGTTATACTTACACCTCCTTTAACAGTTGTAGTTCTTGTAGTTGTTTCATCTAAGTAAAAAAAATCAAAGATCAGAATTATATGAACTTTACAATAAACGCATGAATAATTATAACTTTAATAATATAATAACTCAAATAGTATAATTGGAAGTTGTTAAGAGGCTCATAAATCATAAGGAACACTTTTCTTTTAATTTAACTTCATGAACTAAATATTTCAAAATCAAAGAAATGTTTAAACTTCAGAATAATTGAAACAAATAAAGACTAATGATGGGCAGCATGCTATTATTTATCAAAATTCAATATAAATATTGAAATATATACAATAAACTTATTATTAGTTTTTTTTTTAATAATTGGTAATTGGTTGACTGTCGTGGATAATGAAGAGAAGAATAGTTGGGGTGCTCAGTCAAAAAGGAAGGCAAAAATAAATTATAATATTTATTTTTTACATATGCCGACGTTTCGACCTGAAGTTCAGGCCTTCATCAGGGCTTTCTCCTTAAGTGTCAAGGGGAGAAAGGACTTTTTTCTTCCCTTGACACTTAAGGAGAAAGCCCTGATGAAGGCCTGAACTTCAGGTCGAAACGTCGGCATATGTAAAAAATAAATATAATAATTTATTTTTGCCTTTCTTTTTGACTGAGCACCCCAACTATTCTTCTCTTCATTATTATTAGTTTTCATTATAAACATTCAAATAACGGGAAATTATATTTTTTAAAATAACACTAGATCATAGGAGAGAGTCCAGGCAGTTGTTTGATGAAAACAGAGAACTAGTAGGCAGTACAGTGATTTTATTAAGACAGTGTGGACATAAGGTATCTTCTTTTCTATTGGCATTGCTATATTGGTTCATTGGGTATCTAAATTTGAATCGTTTTTTGTTGTTATTTCAAATTAAATAGTAATTATTGCAACAAACTACTTGTACAGATACCAGAATATCCTATACCGATTTAACACAAACCCTTAATATAATTTTTGTGCCTTGAAACAATTAATAATAACTTTTTGTATCTTAGTTTTTTAGCCCTGGTAAAGACCTGCAACATAGGTTACAAATAAATATTACACCAAAATGGTGTATGATTGTGGCCACTTCCCAGACCAACTATAGTAAAACTTCTCAGTAGCAGACTGTTATAAAAAGTCAAAATTTGTCCGCTACAGAGAGATCTTGAATTCACAGTTCTATATTTCAACACTGCAATCACCTACTCTGGAATCAACTTATTCACTGTCTGTTTAGATATAACTTTCCCAACCAGAAATATACCTAAAATGACATTACTCAATCAGTAAATCATTCTGTCAACTGAAAGGCTCAGATACTGAAGTTATGTGGTTGATGGACTTGTCCTCCGAGGAGCTTTTAAACTTATCTGAGGTCACCTCAGATAAGATTGATGAAAATCTGGTAGGAGAATTACTAAAAACCCTAACAGAAGATGTCGGAACACTTCACGTCCAAACTGACCTTAAGGAGAAGGAACTGATGGAAGTGGCTTGTGCAATGGTGCAGGCCCAGGAAGAGTACATGGACGTCGAAGAAAGTAATAAGCCAGAAATGGTTAGAAGCCGATCGCATTCTGGACTCGACCACACGGAGTGCGGTGACCACGAGTCGGAAGACTCGAGGCCTGCCACGTGGAGGAAGATAAGGAATGCGAAGAGGCGACTTAGGAGAAGGGCACCTTTAGAGAACTCTGCCGAGGAAGCAAGGGCCCCAAAAGGCCTGGCGGACAAGGCAGAGAGTCGTGAAAGGGAGGCCTCAGATCAAGGGCAAATATCTAGCGAACTGGAGCCTACTCAAAGGCAGGCAGTGGAGGATGCAAGGGCCCCAAAAGGCCTGGCAAACGAAGCTGCCGCGCCGGAGGGTAAAGCTCCGATAACACAGGCAGGGGATGAGAAGGACGCATCCAAGAGGCCAGCATCTAAGTTTGCGAGGCCACGTAGGCCAGCAGCTAAGAGTGCGAGGCCTCAAAGGTTGAGGTCTAGATCAAGACTGCCTGTGGAGAAAAGAGCTAGGAAATCCCTAGGAGCCTCAGCTGTGGAAGCTAAGAAACCAAGGGAGGCTGAAAGGCCCAAAAACTACGCAAAGGTTGCGCAAGGACAGTTGGTAGCAGTAGTTCCTGTCGACTACCCGCAGATCCAGCTAACTTATGACCAATGCGAAGATCTAAAAGAAGCAATCGCAAGTAAAATTGACGAGCTCACAATAGGCGGTGACATACATCCAAAGTTCGATGGGGCGCTTTTTAAGCTCGGAGGATGTCTTGTATCCTGCCTAGACAACCATACGGTAGAATGGTTTAAAAGTATAACACCGAGCATCACAATTAAAGAAGGATTAACCCTACGAACTTGTGAAGCAGGTGATCTTACAAAAATCATCAGGATTGGAGCCTTCTTTCCAGGAAAGGCACTACCTGCTGATTATTATTTAACTCGGCTCCAGATTCAGAAGCAATCTATTACTGGGATAAAAACCTGGACCGTGTTTAACTTCAAGGCTCTGGAAAGAGGATCCTTTAGAGTTTTCAACATACCGGAGACTAGCCTCCAGAGCCTCACTGAACATGGAATGCAGGCCTGCTGTGGGATATATGTTATCACCTTCAGGTTTCTAGAATCAGGAAGTAAACCTGCTCCGGAGGAAATGAAAGAGAAGGCGCCGAAAGCAGGTACATCAAAGGAGAGGGAGAACAAGGAATCTTCCTCTTCGGGTAGGAGTGCGTCGAGGACGGGGTCGAGGCCGTCGGCTGGGGCAGGAGGCGGGGCTAAGCCAAAGGAACCAGTGAAAACTGGTTGCAGAGGCGAACCCCAGCCACTGTCGCGGTCAGGTGGCCAGACCTCTGTCTCGCAGCACCCATCTAACACTGGTGGTGGTTTGAAAGCGAGGCCGAGAGGCGGGGAGAAACCCAAAGACAAAGTGAAAACTGAGTCGGAGGGAAGAACCCTACCATCGGCCCCGTCTGGAAAACCACCTTCCAGAACATAAAACAATCAAAACATATGAAACTGCTGCAGATCAACATCCACCACTGCATTGCGGCATGTGGAGTGTTGCAACAGTACATAAAAGGTAATGATATTGATATAATATTAATTCTTGAACCTTACTTATATGAAGGCAGGATCAAAGGACTAAATATGCATGGGTATGGAATAATATCTGCACGCACATATCCTAAAGCCTGCCTACTTTTTAAAAACAAACTAAAACTGCTGCCTCTATGGCAATTTTGTTCTAGAGATCTTGCAGCAGCCAAATATACCCAACAAGGATATAACAAATCACTAATCATAGCGGCGGTTTACCTGCCATATGAACATCCAGAGCCTGAAGAAGGAATGGATGAACTATTAAAGAGTAAGGAGGAAATTGTTGCTGCCCTGGATGCTAATGCACACAACGAGATCTGGGGAAGCACAAACACCAACTCTAGAGGTGAGAAACTCTTAGAGACTATTATCAAATATGATCTTGATATTCTGAACAGGGAGAATAAGCCTACCTTTTGTAATAGAATTAGGACTGAGATCATAGACATAACACTAGCGACTCGATTGACTAGTGACCTTATAGATAACTGGCATGTCTCTGATGAAGAAACATGCTCGGATCACAGATATATCAGATTTGATATATCTGATAGAATACAACATGATGTGGAATATAGAGACCCCAAGCGAACAAACTGGGTGTCCTATAGTTCTAACTTGGAGGAGGCTGTCAAATGCTGCCCCAAAGTTATCCACAATACATGGCAATTAGAAATATTAAATACTTCAATTACTGATGCTATGACTAGAGCATATTTGGCCAGTAATGAAGCCAAAAAAACTACAACCAACAGGAAAGTGTCCTGGTGGAATGATAGTCTAACAAAGCAAAGAGCACTCATGAGGAGATTGTTCAATGCTTCTAAAAAATCTGGCAATTGGGATACCTATAGGAAATCTCTTACTGAGTATCACAAATCTGTCAGGAAAGCCAAAAGACAAGCCTGGAAAAGGTTTTGTCTGGAGGTGGACAACATGCCGGCGGTATGTAAGGTAAACAAAATACTGTCAAAACAAACCAATTCAGGTATAATGGGAACACTCAAATATGACGATAAGCACACCACGAATGAGATAGAAACATTGAGTGTGGTAGCAAAAGCTCATTTCCCAAATTGTTTTACGACAGTAAATGAACTTCTTGACCCCAATACACAGGATCGTGGTACTGGCGCACGTATGTGGGGTCAGGCAAAAAGAGTGATAACAAACAGTAGACTTGAATGGGCAGTGAATTCGTTCTCTCCTTTCAAATCTGCTGGAATGGACGAGATCTTTCCAGCACTGCTGCAGAAGGGTCTCCCAGAAATAAGGCCATACCTTCTGGAACTTCTAAGAGGTAGCCTAGCACTGGGATATCTAGCATGTAAGTGGAGGATATCCAAAGTGCGATACATTCCTAAACCAGGAAAGGAATCCAGTAAAGATCACCATCTTTACTGACAGTCAGGCAGCAATAGGTGCTCTTGACAATTATTATGTTTATTCAAAGGTCGTTAAGGAATGCAATAGAGCACTTATCCAACGAGATGGTGAAAAAGATGGTGATCTTTTTCTCAGTCACATTGGTTTGCAGTAGGTTTTGTACACAGTGGCAGATTGCCAGTATCTCGGATTGAAACACTGAAGCATACCTGCCAAGTGGTATAGAAATTTTTTCTTTTATATCTTTGCGATAGATGCCTGCTCCAGAGCCGAAGGCTGTTAGAGAGCCATCTGTGTAGCAATTTATTCCACTATTTGGTTTATGACTTCTGCTGCTATCTATCTCAACCTTATATTTTCGGTCCTGATATTCTCGGATTAGAGTGTCAGAGTGCATAGCTAGCACTCTTTCACTTCCAATCCTGTTCAGCAGTGTTGTGTGTCCTCCCTGACAGGGGACTGTTGAACAGTAAGTTGACTTTCTTATCCTGTACAGTGTAATTGTTGCCCGAGCCTCCACCACCAGCTGCAGCGGGGGCATGCCGAGCATCACCTCCATAGCAGCCGTCGGTGTTGTGCTCATTGCGCCTGTTATCATTATACAAGCAAGCCTTTGAATCTTTCCTAATAAGGATAAGTTGGCTAAGTGCTCTATTGCAACGAGCTAACTGAGCACAACAGAGTTGCAGTGGAGTGGGTGCCAGGCCATTCTGGCATACCGGGCAACGAGATGGCTGATGAGCAAGCCAGGTTGGGCTCAGATACTATTCCTATAACTCCCGAGCCTGTCTGTGGAATCAGCCTTAGTACTGCCAAGGGCAGGATCAGGGAGATCTATGGGAACAAATTTAGGAATTACTGGACCGACAAGAAACAGAGACACTCGAAGCTGTTCCTTAAAGGCCCATGTAAAAAAAGAAGTAAACAGCTACTGAACATGGACAGAGCAGCTCTTAAAAAACTTACAGGGATCAACACAGGTCACTGTAAGTTAAATAATCATATGTTCAATCTCCGAGTAATGACGAATCCGCTATGCAGATTCTGTCAGGAGGAGAATGAAACAGCTTTTCACATCATATGCAGATGTGACAAGTTTACAAGGCTGAGACTGGCGTTATTTGGGGAGGAACAGATGGATCTCCCCAGTAGATTTGAGTCGGTTAACCCAACCAGCCTACTTAGATACGCGGAAGCGACAGGACTAACGTTTTGAATAAGACGACCTAGCGAATATTGGCGCACAATGGACCCAAAGGGGTCGACGTGCTTAAAGCCAACATTAATAAAATAAAAAATAAAAAATATGTGGTTGATAAAAGCAGCTGGAGTAACTTGATTTTTATTGCCTAACGTTGATATAATAAATAGACTTTTTGCAATTTTAATGGTCTTAATGATTTGTTAAATGTAAGCTTTAAGCTTTAGCTCCGTTCAAAATAAAACTCAAAAGTTTTATAGTAGCCCATTGCCAGAAAATAATTTCTATTCAAAGTAGAACCATAAGTGAAAGTTATGTGTTGGCCACACCACATTTTTACTTTTAAGTCAACTGGGTTTTGCATATAAACACAGCTGATAAAAATTGCTTGGTAAGTACACACATGAAGATAAAAGTTTGATTAGTTAAAAAATTCTTAATATACCTGAATCTGATTCATATATCTTACCAGTCTCACCAGCATCCTGAAAATAAAAATAAAATAAAACAATAATATCTTTAAAATTTAAAGAAATAATAAATAACAAAAGATCAGCTTGTCAATCATATAAATCATTAAATTATTAACTTCCAATAATAAAATATTTTTACAAATGTCATAAAAACCCAAGAACCCATACAGAGGTATAGATTCAATTTCTATTTGGCTGTGCCCACATATTTTTCATATTTACTCCATGAAAATAAAAGCTGCATGAGAAAATGTTCAAAGAATATACCATAATGTAAAGGGTAGAATAAGAACAAAATAAAGATAATTGAAAATTCATAATTAAATGTACCGTTACTTTAAGTATATTGTAAAGAATATATGATGTATAAGGTAAAACCTACCCATTGTTGTAAGTTGAAGAGCTTAAAAGCAATAAAAATATCTATTTATGTTAGTTATATTTTTATTAATTGAATATTTAATATGATGACTTTTTCATAAGTTTTGGGGTTATCTGGGCTATAACTTGGCAGATATTAGTTTTTAGATGCTTCAATGCCTTTTTAAATAATTAAGGCCCAATCAAGCCTTCTAACCACAATGTGCACCACACTGTAACTTTTTGGGTATGCAATAGTGTCTTGTGTATCGCATGAGGATTTTCCTCACCCCAAATGGGGGAAATTTAATGATCCCCAAACAGCAGTTGTAAGAACCCTTGATCTAGAGCAGAAGTCTCCAAACTTTCTGACTTGCAGACTACATTGAGACCTCCACTAAGTCTTACGGGCCATGGCTTATAATGAAAAAAAAAAATCATTTTCTATTAATGACAACGCAGTTGTGAAATGAGCTTTCTATCTGAGAGAAGAAGCAACACAAGCAATAAATATTGTAATAACCTTGTTTAAGTGGTTAATAAAATTTCAAACATAGTTCTTAAAATTTTACCATGTAATCCAAGAAAACTGAGAGGAATGGAGTTGCTTGTGGGCGGATACGGCCTACAGGCCATAGTTTGGATATCTTTAATCTAGAGAATGAGGAACAGAGACGGGGAAAAAGAGAACAACAAAAAATTAATCTAAATCACAAAAAGCGATCCAATTCTATTTCAAGAAATTAAAGTAACAATTATAACACAAAATATAAATTAAAAAACAAGTTAGATCTATAAAAGACATGACTTCACGTGATAAGCATGCAGACAGTATAATTTGGAGGCTAAAAGCCTACAAAAAAAGTAATTTCTCTGAAATCGAAAAAGTTAAACCTGAAATAACATTTAAAACAACTAATCTATAAACTTTTCTACAGTTAGACGCCAAAACTTATGTTCTATTATCTGATTACTTCTATCTTTTTGGTTAAAAGACTTGAAGTAATTAAGATAATAAAAGATATTAAGCCTTTACAATGAAAATGAAATAATACATTTTAAAAAATAATCTTGAGTTTTTTAAGACATGGAATAAAAAAATAAAATAAAACATATACTTATGTTTTATTTATATTTTTTTCCCAAATTAAGAATCTAACTTCTGCTACTTCGAATCTCAGGCTCCATATAAAAATATAAAGTATGAAAAGATCTAGAATTGATATAACATAATTGAATAAATGTAACGAAAATAGGAATAACTATACTTACATCTGTATTTTTGTTATCAGATAGGCCACCTGAAACAAAATTTAACAATAAGTTCTTAAAATAGGAAATTATCTCTACATCTTATGTTTTATGAATTCTCTATCATGAATATATATTAGCAATAACAAACAACTAGTAGCATAAATTTCCATAATTATATCAGTAAGGAAATGACAGAAAAGGAAAGTGGGGTAGCTAGGAAGTACCCTAGTATTATCCCCTCTCAAAACTAATACTTATGAATATTTAACATATGCCAAATTCCGATTAATATTACGAATACAAATAGTAATGTTGCACAGCTGTGTAACCAAAACATATTCCGTAGAAGACAATTACAATATCTGTAAACCAATTTATAAGTAGGTTCACCTGAAAATTATATTTTCGAAAAATACAAGGAGATGAAGAAATTTACCCTTGAATTTGATCTTCAACTTCTCCAAAAAGAGTGATTAATAATTTTATTGTAGATATTTTGTTTTGTTTTTTAATTATGTGTTCCCTATTTTAGTTTCTTAATAATTATGTTATGTATTGTTTATTATTATTTAGTTTTAAGTGATTCATTAGGAATAAAATTGAACGTTATATTATAACTAAAATCATATAATTTTTAAATTTATAAGAATTGTAATACTTTAATTGATACGTATATTATGCGTGAGCGAGGGAATAGATCAGCATTTCATCCTCTCTGTAATGGACTTTTATCCAAAATTGCATCTTAATGCGACGCCATGTTAGGGAGGTGAAAAGGAAAAAATACTGTCAAAAACCAAATGGTAATGAATTTTTCGAAGATATGGATTAAAATATCTGAGAAACTAAAAATCGGATCTGCATACTGTAAGTTAGGGAACCATTAAGCATTTCATCCTCTCTATAATGAGCTATTATTTATAATTTATATTTCATATTATTCATCTCGTTGTTTCTCCTTGTTGATGTTTTCATTCACTTCTGTCGTGTGGTCAAAAACACATACTTCAATTATTTTTTTTAGAGTTTAGGGTTTATTAACCAATAATTACAATTTGGTCCGACCGAATAGCAACATCTCTCAATTGTTGCCATTAATGATAAGTAAATAATTTTTATATGATTATATTTTTTTTCTAATAATTTTAATATAATACAATTCGAACATAATATAATAATACAATAAAGTATAATGGTATAGTAAATTATTACATAATGATGTAATATAATGTATATATATATATATATATATATATATATATATATATATATATATATATATATATATAAAATAAATACTAAATGGCAGTAATGAGATCTATAAGATTATATGATATAATATAAAATTTAAATGATAATTAAGATCATATATAGATATGAATATATAGCAGTGATAATTTATAAGAAAATAAATAAAGGAAATAATAAATATGAAAAGAAGTATATGAACAATAATAAGAATAATAGCTTGACTGGAAGGAATAGAAATTTATAACAGAGTTTATGTGATAATCATAGGAATATATCTTGTACATCAATAATTGGAGTGATTAGTAGAAGAAAAAGACATAAATACAACAAGATAAGGAAAAAGAAAAATCACAGTATTTGATCCATAGAATTAAAGGTAACGGAAACATAAAACTGAGAAAGTATCCAATTAAAGATTTATTTTTTAATTCCCTTAGTGTTAAGTCCATTCAACAGATCTTTTTATATTCCATTGAACAGATAGGGAACGAACCATGTAACTCAATGTCTGTTTCTGAACTATTGTCAAATGTAGATTCGAAGTACTTAGTTGTGTTTCTGATGTTAAACGTAGCTGATTTCATTTTTAATAAGTCATCATGCTTGAATTTAAGTTATTTTGTATATATAAAATAAATTTGGTGATAATGATCGAGCTATTTTGAAGTTTTCTTCTGTATCTCTGTTTTTACTAACTAGGCCTGTAAAATACATTATTCACAATAAAAATTATATGAACCAGTTTTATTAATTCTCTTGATAAGGTGCCTCTTCTGATCCGGTGACTAGAGAAAACTGCTCCACACTAGTCAATGGAAAAGTAGCCTAGGATTAGGTAAAGTCGAAAGCCAACTTGGACCTGCCAGGGACCATTTCAATAATTTTATATTAAATTAATAATTGTTGCATGTAACTGACTAATTCACTTTGAATTGTTAGTAGTTCACTCAGGTCAAACAGGAGACATCTCCATACCAACAATGTAGGTTTCTTAAACAACTTCAATATAAATCACTTCTCAGGAAAAAACTAACAGGTTTATTTAAAAAATGAATTCAGATTCATGTTAAGTATAAAAAATTGGGTATACTATAAACACCGAGTTGAAGTGGCTTTATCCTTCTTGGTGTTTTCTGTTTCCAAATCCTCAGAGCCAAAAACCCTCCCTAAATCTTAGGACTCTTACTTTATCCACTCTCTTAATACCATATCTCAACTTATAGATTTATATATCCCCTCCTATCAAACTACTTCCTTCAGCCAATCCTATGTCATTCGTGCTCTACCTCCTTTTAGAACTCTCTACCTACCTCTATACATTAATCCTCTTCCAAGAATTCCTATAAATTATTCATATTCAAACTTCTGCAAACATGTAAAATCTACTTGCTTCTGTACACTGTATAATTCAATCAACTGAGTAAATGCAAATTAAATTATAGTTAATGATAAAATTATTTTTCATTTCATAATAATGATCTCAGGTTAAAAAAAAAAGATATTTTGTGCTTATTTCTTTTTTATTTAATATTATTGAAGGAAGTTAGTCGACTGTTCTACAAATCACAGGGAATAAATAGTCAGGACGCAGTCATTTGCAAGGTTTTTATAGGTGCTGATGTTTCAACCCAAGCAAGGGCGTGTTTCACTTGAGTGCCAGTAGTTGAAATCTTCAGTGCTCAAAAAAAGCTCTGATGATAACCCACAAGCTTAGGTTGAAACGTCAGCATCAATAAAAACCTTAAAAATGATTGCGTCCTGACTATTTATCATCTATGTCATTTAGATTATAAAAAGGAAAGATAACTTTGTGAGCAAGGTGCAAAAACTGCATTATTCTTTTATTTCTAAGAATTGGATATGATAAAAGATGTTCAAAGGCTAAAATGAATAACAAAAATTCTACCTAATCCATAGCATTATTTGGTTCGCTTCTATTACTACATATTATTTTTAAATATAAAAAGATGCCAAGAAGATATTTTTTACTTTCTTATCATTACAAAGATGGAAAAAAATCATAGACTATTGTCATCTCTTAGGTACAACATTGAGATGCACCACAATACGGAAATGATTATTTGATTCAAAATCGATTAGAAAACTGTGAGAATACTTGATTATAAAAACAAACACAATTCCAACAATACAAATCCCTTTAATTTTCCGATCCTACCATTAATCGGTTTGTTAACTGATGATATAGTAAAAAATCCTGAAGTATAGAAAACATAAAAATCACATCTTAAGGGTTTTAAAACAGATAAATTTTTTGAGTAATTGTATGATCAATATTAATTTTAAATGAAGTTATATCCTATAAATAGCTCCAAAGCAGTAGCCAGGCAACAAACGTAAACATACTCTTTCAATAAATATTTGTTGCTAGGCAATGAAAATTACTAATAAGTTTGAAAAAATAGTAGATTATTATTACCGAGATTTTTTTCTCTTAGTTACAAAAGTGATATTTTATTAAAATTGACTTGTTTATTAAACATGGAAGAACAACCAAATAAATAGATAAATAAAACTGACCAAGAGCAATGTTGTAAAGCTCAGCAATAAACTTTATGATCTAAGGGTAAAATTCAGCTCAAATGGATGATCTATAATTATTCAATTCACCATTCAATAAAGTAAGTTGCATGGAAATTAATAAATACATGTTCAAGCAATTTTGCATGAAAAACAATCAGCCTAACAGATAAGAACTTTAAGACGGCTTAAGATATATGTCAAGGCCAGAAACACTTAATCAAGAATTCTAATATATATATATATATATTTTTTTAAATAAAACAGTTGCTACTGTTTTGTCGGTCCTAATGTAGACAGTTATGCAAATAGTTAAGTAGGCTGAATAAACCGTTTAGGGTGTGATTTCACCAATTGCAAACAAGAACGATTGTGAAAAATGGCATTTTAGAAGAGTTATATCTCGGCTCCTAGAAGTTCAATTGCAATTCAAATTAAGAAACGTTTTCGTCTTGTATTAAAGCAGAGGTCTCCAAACTTTTTGGACCCCGGAGTATACTGAGGCCTCCGAGGGAAATGGTTTGTGATAAAAAAAAAAAAATCTTGTTCTATAAATGGCACTTCAGCTGCGAAATAAGCTTTCTAAAAGAAAAAAAAAAAACATGCTAAATTTTATATTTTTAAAATTTTATCATATACACAAAGAAGCTAATGGGGGACAGATTGAAGGTGCTTGTGGACTGCAGGCTGCAGTTTGGAGAGCCCTGTATTAAAGTATAATTGTGTAAAATTTCAAGCTCTAGGACTAAGTATTTCCTGAGATTCAGAAACCCAAAAATCCTCACAAAATAAACAGGTTGACAAAATAAAATTATGTAGCTTTGTTATATTTCTGTTGTTAAGCCTAGTCAAATCTGTAAAAAAAAAAAAAAAAAAAATGTTCTGCCAAAAGGTAGGGTAATTCAAATTTCTTTTTTTGTATTGTTAGGTATGTAGTGAATATAAAAAATACAAGTTTCCGCCCTTGAAAGCCATGTGAGTAATTAAAAACCATTGAAATGTCGAACTTTTTTTGGTTTATGCTAAATATCTTCTTTTAAAAATGAGATAGATAAAAAACGGTTATATTTAAACAACTTAAAATTATCTAACATTTTTTTCTAAACCAAACAGGAAGCGAACTGTCGAGTTTTCAAAATGGGTGGTTTTGAAAAATTCGCAAATAACATATAACTTTTATATATTATTATATATTATATACTTTTATATATATATAAACATATATATAACACATATAATTTTTTTAAAAACTAATTATCTGTTTTTATAGGTGGCTTAGCTAAAATATTTAAAATAAATCTTAAAGCACAATTTACCATCGCTTTTATAGGAAACATATTTTTCTAAACTTGACAAATTAAATACAAATCGCTAAAAAGGAATCAAAGTTTTGAAATTCAAAAAAGTCCTTATAGTTTTATTTTTACTGTTTTTCACTTGTTTTAATAAAATTCGTCATCAACTATTATTGTTAAAACGTCGGCAAAAATTAAAATAATTTATATATTTTAATTTTTTTTTATTTATTTGACCGCACCCTCGACTAACTCCTCATATCATTGTTTTTCTTGTTAATTTTAATGCCACCTCATTCAGCACTCATAAATGGCATAGTTATAATTCTATACAAGAATATAGGAGGCAAAAAGAAAAAAAAAAAATATTTTGGACAATTAAATTATTTTATTAATATTTGTTTGTTAATACAACCAAAATAATGTACTTTTATTATACTAGCCAGCCCGTGCAAAAAATTCGCACAGCATATTGTTTTCAAATGCCTAATTATTAAGAAAAAAAAATAATGCAACATATCAAAAGATAAAAAAATAATTGTTACTTTATCGATAAATATAAACGACACAGGAAACAAAAATTATTTTAAATCTTCATTAATGTTTGGAACCAACATGTTTACAAATTTCAATAAGCTGTATCTTTGCTAAAAATTGTCCGATTTCAATTTTTTTTTAATTTAGTAATCTTTTATATAATCATGGGCATAACCAAGGGAAAAGTGTGTAATTTTTTAGTTATTCGCAAATAAAGTATGTTTTCTTTTATAACTTGTTTGCCTGAATTTTCGGGTTGATTGGACTATTTTGCCCGCCTGAAGGAGAAGGAAGCATTCGAAATTGGTGGCTCAATCTTGAGATTTGATGAAGAATTAACGATAGTAGGCTTGCCGATCAAAAACACCATCGATGAATAATATAAACTCCTCCTCTCTCGATCATAGAGGCCTCAAGTTGACAAATGAGACATGTATTCAATGGCAGTACTACAATTAATGTAAAATTGTGGGGATTCGAACTATATGCCTTGTATTATCTCGAAAATAGGGCTTAAAAACGCAGGATCCGATAGTTCCGGGTCTTGCTGTACACATCAAAATCTTCGAGGCCCAATTGGTCCCGTATCGATCTACAGACCTACCACCATTCCTGTATTGAAGCCTAGCAAAATGTTTGTATCGACTTTATTTATTTTAGAAAGAAAAACAAAAGTGGAGAATGCGATTCACTAACCCCTCTTGAAATTCTGAATCCAACAGTACCCCATTCATGGTATTTGAGTCTGACAGGAGCTTATATTGGGTACAAAACTGATTTCGAGACTTACTGTAATAATATATGTGTGGATGGATTATTATAACGTTATTATGCCATTTATGAGTACTGAATGATGTGGCAGAGGACTCGAGGCGCCAATGCCGCTTTTCCGCCGATTAAGTATATTTTCTAAGTAACTACTTCAAGCATTTTAAAAGAAAAGGTAATCACCGATTTAGAAAGAGAAATGTATTTTTCAGATGTTTTATTTCAGAACGTTTTTCGTTATTGTTGACCGTTTAAATACAAACGACGTTTGATTTTCAACTTTAGTTTGAATGACATGAAAAAATAGAATTTACCAGTTTTTTTTTTGCCAAAGGCAATTATTTTTTCATGTTTTTTTTTTTTATTCTCTAACTATCCAGCTTTAATAAAAAGCCAATTATGACAAAATTAAGCCGAATGCTGATTCTCAGTGACTAAAAAACTAACTCAAGTCAAAGCCAAAATCTGCTATTTTGATACAGTGCGGCCACGTTTTTTATAGGAACATTAACTTTTTTCAAATAAATAGTTATAAAGAACATAAATATATACAATTTATCGGGATGTGGGGAGAGGGTGCACGGTAGGGGGGTCTGATCCATGGTATAAAATACTTTTCAAAACACCTCCCGACTATCATCTACCATTCCATTCAATGGCTCAATATCTTCTAGGAAAATCTCCATATTCTCTGGACAACATTCAAAATAGAGTAATGGAATACTTCCGTTCAAAATGGAAAAAGTAATATAGTAAAGAAATCGAAATGTGTAAATATTGAAAGCTAGATAGTTCTCTTCCTCTGGGGTCAAGAAAAAAATGTTGAATAATTTTAGGCTGTTAAAGATTGAATATAACTGTTTTTTTTCTATACCGCTCCAAAAAGGAGATATTAGCGTAGACCCAAAAAAGTTTGAAATTTCAATAGTTTTGGAGCACTGCAGTGAACCGGCAGAAACTTGAATTACCCGACCTTTTGCAAGATAACATGTCTAATTTGACTGGGTTAATTTTTCATTTTGATAAATATATATTTTTTTTTTTTTGGTGAGATAGAACGTTATCACAATATAATAAAACTAATAGTAAATAATAACATACCTTCATTAAATTTCTTGAACATAGCTCTTGCTACCTGAAACATAAAATAATTCTTTTTTTATTGTAAGGAAAGTTGATAGGAGGATGTAGTCACAGATGAATTAACACAACACACAAATAAGAAAAGTAATTTAAAAAGTATTTAGTAATTCATATGCATAATGAATGGAAGATAACATCCCGAAAAAGAAAAAAAAATTATTAAGCTTTCATCATTCAGGTTGTAGAATAGAGATCAACAATCTTTATTTATTTTATTCTACATTAATGTGACTTCTAGTCCTGACAACACCTGAAATGGTGAAGTGTACAAGGCCAGGAACTGAACCAATTAGGTTGTGATTTCACCTATATTGAACAACTGAGAAAAATGGTATTTTAGAAGTGTTATACCTTCGCTCCCAGAAGTTCAAAGTAGAAGAGTATCACAAAAATTGTACAAAAGCGGCCAATTTCCACTTCTTTCATAACTAAAAGTTATGGAAGGTATTTCAGGATGAATTGATATAAGGGTCTATTTTCACTAAAAATCGAACTTTCTTATTTATATTTTGTCTGCTGGTCCTAACCAGTTAAATTTGAAATCTTGATTAGCTTAAATTACTCCAATGCTTTCAACTTCCTCTCATGATGATCACTCAAAAAGAATAAACAAACCCATTGGTACTTTTCAGTTTCGGTTGGGGCCTTACCAGATGGTTCAGCCACATCAGTCTACTTTTGGAGACACTAGGTGGTTCTAATCCGTGGAACAGACCTCTTTTTATAAAATTATTAATATCCGGCTGAAACTTTAATGCCTTCATCGCATCGTAGGTAATTATTATATTTATGAAAAATCTCAGAATTGGAGCGTTTACAATCTGGAGGTCGGCAAACTTCTATTCAAATGGGTGATAAAAACTCGTAAATGCCCAATTACATTTTCACTTAGATCGTAAGAAAACTGATCACAAAATCAATAAAAAAGGTAGCCTACAAAAATATTGGTCCATTTGGCCTATACAACCTAATTACTATGACAATTTGGAGGTGTAGGTCACGCCAAACGGCTCAATATTTTTGAAGGCCACCTTTCTTCTCAACTTTATGTTGAAGTTATCTTACAATTCAAGTGGAAAGCAAATGGGTATTTACGAGTTTTTAGTACCTAATTAAATAGACGAAGTTTGCCTACCTCCAGATTAAAAACGCCCCAATTCCGAGAATTTTCGTAAATAAAATATTTGTAGGTTACGTTGAGATGAGGCTATTTACGAAGTTTCAGCCGGATGTTAATAATTTAATAAAAAAGGGGTCTGTAATATGAAGAATTTCATTTATAATTTGATCTTGAGATCTTGTGGCAAGGTGGAGCAAAAGTTGCACCTACTATCCTATTTTTAACAATAAATTACTCATGTTGACTTCCCATTCCCTTTAAAGTTCCAGTTCCCAAGTTTTAGATGTTGCTGCATTAACATAAACATTAAGAAAAATGGGCTTACATTTTATTGATGAGCATATACTACAGAGGACAAATTCCATACAATACCAGCTGCATTATATAAGAGAAAAGTAAAACTAACTTCCCCTTTTTGTTCAACTTATGATGGAGTTGAAAATAAATGACACACTTAAGAAAAAAAACAAAGAAGAACAAAAGAACAAGGATAAACAAAATTCAGAACTTACCTTAAGAGTTTCTGGTGTTACGGGAAAGTTGAAATCACCTTTAGAAAGGCATTCTTCAATAGCTTTATCAAATACTTCGAATTCTTCTGTACAAAATTTAATTAGTCTTGCTTTGTAATCATCTGCCACTTTTTGAATATGAGAGGCTGTAAGCAAATCGATATATTACTTTCTTTTCATATTTCGAGCGCATAAATAATATTTACTGAATGAATAACTTAACAGTAACAATAAGATACTTTTAAAAAATATACATAATGCATACATATTGCTAATATATATGGGAGTGGGGTAGCCGTGCAGGCTAAGGCGCTTGCACTAGGTAATCAAAGTTAAGCAACGTTGAGAATGGTTAGTACTTGGATGGGTGACAGCTTGAGATTCCTCTCCCCTCCCGAGGTATGTGAGGCCCATCAGCCTACTGACTCAGTATTCATACTGACCGGGCATAGGACTGATGACCCTATCCCGATACTTGAAACAGGGATCGGGATGTGGTCTACCAGGATATTAATAGGCCCCCTGAGGTTTTGGTCCATAGACAGTCCGTTTCGGAGAAAGAAATATTGGTCCTCGTGCGCCTGCTGACTCTGAGCAACCATAATCCATGGATCCAGACTGATCTGTTAGTCATTAACAAAGTGAGTTGGTGGGAAGAACACTGCCAGATTGAACCCCAAAGGGATCGGCTATGGAGCTACACCATGGAGACCATGGTTAGTAGCAACGTGAGGTTGGGTGACCACCTCCAGGCTAGCTGTGCTCCCGCAAGCAATGTACATCTGTACATCTCGCGGCCAAGGACTTCATGGTCTGTAGCACCAACAGAAAACAAAAAATTTATAAATATATATATACACTAGATATTATGTTGTAATATTGTTTTCAGTTTTTAGGCATTTCAAATAGCATCCATTGTTTCATCATATATTTTATTAGTTATAATTGCTGATTGACGTTTCAGAGCAACAATTCCCATCTTCCGAACATTAACTAAAATTCTGGATCAATTAAACTAATTTAACTATAATTTACAATATTCTAATTTTAACTATTATTACATAATAATTATTAAGATATCATGGATTTATACCAAAAAAGTCATAAAAAACATTTGATGAAATTAAATCACTATGTACTTTGAAGAATTTTGCAACTGTGAAATCAGAACATTGTGTACTACTAAGTAGTGCAACAATATATGACAAATAAAAGGGTGAATTATCGCCATCTTCATATATTTACATTTTTTTAATCAATCAATGAGGTTGAAATTCACATCTTCAAAATCAATAAAATTTAAGTCATAATACATTAAAACACATATCTGCATACTCCCAGCCCATTATGAGTCAAAACTAGACAAGTCAGATAATTTTACTTAAGCCTCTTGTTGATCGCTACCACTATCCTTACGTTAATGATATTACTATTTGTTATCTACATTCTTTTTTAATTTCTCTTAAATTGTCGATTTTTAATAAATTAAATATTGATTTAACTTAAATTGTTTGATTTTAATTCAGTAATATATCCATGTAATGTATGTTTGAATTTTAAACCACTACCTCCAACTAAGTTAGAATACAAATTACAAAAAAAAATTGGTTTCTGTTCACAAATATTACAGCATAAACTATTGTATCACCTAAAGTGAGACAATACTTCAATTAAGCATTCAATCAGGATTTAATCAAAAGTCAGAAGGTACCTTATATTTTAGCATTTAAAGTAAACAGATAGCTCGAGCACATTACATAACTTCCAAAACATTTATTCTTAAAAAGTGACTAAAACTTACTATGTTCGAGAATATGAAGATCAAGATCATTTTTACTTAAAATGTGTTCTTCCCTTATCGGAGAGGAAGCAATCCCAGGGTAGAATTCAGAAAATTTGGTGCTGTTTAACCGATTCTTGGCACTAGTAATTCTAGGCATGATTATTAAAATTAATGATACAGGCTTTGGTGAAGCCTAAAATACCTGAATCAAAATTAAAATAATAATAAAATTAGACCCGGCATAAACAACTTAATAACATCAACGAACGACAATAACCTCACCAAAAGTAACGGTTTTCCAGTTTGAAATTGTGTGGGATTTGGGAAGTGTAGCCAACATACGCTATAAAATAATTGGGACAGATTAAACAAGAAAACAATATGGTTATTTATATTTTATGCATTAAAGTTTCAAGGTTCGTGTTTACTATCTTGGAATTATCAGATATTCTTCGTCAGTTGTTTCCCCAATACCTTAATTCCTTTCTCGAAAATAAATACTTTTTTTTTTTGTACCAAAGACTACAACAATCCCCATTTTCAGATTACCAAGAAATATAACTGCGAATAACAATAATTACACAGCTAATTCATTCAATAAAAATAATAGCGATTAAAATGGAAAAATAAATTTTAATTTAAGAGTTACTAACTGGCAAATCTACAAGTCTCCTTGGGATTGGACATTTTTGGAATAAATATTTATCTATATAACGATTGATAGAAACATTTTATTTATTAATGTTCTACACCTTTCTCAATTGTACGCAATATTTAATCTGACATCGTTTTCATAAAAAGCGTCCTTGACAACTTAATACCCCCGCAGGGACTAGCTGATGTGCAAGGCTAGTGAAGAATAACGCTCTCCCGGTCTCCCGAGTTCAGTAAACTGCACAAACACACACAAAACAGTACACAATACATATACACTGACATAAGGTCAGATGCACTACATACTCTAGGGTCACCTCTCCTGGGAGGACCCTGTGGACTAGGGTATAAATTGTCCCCAGTCGTCTCGAGGTAACGGGGCCTCCATTACACTGCCAATCACCCGTAGTGGAGTAAAACTGATTTAAAGCAAACAAAATTGTCTCAAAATGGACGGACAAATTGGTCACTGTACAGCGCTCTAAAGGACATAAGAATTGGAACATGGAATATTAAAACATTGAATGGCAAGGAAACAGAGATCGTGGAGGAGATGAAGTCATATGGTGTGAATCTAATGGGCATATGTGAAGTGAGGATAAAAGGGCATGGAGAAGTACGTCTGAATGAGCAACACATACTTATATACTCTGGGGTTCCTGCAGGTTTTAGAGTAAAGGAAGGAGTGGGGATTATAATGAAAGAAGGCCTATTTGCCAAATTAGAGGACTGGGAACCCATATCTTCCAGAATAATAATAGCAAATATAGAATTGTCAATTGGTAAAGTAACTCTGATTCAGATCTACGCACCAACAGAAGATGCGGATATTCTAGATAAGGAACATTTCTATACAGATCTCGAAAAAGAAGTCACAAAAGGGCAAAACAGAAACAGAGACATAATTATAATGGGAGAATTCAATGCCAGAGTTGGACGGGACTATACAGTCGGACACGGAGTCATGGGTTATCATGGAGGTGAGCACACAAGAAATAGAAATGGGCCAAGGGTTATAGATTTCTGAGTTGATTATGACCTACTCATTGAAAATTCTTTCTATCCACATATAGGAATCCACAAAATAACGTTCTCTGCAGAAGAAAGAAATGTAAATAGTATAATAGATTACATTATATACAGTCGAAGAATCAGGAAACTGTTTACAGATATCAAAGTAATCAGAGGTGCCGAAATTGGCTCAAACCACCTTCTCCTTATAGGAGATACTCAAATCCTCTCTCCCAAGAAGAAGTGGCCCAGAAGCTATATGAAAATTAACATTAAGAAACTTCAGACACCTGAAAACAAAAAGAAATATAAAGAACTTCTTGATCACAATATCCAGGAGGTCAGGGTGGATGGAAATGTGAACGTTCTGTGAGAAAAAAAAAAAAATGCAATAATAGACTCAGCAACGACGACTTGCGGGATCACAAAAATCTCACCGAAAAGCAAAAGATCAGAATGGTGGAATAAAAGAGTGAAGGCGGCAGTCAAAAGAAAGAAAATTGCTTGAAAAGACTACATTAGAGATAAGACTCCAGTAAATTGGGAACTCTATGTTCGCAGAAGAAATCAGGCGAAGTTAGTTGTTAGAGTGGCAAAAAGGAAGAGTTGGGAGGAATTTGGGAGAAGCCTACAGAGCAACTACCATGACAATGTTAAAATTTTCTGGAAAAAAATTAAAGCAATAAAAACAAAGAAAAGTAAGCCCATAAGAAATGTAAAGGATGAAAGAGGCGAATTAATCACCAGAGATACAGAAATTCTGGATAGATGGAAACGCCACTATAAGGATATTTTCTCAAGCAATGATGCTGACAATAAATTGGATATATGTGAAACTCCTCTACAAGAATTTGATTAGATAATTTGGGAGGAATAGGTCGAAAGTGAGGTAGAAAAACTGAAGAATGGTAAGGTAGCTGGTAGGGATGGTATTGTTCTAGAATTTATTAAATATGGGAGACCTGAGCTGATGAAAGCCCTACAATGTCTCTTTCAAGAAGTACTGACTAAAAAAGTTATTCCAGAGGATTGGAAATGTAATGTTATTGTTCCAGTACATAAGAAAGGAAATACTAGCGAATGTGGAAATTACAGACCTATTTGTCTTTCACAGGTTGTTTATAAGATATATACTTCAATACTGGAGAAGAAACTTAGAGCAATGGTGGAGGAACATTTAGAAGAGGAGCAAGCTGCTTTCAGGCCTCACCGTCAAACCCAAGACCTCATATATTCTTTAAGAACAATAATCGATAAGGCTTGGGAACGGAAATGAAATGTATTCCTCATATTCTTAGACATAAAGGCTGCATTCGATTCCGTTCCTAGACAAGAACTATGGAAGGCCCTGATGGACAAAAATATTCCACAAGGATTGATAGATGCTATATGGTCCACGTATCAGGAATCAAAGGGTATAGTTAGAATAAATGGAATAGAGTCCGATATCTTTGCCATGAGTAAAGGTGTTAAGCAATGAGATAGCTTGAGCCCCTTACTGTTCATTATATATATGGACGAAATTTTAAAGATTTGTAAACGACGAACATTGCGAACAGTTGTAGGAAAATGGAACATGAGGACGATATTAACGCAAGTAATGGTCTTTGCAGATGACATCGTTCTCATATCAGACTCAAAGGGAAATCTGCAGCAAGCGGTGATCGAATAGGAGGCTGAATTAGCAAGAAAGGATATGGCAATTAATGTCCGAAAGAGCAAAGTAATGCAGATTGGACGGGAACAGGAGGTTGTTCAAATTTATCGCAAAGTAGAGGTACTGGAAATGGTGGAGGACTTCACATATCTAGGTGCAGTAATAAACAAGAACGGAAGGGTTCACCATGAAATTTCAAAAAGGATTAAAAAGGCCAATGATGTGTATTACAGCTTATGCAGTACAGTCATTGGGAAAAGGAAGGTAGAGAGGAATGTAAAAATGCTCCACCATTTTTGAAGCGGTATATCTACCAACCCTTATATATGGGAGTGGAAGTTGGATCCCATTAACCAAACACCTTAGCAGAGTTACTACTAGTGAAATGAAATATCTTCGAAGGGTAGCCGGCAGAACCAGGAGAGACCGGATCAGGAATGAAAAAACAAGAGACGACCTAGGCACTGTCTCACTAAAGGATTCTATGGAAAAGAGGCAGCTGAGATGGTTCGGGCATGTATGCCGAATGAATGAAGACCGAGACCCACGAAAATTCATGGAGGCGAGACCTGTAGGAAAGCGCGCAAGAGAAAGACCCAGATTGTCGTGGATGAAGTACATCTCCCAGATCGGGCAGAAAAGAGGTATGAGGATAGGAGATATGAGGGCTCTAGCTAGACAGTTTATTCATACAAAGCGCCCCTCCTCCCCCCCCACCCAAGTGGACACTCGTATTATTAGAAATCTAAAAAATCTGGTGCGCGCAACACACAACTTTCACTTACCGATCTACTATGAATAAAAATTATTTTTTGGCTATGCTGGGCTATTATAAAATTTTTTGATGTGTATTTTAAACGAAGCTAAAGCTTAAAGCTAACAGATAACAAGTCATTAAGAACATTATAATTACAAAATGTCTATTTAATATATCGACGACAGGCAATAAAAATCTAATCACTCCATCTGCTTTTATAAACCACACAATTTTTTTTGCTTTTATAAACCTCAGAATGACTAACTCCAATTTCAACATTTTTAGTAATGTCATTTTAGTGATATTTTTAGTTGAAAAAGTTATCTATGCAGAATATGAGTAAGTTGATTCCGGAGATGGTGATTGCAGTGTTGAAATATAGAACTAAGAATAAAGGTATAAATTTAGGTACTTATTTCTTATGAAAGATGTTCTTAGGAAAGATACTTTATTAAATTTCTGTAGAAAAAAGGTTTTTTTAGCCTCAACATTAAAAAAGAATATTTTAAATTTATCCAAATTTTCGCCTCTTTAGGGAAAAGAACTAGAGACCATATCTTTCCTCCTAATTGTCCGATTTTAACGATTTTTTTTTCTTTTTTTAGGAAATTCCGTAGACTTTTAAAAAACCATAACAATATCGACAAAAAAGTGTATACTTTTTGGGTTATTCGGAATTTAATTTTACCATCCCTCGTAACTTTGTTTCGAGCTTCTTTTCGTTGAAGGATGTTATATAGATAAATTTAAAAGGTGTCGAGAAAATTACATTAGCAAAGTTTCATTGAAATCGGTACATTCGTTTAGGCGCTGCAGTCTATAGCAACGCAGGTTTTTCTGAATTTTTTATTTTTTTCTCCTTTATTAACTTATCAAATACTTTCAAAAGTTATATTTAGCATTTTTTCGTAACTCTGAATAATGTGAAATGATTAATTTTTTAATATAAACCATATTAAAGGTACTTTAGAGGAAGACGTATATGAGCATTGGGCATTTAAGCCCTGTAAAGTGACACCAATGAGGATAAGACCTAATTGGTATTAAAGATTACTTCATTATACATTGATACACCGAGTTTAATCAAAATCGTTAGAGCCGTTTTTGAGAAAATTATAAAAATATGTTTCAGCGTTGAGTGGCACTTCCGGTTAGCCGATTTTGCGGAAAAAATTGCTGTCACATTTGAGGCATATACCTATACCTATAAATACGCAATATCAGTTACGTACAACTTTTCGTTTTTGAGCTAGACTGCTGACATACAAACACACAGACACACAGGTCATTTTTCGGGACTTGGTCATTTCGACTCAGGCTACCTCAAAACGAGTATTTCCGTTGATAACTCAGATTCAAAAATTTTCTCGATCGCAATACTTACCCTTACTATATATTACATATATATGTAAGTGAAAGTAAAAATTACATAAACTAGATAGGCGATTGCGCTATTCTAAAAAAAGGCTTGCTAAAGTAAATTATTTTATTTATTTATTTATATGAAATTTGCAACTGTATACAAAAAATACTAAAATAAATTATAAATCCAATTATTCCAACTTCAATTGAAAAACTTGAATAACAAATAAAAAGATAATAGATAACTTAAAATTATTTATTATCCAAATGATAAAAATTCTTTTATAAATAGTTATAAAATATAATATACAGTATATGCGTATTTACAGCCAATACATGTAAGCACGTGTCAATAAAAATGTTATTACTAAAAGCATTTTTTCAACAGACCTTAAAGAAACGACTCAAACATTATTTTAAATATTTTTTTCTTTTTCTTTCACAGTAATAACTGTTATAATAAAAATTAATAATTAACTAATTAGTAAATACACAATTCGTTAATAAATTGTTAATAAGGAAGTTCCATTTTTTTCCCTTCAAAAATGCATGAAAAGGGATTGTGTGACGGGGCAATAGGTGACGTCATAAAAGATGACAAAAGTTGGCTGTTTTCGGGATTCCACGAACAAGTGTAATCGGAGTGATTGGGAACCCCGCGTAATCCGTGCGGAACTCATGTGAACTAGTAATTAATTTTTATACAATATGTTTTTTTTATCTCTACTCTATTTCTTAAATATTAGACAATTACGAAACAAGAAAATAAGCAATTTAAAACGAGAAATGTTTAAATGTGGAGGAGCAAAATAAACTTTACATGTCATGAACATTACAGTTACCTATTCAATCTTATTTACATTTTTAAGTCGGCCAATTGGGCAACATTGCTTAACAAGATCGAAATGATTGAGTCAATATCATATTTTGTAAATATATAGACAGTGTAAAGGGACCCTTTGGGGGACTGTCTTGGAATATATTTTTATTTTATAACAGTCACGTGACACTTCAGGATCAGGAGTAACCTACGACTACAGACCCATATGGGTTGTGGGCGGGGTGGCCGAATGGGCTAAGCGTTCTGCATAGCACCACCGTTGCCCGGCAACCTGATGAATGTCAAAATTTGTTTCCAAAGAAATCCAAAAGAAAATGTTAGGCTAAATAAATCAGAGTCAAAACATTTCAACAGAGCTATGGGAGAAGAGGCGGGAGTCAAAAATGATGATAGTCTTAGCTCATCCCTATTTATGGACGAATCTACTGTATGATGAAGGTAAACGGCAGGAAATGTTGCTCCTAAGATTAAAAAACATGCCTCTCCTGGTCGTCCAGCATCTTCCGTCATGGTCGTCAGCAGATGATATTGTTCTCATTGCAGACTCCGTGGGGAAGTTGCAGCAGACAGTGACAGTATGGCATGAATAGTTTCAACAAAGGAATGTTTATCAATATTGAAGGAAGCAAGATCCATCAGGTAAGAAGTATATGGTGGACGGGTTGGCCGAACGGGAAAACGTTTGTGCACATCACCGCCGTTGTCCGGCAACCTGATCTATGAGACAATGGAGTTAAAATAGTCACGAGTTCGCGTCCCGGTGCTGGGGGAGTCTTTTAAATCCCTGCCCACACCCCCTGGCCTGGGAAAACCCCGTATAGCCTTAAAGGAAAAAAAGATAAGAAGTATATATGAAGAAGTTCAGATGTTCTGTAAAAGAGAAGAAATTGAAATATTCGCGGATTCCACCAACTTTTGAGCACTTATGGAACGGTATGGGAAAATGGATTCAGAAATCCAGCACAGGATAATATGTAAGAGAAAATCGGTCTACTACCTGATGTGCAATTCGGAAGTTGAAAAGCGAGATGTGGGAAACGTGGAGCTTCACAACTATAAGTCAGCGTACTTGCCTATCCTCTTATATAAAGCTGAAAGTTGGATAGTGGCAGGCAAACTAGAGAGAAAAGGAACAGCAGCAAAAATGAGGTTTCTCAGAATGATTGCAGGAAAAACAAGAAGAGATTGTGTCCGCATTGAAATAATCGCAGAATAAATAAGAGTCCTCTTGGTGAAGGAGGTCCTTGAGGCTCATCAGTTCATGTGGTTTGGCCATGTCGACAGGACGGGAAAGCGATTTTAGCTTTTCTAAAATTGTATTGAATGAGTTTCATTTGCAAATGAGAAGAGATATTATTGCGGATTGATTTGGAAGAAATTGAATTGCTGTAATTGGAAAGATTTTATCAAAATCTGATTCAAATCTTTCTTGAAACAGTGACTAGCACAAAAATTGAAAAACAAAATTTTATAAAAGACCATTTATTTCGAAATATAAGTAAAAATTTGTGCTAGATGTCAAGAAGAAATGTTTGAAAATTTTACTGCTCAACATCTTTATATTCTTGGTAACGAAATTAAATTAAATTTTGATTATATTGTGAATAAAAAAGCAAATATTTAAAATGGCTCTTGCGCAATTAGCTTTGTCCTAGTTCAGATAGGAGGTTAAAGGAAAAGGTGATGTCATGCACCAGTGGGTGTGATTCAATTCCTGTGATAATAGACGTGCGGATTTAGTCAGTTTGTGAGGGTTCTGATAGCTACCTGTTGACAACTTAAGCAAAGCGAAATGAGTGCTGAAAAATACTACCCTTTTAAGGTGATTATTTTAGGGAATGTATTTATTGTCATATTTTTTAAATAGTTTAAAAATAAGTTATGTATTATAAGTTTATCTTCCAATAGATTAGCCTATAATATAGCATAGCAGATTATTGTTTTTGCATTTGTTAATATGTAAAGATAACTCATAACTGAGATGTGACATTTCTATTTACAGTGTACTCCTACAGTATTCCCTCATGACAATTTTGATGCTAATGCAGATGCTACTGCACTTAAACAAGCAATGAAAGGTTTTGGAGCTGATGAACAGGCTATCATAGACATACTTGCTCATAGAGGGATTGTGCAAAGATTAGAGATAGCAGAAGCCTACAAAACCTTATATGGGAAGGTATGTGTTCTTAGAAATTAATATAGTTTACTATAATGTTTTTTTGTGAAACTATGTAAAAGAAGTTTTAAATGATGATCTTTCAACAAGGGTTATTACTCCTGGTTAAGTATTAACAATTTGTGTATGCCCTTAATTAATTATTGTTTTACTTCCTAAATTTATGTTTATTAAATGATTTGGATTTGAAATAATATAAGCTCACTAAACTCTTCTACTCTTTGTTATTTTATAGTATTCAATTCTAACTATTTTAATGGTATATTTTAACACCCTTGACATACTTCAACAGAGTGAAGAAACCTACTATAACAATTTGTAAACATACACTGTTTCTATTTTAGAGTGTTCTTTATCAACTTTTTATTTTTTAATAAAATTGTTTTACATCTATTTTGATTATATTACAGTTCTATTTTTTAAACAATTGTTCACTCCAGAACGAGGTGCCGCTGGGTACTATTCATCGTCATGCCTCTGATACCATTTTATTACCTTCCTTTGTTATAAAGATCATTTAATTCACCGATTTTATAATTTTAGTGATAAGTTTGAATAATTACATAAAAAACAATATTAGTAAGTAATTTTTAAAAAAAATGTTATATAAATCTGTTTTTAGAACAGTTCACTTTTATGGTCATCTGTAGTAACTGAATATATGTGTATTTCATGTGATGGCTTATTGAAGTTTATATCGAAAGAATGATTTTTGGATATTAGTGAATTTAAAATATTTTAGATTGGTTCTTTATATATATTATATTTTTGCATAAATAGATTAATTTATTAATATTCTAAAATGAAGCGCTTCATGAATAATACTGAATATTTGTTTTTTCAATAAAATATTTCAGTATTTCAAATAAAATATTTTAAAGTACGAAATAACACATTTTTCGTATTTTGCATTTTGAGAAGTAAAGTTTAAAATAGATTGTTTGTATCTGTATTTAGTTTTCTAAATACAAAGTATTTGTATTTTATTTCTAAGACACTAAAATATCAAAAATGTATTTTATTATTTTGTATTTGAACTACACAAAATATCTGATTGTTCCCCTGGAAGTAGTTTTTTTTTTTTTTTTTGTTCTTTAAATACAAAATACTATTAATAATTTTTATTTGAGATGTCTTTCTTTGAAACAATTTATCACTATATTTTAAAAACTCAACATGCTTGGTATTAAAAATTCTGTATTTTAAAATAATAGTTAAAATATTTTTTGCCCATGCTTTACTGAACTACTGATGCTAGTTATAGATTTTCAGGAAAAACATAAAGGGTGAGGTGGGGGAAGTGGGGAAAACATTAGGTAAAATAAAAATAACCAAGGAAAAATTTGTTGTTTTAGAAAAGTAGATGAAGGACATTATCTAGGAAATGGTTTGAATAAGATAAGATATTTGCATTTTAAAATGTATGATATAACTGTGGCAAATAGGCATAGTGTACTGAGTGCAAAAATCATATGGAAAACGCAAATGAAATTTTGGAATTTTCACTGGTGGAAGTTCAATTTTTGAGTTTGTATCCATTGATTTACAAAAGGATGTTCATCTCTGTAAAACCGAATAACTTAGCCCATTAGACTTAAGAAAGAAAAAGAGATAAATTAGCTTTCTGGTGATACCCATAAAAATTCACAAAATTGCACGTATACCAATTTTCACCAGTGCCAAAGATAATTTTGGTTTTATCTTAAGTATAAAGTTATGTTATATAATGAAATATTTGTTTCATTTATCTTCAACAATTATGTCCTCTATAAATGCCATTCACATAACATATAATTCATATTTTTTAACAATGAATCTACATAATATAAATGATTTTTGATCATTTACCACAAATATAATAAGTTTAAATATTATGTATTTAGATATGTATGATGTTGTCCATGAAGTATTGCATACTATAAAGTAATTACATTTCCACTATATTTAGCAAGTTATGCATAAAGTATTGTATACTGTAATGTAATTCCGTTTCCACTGTATTTTGCAAGTTTTATAGCTATTTTATTACATGTTTACTGTTATCTCTCCATAAACCAAATATATATGTAATTTTGTTTTAAGTGTTGCTAAAACTATCAGCTTGTTTTTTCACAAAGTGAGTGTTTCTGGTATGAAAATAGTTTTTACATTTTAATTGTAACATCTGTTAAACAGGAAGTACAGCATTCTATCTTAATTTAAATTAATTTTAGTCTTCTTAACTTAATAAGTTGGTCCCCCTTAAGGAACAATTTTAAAACGGAAATTTACAAACTTGTGAATTGTGCTTTTAATTCTATTCCTGAATTCTCAACTCAAAATATTTTTTCAGAAACAGGCTCAATGCCAAAAAACTATTGAAGGGATTTAAAATCTGGTACTGTTAATGTTTTTAATAAATTTTAACATTAATTTTTTTCTCTAACTATTGAATTGAAATGATTTACTATATTAATTTCGTTTTATTTAAAAGAATACAAAAATATAGTTTAATTTTTTTTCTTAAATAATTTAGAATTACTTATTTTGTAGATTTTTTATAAGAATCGGTAGTTTTAATTTTATATTCTTTTATAGTAATTAGATAAACACCAAATTATTTAAAAATGGATGATAATTGTGTTTTATAGGGAGTTAAAAACGTATGCTTCTAACAAAGAGAGCAGCATTTTTCAGTTTATGTAGCTTAGCCTAGGCCAATTTGTTTTGGCAGCAGTATTTTCTTCATAACTGATTGTATTGTTATTGGTTTCCTTTATTTCTTTTTATGATTCACTGTCATTTGGTGATTTTTATTAAACTGATTATGCTTATCTGTCTCGTATATACAGGAAGTGAGTAACTCAGAAGTAGGGTGCAGATTGCTCAAGATTCCAGGTTCGAGTCCAGCTGATGACAGATTAATTATGTATTCTGTTTTGTCGGCCATGGATTGACCCTGGAGTCGGGAGATAAATTAGAATTAGTTTAGTGAGAAAACCAAGTGATCACTGTCAAATCACCTCCTAGCACAACTGTGTACCAGGAAACAGTACTTCCTTACAAAGCATTGAACCCAAGACCCTTCATAGATTGTAGTGGTACAGGTTTCATAAAATATATTTTAATTAGTCGTGATATAGTTCTATTCAGATAAGAATTGAAATAGATATTTTTCATTAATTGATTTGATAAATTTAAATTATTTTAATTTGAATACTACCAGTGGGTAGTTTCTCAACAAGCGTTTTCATGTTATTATATTCCTGAGTGCACATTTACTAGATGTATTTTTTTAAAATACGGTTGTAAATATCATGAATGAATAAAAAAAATATTTTAATTTTGTTTTGATGTTTGAATGGAATCATATGTGTTTTGAAATCAGTTTTCATTGGTTGCACTACATGCTGAATAAAAAGTGTAATTGTAAAATTAAATTATTAGTGTGTATAAAGAAATATTAGTAGTATGTAAAACATAATTGAGTGGAAAATTGAAGAAATCTCATCTCTGTGTGACTGATTATGTTTCTAGTTTTCATTTTTATTTTTATTTTTAATGTTGAAATAGTCTTTTTTTAAATTAATAAGATGTTTTTTGTTCAAGTAAATTTGAACTAATTATTCCATTGTTTTATTATTAAATACTTATGTTTGTAACCAAGAATTTCTTTTTTTTTTGCATTATTAATATGTATCCATTTATTTTATTTTACATTTGTTGTTAACATTTATTTTATTGATATGCCTTAGGATTTGATTTCCAACTTAAAAAGTGAACTTGGTGGAAAATTTGAAGATGTTATTGTAGCCCTTATGACTCCTCTTCCAGCCTTTTATGCTAAAGAACTTCATGATGCTATGTCAGGATTCGGTACAGATGAAGAAGCCTTGATTGAAATATTGTGTACTTTAAGCAATTATGGAATCAGAACTATTTCTGCTTTTTATGAACAGTGTAATGATTTATTTTATCAATATCTTAATGTGTACATTTTACTTTATGAAATAAATTAATGTTTATTATACTTTTCAATTTCATAATAGTGTACGGAAAGACATTGGAAAGTGATTTGAAAGGTGATACTTCTGGTCATTTCAAGCATCTATGTGTTTCTCTATCAATGGTAAGTAATAAACTCACCTTTATTTTAATTTAGTTATTTGTTAATAAGTATAATTTTATTTCTAACAGGGAAACAGAGATGAAAACCCAAGTGTAGATGAAGAGCTAGTTAGGAAGGATGCTCAGGATTTATTTGCCGCAGGTATTAAAATATGCAAATTTTAAGTTTCTTGTAACTTTAATTACCTCAGAGTTTTGTGTAACAGTGTGCTACTCTTAATGTTTGATCTGTTCCAACTATTGATATTAACAATTAATAAAAAAAATCTGGTGCACGCAACACACCACTTTCATTTACCGCTCAACTTTAAATAGAAATTATTTTCTGGCAATGTTGGGCTATTATAAATTTTTTTAATTGCATTTTTAACTGAGCTAAAGCTAAAAGATTACAGCTAACAAATCATAAATACTATTAAAATAACAAAAGTCCTATTTATTGTATCACCGGTCGATTATGGATTGTACGATCCGTTGATTATGGATTGTACGACTATTAGTTATTAAACTGTTATTTTCCATTGCAAAGTTTACTAAAACGGAATTAAGATATTTGCATTGTCTGTCATAGACAGGTCAAAAGTTGTCACACTGATAGTAAGTGGATTCTGTTGGAATATCACAAAGGGAAAATTTATCAAATTATTCACTAATTTAATTTTCTAAAAGGTTACATAATGATTTTTGGAATAAACGGAAGATAGATAAGTAATTATTAAAATATAATATCAGATCTAGAGTTATTAAACTACAGTAAATATATTTAAGGTTATAAACGTATCCATGAAATATTTTTATATTTCTCTTCTTCTTTCTCACAAGTGCAATGAAATAGTCATTGTCTTGAATCCGTGGGTTTTAAATACTTTTTCAAACTTAAAAAAAAAGTTTTAAAGTTTACATTTAGTAAGAAAATTTCATTTAAATTCCTTGAAAACACCTGATTCACGTTAAATAATGTTAGTTTTTAGAAATTATTATTTATGTATTTTCGTTACTATCTCTTACCTTCTACAACTTCCTTTATTATATATATTTTTATTTTGAATTCTCTGCTTTCCAAAGATATACGTATACATTCTGACTATCATTTCCTAATATTCATTTTCAACCTGGATAAGTATTTTTCTTTTATTCTCCTTTATTTAATTATCAAATTCTTCCAAAAGTTATATTTAGCATTTTTCCGTAACTCCTAACAATGGTAAAGAGTTATTATTTATAATAAACCAAATCAAAGGTACTTTAGAGGAAGACATTATAATGTTTTCATTTCACAAAGGAAAATTCATCAAATTATTCACTAATTTAATTTTTTAAAATGTTACATGTCAATTTTTTGGAATGAATGTTGATACCTAATTATTTAAATATAATATCAGATCTATAATCACTAAACTACAGTAAATGTAATTAAGGTTATAAAAATGTGCTTTGTATATCCATGAAATGATTTTATATTTTACTTCTTCTTTCACATAAGTAGAATGAAATAGTTTTATTAACAATGTCATTGCCTTGATTAGGTGGATTTTAAATACTTTTTACAAACTTATAAATATTTTTTAAAGTTTACATTTAGTTATTAAATTTCATTGTATTTTCTTGAAAACGTGTGATTTACGTTAAATATTATTAGTTTTAAAAAATTATTATTTATAATTTTTTTGCCATTCTCCGTTACCTTCTACAACTTTCTATATTAGATATTGTTTTTTCTATAATTCTCCGCTTTCCAACGATATATTAAACGTATATCTGATTGTTATTTCTGGAAGTTCATTCTCGACCTGGATAAACATTTTATTTTTTCTTCTTTATTAACTTATCAAATTCTTTCAAAAGTATTATTTAGCATTTTTTTTGTAACTCTGAATAACGCGAGATGATTAACTTTTTAAAATAAACCATATTAAAGGTACTTTAATATGGTTCATATACGTCTTCATATACTGAAGATGTATGAAAAAAAATGAAATGAAAAAATAATTTTATTCTGGGACTACTGTCCCCTAAGAATAATAACAGAGTTACAAATTTATGTATCTTAGTCTGACATAATAAAAATACCAACTGATTTATTGTTAATTCTTATTTCAATTGTGCAATGGATTGAAATTAAACATTGTATAGATGCAAGTAATTTTACATGTTAGGGGAAGTTTGAATGTGGAGTAGGTGTTGGAACAGGAGTTGTTTGAAGGAATTTGTGGATGAGGATTAAGTGAGTTCCCTAAGGAAGCAGCACGAATGATGAAGGATTTGCTGAAGGAGGAAGTTTTATGGGAGGGAATATATAAGTCTATAGGTTGAGACCTAGTATTGAGAGAGTGGATAGAGGAGCGCAGAGTAAGGTAAGGAGTTCCAGGATGTAGGGAGGGTTTTTAGTTCTGAAGACTTGGAAAAGGAAAACGCCAAGAAGGAATTGTCGTCGGGAAGTAGGATAAAGCCACTTCAACTCGGTGTACCATAGTGAAACATGTGAACGTCTGGGGATCCCGAAAATGAATCTTATGAAACAATTCATGAGTCTTTTTAGTCTCAATTGAAGCCTGGCAGATAGCGCTCCATACACCAAGCAGCCGTAGTCGAAGTGGGGGAATACAAGGGAGGTTACAAGGAGCTGTCTGGTTTTTTAGGTTAGGAATACAATCACGGAATCTTAGGAGTTGTTTAAGGGCAGTTATGGATTTTCGGGTAATCGGGGAGATATGATTTTCCCAGGAGAGGTTCTGGTCAAAGGTTACTCCTAGGTTTTCGACTGTAGGGAAAAAATGGATGGGGTGGTTATTGAAGTAAAGTAGAGGAAAGTAAGGAAGGGAGCTGATGAGATTTTTGCACCCGATGATAATAGCCTAGGTTTTATATGCATTCAGCTTTAATTCATTTATTTCTGCCCATCTGTTGATGCAGTCGATGTCCTCTTGTAGCCTCCGGGCAGCCTCAGGCATCTCAGAAGGTTGGAATGATTGGTATATTTAGAAATCATCGGCATATAGGTGGTAATTGGAGTGTTGAATGGCGTTAGGAAGGTCACTAATATAGATGGAGAAAAGGGTCAGGGAGAGTGAGGAACACCTCGCGTTAATTGAAGTGATGATGATGGAGGTCTATTCGGTATTGTAACTGTCTGAGATCGATTGGATAAGAAGGATAGGAACCATTTTAGGACGTTATTTGACATGGGTAGGCTTTGGAGTTTGGAAAGAAGGATCTCATGATTAACGGAATCAAACGCCTTGGAAAAGTCAAAAAGAATTAGGATGGAGATTTTCTGTTTATCTATGGCGGATTGGAGGTCTTCGGTAATCCTTAGCAAGGCAGACTGGGTGGAATAATGGGATCGGAAACCAGATTGTAAGGGATTGAGGAGATGGATTTGCTCGAGAAAGCTGTTCAACTGAGAGTGAACTAATCTTTCTAGAGGCTTGGATAGATTGGATAGGATGGAGATGGGTCTGAAGTCGGAAGCTGATGAAGGAGTTGGAACTTTGTTCAGTGGACGGACTATCTATCTTTTCCAGGATTTGGGAAAAATGGAATTTTGGAGAGAGAAATTATATATGTGTAGAAGTGCGGGTAGTAAAGCTGGAAGGCAGAGTTTTAATGTATGTATATGAACGTTAGGCATTTAAGCCGTGTAAAGTGACATCAATGGGGATAAGACCTAAATGATATTAAAGACCACTTAATTATACAATGATACACTGAGTTTAATCAAAATCATTAGAGCTGTTTTTGAGAAAATTGTAAAAATGTGTTTCACCATTGATATAAAGTGGCACTTTCAGTTAGCCAATTTTGAAGAAAAAGTTGCTGTCACATCTAAGGCATGTACCTATCTTAAATAGGTAATACCAGTTTTGTACGACTTTTCATTTTTGAGCTAGACTGCTAACATACACACACACACACAGACACACAGACCATTTTTGGGATTTGGATATTTGGACTCAGAGTACCCCAAAACATGTATTTCCATTGAAAACTCAGATTCAAGAATTTTCACGATCGCAATACTTATCCTTACTATATATTACATATATATGTAAGTGAAAGTAAAAAAAAGATTTTAATTATCCATTTGATAGTTTAGTGTATTAAGGGCATATAATGAGGTATCAGTCATGACAAATTAATAAAATACTGTTATTTTGTAATAAATGGAAATTCCTAGTGCTCCTGCTGGATATCAATATCTATTACTGCAGTTTCACATATGTTTTGCTTTCCTTGACTATAAAACAATGAGAGAATTACGTAAAATTAATTGAAAAATCTCTTAACCTCCCACACATTGTGACATTCATTTGATTTTATTTTGGTGCTCGCAAAATAATATTGGAACAGCTATAAGTTTAATTTTTTACGCTCAGTTTTTGCATGACAGATTACTATTAAATACTCAGTTGGTACATTTATTTTTAATTTATTATAAAATTCTTTGTACTTAAAAAACAAATAAAATGAGCTACACATTTAAATTTGAAATAAATCTGATTTTTTTCCGATTCAGCTATACTTTTGAGCTGGGAAAAGTGTTTCAAATCAATCCCCATTTCTGTCTGGATAATCGACATTCTAAATATTCGACCCTCAATTGTATATTATTTTATTATAAACTTTTAAAATATATTTGATTCAAATCAAATTGAGTATTGATTTCCTGAAATGACATGATAAATATTTAATACTTGTTTCAATATTATGCAATTGCTTTTAGGAGAGCAGAAGAAGTGGGGCACTGAAGAATCTGTTTTCAATTCAATATTGGTGACCAGAAGCTATCAACATCTAAGGCAAGTGTTTTTTGAATACGAGAAATTAACAGGCCACGACATTGAAGAAGCCATCAACAAAGAGTTTTCTGGAAATGTCAAAGATGGTTTATTAGCAATTGGTAAGCCATGATTATTATTAGTTTTTGAAAATGTTTTAATTTTATATAAATGTTTTGGTCACCTCTTTAATTGTTAGATGTAAATATGAATATTAACTAGTTTTTCATTAATTTGTATCTGTTCTAAAGAGTTTTTATAGAGTAGCTGAAACTTATGCTTTTTAACATTAAAAAATCTGGTGCAGTGCACACATCTCTCAACTTTCACTTACCATTCTTAAACTAGATAGGTATTTTCATATATAGGGAAGTCAGATGTGAAAAGGATGATATAAATTCATTTAAAATAATTATCTACCATGTTTTTCCCACCCATCAAATCTTAAATTTATATGTTTGCATCACTTTATTTTTCCTTTTAAGACTGTATAATATCAAACAATATTAATGATTGAGGGTGAAAATGGATTTTTGGAAAATTTTATCGGAAACATTTATCACGAAACTCGTAAAAAAAATAACCTAATTTTAGTAAATATTGTATATTATTAGGTTTATATTAGTTTAGTAGATCATCAACATTTCACATGAAAACCTTTTTAAAAAAATTTTGGATAAGTGATATATAAAAACAATAAACTTATAATATGAAAGCCTTGTACAGATGGGTGGGTATATGTAAAGGAAGAAGATCGGCAAAGACACTTTCGGCTGTTTCCAATTGCTTCCAATCCTCATTTCTCCTTTAGTTACTAATGACTTTTTATCATTCATTATATTTAACCATTTTTTGTATTGGATTGTAATGTGAAAGGATTAATTATTTAAAATAAAAAAATTAAAGGTACTTTAGAGGAAGAAATTTTGAAAATTAGCCATTTAATACTTAATTTAATATATGAGTTATATTGAAGACCCCTTAATTTTACATTGATATAATGAATTTAATCAAAATTGTTAAAGCCTTTTTGAGAAAATCTTTTAAAAAATGTGTTAAATCAATTATTTCACTATTTAAAATTACTTTTCCCGTCTCAAGACTCCATGATAATTTATTAATGAAATATATATATATATATATATATATATATATATATATACTTTAAAAAAAAAAAAACACCTTTTAGAAATAATATATAAAAATTTTGTTGTAATATAATGTTGAAATAAAATTAATTTATCCAAGTATCGAATTTAGGGTAGATGTCGTCGTGTAGGTTATAGACGTGTAAGTTGAATTTGAACAGAAATATTATTTGGTAATTGTTATTTTTTTGTCATTGTGTTGAATGTAATCTTGAAAATGATAGATCAGTTATTGGTTTGATGTGTTAAGAGAGATATGGCATATAAAAAAATAATAAATAATTTATTAAGATTTTGAAAATCTACTAGGTATATAAGAAAATCTACTAGGTTAATTATAAAATTATAGGCCATTGTCATGTCCAGAGGGAAAAAAACACCTGCTGAAGATATCATTTATTAGTTTTGGCCATTATATTAAGTTGTCAACTACTTAATATTTTTGTAATGGTGTGGAGATCGTTCACCCTGATTATAATTTGAGGAGTTGGTCGCGAATGCTGTTAGTATATAATACTAAATTTTATAGTATTTTATTGGATTTGCCTTGTAATTCTTGTGTTAATTTTGAGACACCCTAGATTTTTTTTTAAATCTTTTATATTTTTAATTTACATTAAACTGGATTAATTTGTTTTTTCATGATTTCAAGAAATCCATCAGGAATAATTTAATTTTTAAATTTTGAAACAGGTTAATTGTTTTAATTTTGTTTCACAATTTTAATGCAAGCAGAAGACCATTTTTAGTAAAAAATAAAATTAAAAATCAAAATGTTGGTTTTATTGAATATATGTATTTTTAAATTGATTATTTTATCATATTGAATTAATATTTAAAAAATTAAAATTGTATGATTTGTTTGTACCATTTTATATCAGTTGACTATTGCACGAGCATAAAAAATATATTATCTCAAAAAAAAAAAAAAATTTTACTAAAGAAAAACAGAACTCTAATAATAATATAATGGATTTAGTTTCTTTTTCATTACAGTGAAATGTGTCAAGAGCAAAGTTAGTTTCCTAGCTGAACGTTTATATAAAAGCATGAAGGGGCTTGGTACTAATGACAAAACTCTCATCAGGATTGTGGTTTCAAGATCTGAAATAGATCTTGGAGACATAAAAAGAACATTCGAAGATAAATATGGGAAATCTCTAGAATCCTGGATAGCTGTAAGTATTATTAGTTTTGTTCAGAGCTAAATAGTAGGCTGAATTATAATTTGCGCTTGCTTGAAAGTTTACATCCTTATAAATGGTGTTTAATTACTTTGTATTGTGCTTAGTCCTTGTATTATAAAGTTTTGCATTATTTCAGTATAAACATAATTACAATTTAATAACATGTTGGATATGAAAATTATTTTTTAATTACTACCAAACTATTCAGTACTCCACTCCAACAAGAGCAGCTACAGAAAGATTTTTAGCTGTACAAGGTAGTAGGTGGCAAAAGTTGTCTATTTTACTTATTCATAGTTATACTTTTTTTATCTGATCAATTAAACATTGGCTTAAGTAGCAAGAGGATAATCTGAGATAGGAAAAAGAACGGCATAGTATAAAGGGAAGGATATAAGTTGAAAATAATGTTTTGTTTTATAATAAATATTGATAGCGATGGCTGTTAATTTTCTTTATATATATATATATATAGTCTTTTATTTATTATATCATTACTTGACACATAACAAATTGTATATAACTATGGTTACAAATATTTCTATTTCAAAATAGATTGAAAAGTGAATCACAAGTGACTGGTTACTATAGAATAATAACCAGTAACCATATTTTAGACATTTTATTTATGGGTTAAATCTCAAGAATCTTTATGAAGAGGCAAGTTTATCTCTAATTTGACTATTCTTGTGAGGATAAATAAAGTCTTATTTTCTTTCATTTATTGCTGCTCACATCCTCATCGTACTTTTAAAGAAATTGAGTAGTTGGGTCCTCTTGGTTGATTTCCTGCATTGAGGTTTGTGCCTCGTGGGTTGAAATCTCTTAATAGATGTCATCCTATTGCAGTTATTCACCTAAACACTGTTGAACCACTCCCTAACTACACTTTCAATCATATTATTCTGCATGTGTTTCTCCATTTCTTCTTACATATTTTTTTCTCTTGACCTGTGAAAAATTCATATGATCCTAATCTCTTCCCAGCTATATGATCCTTACTGAATGTTCTTTGTTCAGAAAAAAAAAAATACACTATTTTAATCGTTTATAAGTAAGTAGAAAATTAAAAAAAAACAATTCCAATACCTACTAATGTTTTCTATTACTTCCCAATTTTAACAAGTTGAATTTAGTTTCTGATATGTTATTTTTTTCATTTCTCCTCCTCAACTTAATTATTAAAGCATGCATGTGCTTGATACTTTATTAAATTTCACAGTCATGGGCAGCTCTGCAAGTTGGTTTATTTCGTCAAGTTATTGGTTTATAAGAGAAGTTGGTGGAGATTGGAGTCATGAAAGTACACAAAAATAAATTATATTTAAATCGTTGAGAATGACAACAGTCACTAAATCAGGTTTTTGAGGTATTAGCAGTCAAAGATTTGGTTATCCTGCGAATAGCTAACAATATTTTTTGTTTTAAGGATTGATCAGTTTAGGGCCTATGAGTATTGTACTCAATGCCTAGTTTTGCAGGTTTCAACGTAAATAGATATTTTTCTAAAATGGTCAAAATTGGACTTGTACTGTTTTTATTCTCATTGATTCATTTATTTTCTTTGTTCCGACGTTTTGGCCCAAGTTTCAGGCCTTCATCAAGGGTGAGCAAAGACCAAATACCAAATAAATACTGAGAAAATAATAAACATTAGTAATAATATGTAGATAAAATTTTATAGTAAAATAATATGTTGGTAGGTAGGTCAATCAAGATCTTTGTCTCAAGCCTATCCTCATCCATTATGCAGAAGTTACCTAAACTGTAAAATTATTGAAATCAGTCAGACAGGAATTATAAAATTGTCTACTATCGAGAAAAGTTGAGAAATAACAGTAACAGAGCTGGGACTTATAAAATAAGTCTGTTTGTCCGGTAATAAGTCCGATACAGAATAAGAAATAAATCTGATTGTTGTAACTAGGCCGCGATCTTTTAAACAAGTAGTGGATCCTATTATTTATAATTTATTTTACTTCACCTCGCACACCTTTCTCCCAAAAAAGAGCAAACTCTTTTTCATATTCATACTACAATTTTTTTTTTTTAATGTTAGATTTATTCATTGGATCCATAGATTCAATAATTATTATTATTACTCCCTACTATTTTCTCCGTATTTATTTGTTATCTAGTCTTTGCTTAGCTCTGATGAAGACCTTAAGGTGACATGTCGGCACGTAGTAAATAAATATAAATTATTTTTGTATACTTCTATGACTGCAATCCCCAACCAATTTCTCCTATAAGAATCAACAATTTCTCCACCATTATTGGTTTTTTAAATATTTATACTCATTTATTTTTGAAGTTGTAATGGTAGTAGACCAATCTATTTGAAATTAAGCTTTCAGAACAGCCCAGATTTAAAGTGCTTAAATTTCTTTCTTCTTCTTTTTTTTTTTTTTTTTTTTTTTTTTTTATCAGTATGCATTTTGGCTATTCAGTAGGTAGCTGTTGAACTATATAGTTAATCATTTATTCCATCTGAAAATATTTTTTTTCAGGATGAAACATCGGGGGATTACAAGAATGTACTCATTGGGATTGTTGGTTAAATGAAACAATTTTTTTCATTACTCAGCACATAAGTACGTTGAATCAATTAATGTGTGGCATTATGTTTTCACCATTTTTTTTTTTAGTTCACTAAAATTATAGGATTTTTCCTTCTTTCTTTGCACCTTGATGTTTAACAAATTAATTTCTTGTTTAATTTTTTTTTTTTTTTTTTCTCTTTCCATTCTTACAATTTAACCCAAGATCATCGATTTGACTTTCTTTTCTAAGTTTTAGAAACTAATTTCACTAATATTTTTGTAACAGTAGTTATATTTGATGGGTGTTTGCTTTACCTACTGTTGATGGGTCTTAGCATAATAGTTATTTTATCTTTTTTTTTTTGTTATTGAGCAGTATAACACTGAAAATTAATAAAGGTATACTTTGGTGATACATAAGTATTTTTAGTTAAGAAAACATTGTAAATTTTCATTAGTTTGATGATATCGTAAATTTACCTGTGTATTGCGTCTTGAAAGACTCTAGGTGTGACAATCTATTATTTAATCCAGGGGTCTCCAAACTTTTTGGTCTGCAAGGCACATTGAGACGTCCACTGAGTCCCTTGGACCGCATTGATACCTCAACTATGTCCTACAGGCCTTCCATGGCTTGTGATGGAAAAAAAAAAACTTGGTTTACAAATGACCCTTCAGTTCTTATATGAGCTTTCTAAGAGAAATGAAATATATATTGTAGTAACCTTGTGTTTGACTGATTTGCTAAAGTTAATATTTTTTAAATTGTTTTTAAAATTTTACCTTGTAATCAAAGAAACTTTCGTGGACCGGATTGGGTGTGCCTGCGGACCATAGGTTAGAGACTTAATATAATTAATTCATAACAATGAAAATCGTTAGGTGTGAATATCTCCTAAACAAAGCGTTTGCGGATATAACTTCAGAGGAAATTTTTTTCTTGTTTTGAGGTCCTCCATTCATATTTTCGGTTTGGCCACTTAACTCTGAAACATCCTGTATGCCTAATTATTTAAATATGATATGGGACCTAAAGTTGTTAAACAACAGTATATTTATTTAAGATTATAAACATGTGTTTTACTCATTCAAGTACAGTAAAATAGTTTTTTAAATAATGTCTCAATTAGGTGGTTTATATATACTTTGTTTTCAAGCTTTAAATTAATTTTAAAATATTACATTTATCTTTACCTAGGACTCCACCTGAACAAACGTCTAACTTGGAATCCTCATACCAGACTAAAACGACAAGAAACAGCTCGATGTTTCCGACTACTTCAACACTTACTAGACAAACGCTCTAACCTTTCAATTAATTACAAAAGATACAAACTCATTTACATAACTGTAACAAGGCCTATTTGGACTTACGGAGTTGAGCTCCACCAAACCGTCAAATTTCTCTCGTATCCAATCCTTACGATCCAAAATCCATTGTAAAATCCTAAATGCTCCTTACTTTGTTACAAATAAAATCATCCACAATGACCTTAATGTTCCTTATGTATCAGAATTGGCCCAATCCAGATATCTGTCCTTCCATAATAAACTTCATAACCATCCCAACCCTCTTGTTTCTAACCTTGCTTCCTGTTCAATTCCTGATAACCCTCCGAGGTGCCTGAAAAGAAGATGACCACATGATCTCCTAATATAGACATATTATTAGTGTGCTACCGATGGGTTAGTTTCTCAATATGTGTTTCATGGCATTATATCCATGTGCGAATTTACTAGATGTATTTTTTTTATACAGTTGTAAATATCATATAAATAAATTTTAAAAAAAATACATTTATCTGGGAAATTTCATTTAGTTTTCATGGAAGCATTTTGTTTCTATTATTTTCTTTGTATGTGATATATTATTATTTTTCTTGAAATCCTTAACTTTCCAACGATATAGTGACATCAATAAGGATAAAACCAAGCTGATATTAAAGATCGTTTAATTGTACATTTATATACCGAATTTAATCAAAATTGTTAGAGCTGTTTTTGAGAAAATATTAAAATGTGTAAAACCATGATATGAAATGCCACTTCCAGCCAGCCGATTTTAAGGAAAATTTTATGAGATAGGTAAAGGTAATTTTTTTTGTGTTGTAATTTTCAATAATGATAGGAATATTTTATATACATTCCTTCATACTAAAACTCATTTATTTGTCCATTATCAAACATTTTAGCTTGACATTTTTGTATTATCACTATTCATTTCTTATCAATAAAGGGGTAAAATTATGATATGATGATGTGTTATTAAAATAAATATTTCTATCAATATATTAAAAATTGAAATTAATTTGTGTTGATGTTGAGGATACGTACTAATATATAGTATTATGACTATCATTCATCCACTTTAATTTAGGTCAGCCTACTAAGTGTTTCCTGTTATTTAGGGGTGCATCGATTGACATGCCTGAGAAAGATTAAATTTTTTTATATTTTTAAAAGATAGTTTCTTTGTTTTTTCTTATTCCCTCATATTTCACTTCAAATCTTTGACTAATTACCCTTAAAACTGCTGTTTATTATGTTTTACATAATATTTTCTCATTCTATTTATCTTAAGATTGTTCCTATATTTTTAGTCTGGAAATTTTCTCTAAAATTCCTAGAAATACCTAAAACCTGTACAGATTATTTTTTGAGGTACAAGCTTAGTCCTCAATTAATGAGTTTATTAAAATCTTAAAATCTCTTAAAATATTTGATTTTCCTTAGATATCATATTTTTAAGGTATTTGAATGATATTTAATTTAATTGAATGGGATTGCTTCAGAGAATTATGGGCAGGATTAAAAAATTAAACATTTAAGTGTGGGACATAGATTGTTAAAATTTCTCACAAATGAAGATAAAGATTTCAGTTTTATAAATAATAGTTTGTATGATCTGATATTCACTCGCTTATTTGATTACAATTTAATATGCCTTCCTTGTAATCATAGATTAGAAATAATATACTATTTAGTAGGGTAAAAGCAATAGGTAGTTATTCGGGAAAAAATACATTTATTTTTTCAGCTTCGATGGATATTTAGTTTTTTAGTGATACGATGTTGATGTGTAAATTTTATATGTATACATGTGGGAGTGGGGTAGCTCAGTGGTAGGGTACTGAGCTTCCAATGCTAAAGGAAGGTCCCGGGTTCAAACCCCGGCTCATGGCAGAAAATTTATTTATCTGTTTCATTGGCCGTGGAGCGATGCTGGGTCGGGAGACCCTCCTGGGGCACACCCAGCCTCTATTAAGTGGGTACCCTTAATTAAATAATTGATTAAGGAGGAAAACGTGGTGGTCGAGCATGATCTCGGTCAAATCACCTCCTTACACAACCATTGACCTAGAAACAGTGCTCTCCCTAAATAGTACTGAACCCAAGACCCTTCATGGGTTGTAGTGGTACAGGAAATACATATATATTAATTTATTTTTTTTCTGTTGGCATTACAAACCATGTAGATCTTTTGCTGCCTTAACAAGCCTGCTCCATCTCTGCCTGTCTTAGGCTATTTCTTTCCATTTATTTATACGTAGCTGTATTGCATCTTTGTTGATACTATCTATCCATCTGCTTTCCACATGGTCTTTTGCCTTCTATTGAGGGATTCCTTGTTACGTAGAGGCTTCCAGATGGATTGCTATGAGCTACATGTCCTGCCCATCTTAATCTCTTTGCCTTCATATCATGGGATATTGATTGACCAGTTTCTGTAATCAGTACTTTGTTAGTATTTCTTCTCCATGTGTTAGTACTTTGGTGTGTGAGTAACCAAATCGTTCTGGTTATCGTGCGGAGGATTTTCTCTCAAATCTTTCAACACTTTTTTCTAGGGTGCTGGTCAGTTTCCAGGTCTCCCAGCCATAAGTATATGGCTTTATCATAGCATTGCACACCCTTAGTTTGAGATCTTTTGGGATTTAAATACCTTTGATAGGAGGAAGAAACCACTGTTTATGCTAGTTATACGCTGGTATATTTCTGCCCGTTGGTTATTCATTGAGGTTATTGTGGAGCCGATGTATTTGAATTTTTCTACTCTCGGGAATCATTTTCCAAAGACAGCTCCTGCCACAGAATCATAGACTGCTTTGAAATCAACAAATAACACCCTATATATATATATGGGCGTAGGACTGACGACCCTACTCCATGTACTTATATTATATATTTTTTTTCATGATGGTCTCTATTGATACTGACTAACCAAAGTAAATTGAAATATACCACATCAATAACAAATTTTTAGTGATATTAAATATTGCATATAAATAAGTTTCACTTAAGTTTATAATTGTCATGGATTTATTTATAATTACATTATTTTCTGTTTCTCTACCTGTTTTCTAACTTCTCAAACCTTACGAGATCTTTACTAGAAATGTTTAGAATATCTCAATAAAGCAGTGAAATTTCATATTGTTCATCCATTGTTTCATTAAATAGAAAAGGTTCTAAACAAAGTGCAGTACTTTTTCTAAACTTAATAATTTTTTTTTTTATCATAGTACTTGATTAAATCTACTTCAGAATAGCTCTTTAATTCTTCCTTTTTTATTTGTCACATAAATTTAATGAATAAATAAAAGAACATTACCTTGGTAACATCAATTTAAAATTACTGTCGAAGCTGTGTTGAATCTACATTGTTCACTTTTCTTTTTCAATGGAAAACATCCTAATGAAACAGACTGTATATGTATAAATATGCCTTTGGTTGTTATACAAATATTATTATGCTTATGTTTAAATGAATATAACTATATTTATAAATATTTTTTCTGTGACAATTAATTAAGTTATTTTAGTTTAATAAAATTATTTTAAGTTAAATTTGTTATAGACTTCTTCTTAGAATTAATTAATTGTTTTAGTAATTCATAAATAATAAGATTCATATGGAGTTTCGTTTTGCTACTATGTACTCTTAACTGTAATATCTAATCCTAGTATCGCAAATCTTAAAGTTTATTTAAAGTAGGTTTTGAGTAACAAAATTACCTGGGACATTTATTTTATAAAAGATGGATAATATTAATATAGTTTTATTCATTATAACTACCTTTCATTTACTATAAATTTTTACGATTGCAGGATGACACTTCTGGTGATTACAAGAAGACTTTGCTAGCTCTGGTGTCGTAGTCCTAAGGTTTTTTTTTTTTATGTATTGTAAATTTTATACTTAAATATTAACCTTGGTTTGGTAAGAAATATAAAAAAATATATATGAAAATTTTATAAGTATTAATATATGTATAAATGTATCTTATAATCAAAAATTGTTACCACAGTAAACAGAGTATGTTATTTTTGTTAAAATCGTTTTATATTTATATAATGTTAAATGTTTTTTCACATGTTCAGTATTTGACTGAATCAAAATTGAAATTTTTTATGGATCTAAGAAGTTTATGTTGTGTTACGTTATTTTTCATGTATTAAATATGAATTGACTATTCATGAATTACTTTTATATATACTTTTAGGCACTGCTTATAAATTTAAATTAATTTATAATTATACCTGTACCCTCAACATTATACTTAATGTAATCAACAATTGTCTTACCCTTTTCTTCTATTAATGATTACATATATGTATGGTTGCTTACGTATTGTAGTTTTTTCAACATTACTGCCTTGAAAGCAAATATATATTTATTTAATAATCATTCAATAGTTATTTTTCAATTTGTCTGTTAGGGCCACATGCCTATATAAATGCAAACACATATGATACAGTATCTTTGCCAGGTTCATAAAAATGTACTATGTATATCTGATTTATTAAAAATATTACAAAACTTTAACATATAATTAGTATACATACACTTAATTGAATGAATAGTAAAAGTAAAGGCACAGTATTTTATTCCCATTTAAAATCTTAATTGTCTGAGGGGAGAAGATGGATTAAATTAAAATTCTGACAATATTCAGGATTTTATTGGTGCTCGAAATGTTACTTGTCTTTTTACAAGATTAATTGTGAAAAATATACATAAGAACATTATAAAATTATATTTGAAGCATCAAAAAATATTACTAACTATGGAATTGCTAATCTCACAAGTACCTATTTTTTGTAAGGATTAGCAATCCTATCACATATATTCTTATAATATAGCTAACAGCTACTGACTTCTAATCAAATTTTAAAAATATAGCCTGTGGATTCCCATTCTCTATATTTTTAATATTTGATATCCGTTTAGGGATGGTTGTGTAAAGTGGGGAGAAAGGTTTGATACTAAGATTACCAACTTTCAAGAGAATTACGCATATTTATATGGATTCATATAGCAATACTATCACATATTTTCTTATAACTAACAGTCACAGCTACTAACCAAATATTAGGAATACTGACTATGGATTTCCGTGGTATGTATTTTTAAATTTGATATCCCTTTATAGATAGTAGCGGGAAGTGAGGAGAAAGGTTAAAAATATAAACATTATATATATATATATATATATATATATATATATATATATATATATATATATATATAAAAAAAAGGTTACCAAGTTTTAAGGGAATTATGCATTTCCTAGAGATAACAGATTGTATGTCTATATCTACATAAATATCTAGCAGATTTCACAATTTTTACCAACTCATCATGCTCGATATCCTTTCGACACAAACTACTTTGAAAACCATTGGGTTCTAAGTAAAAGAGAAAGCCTAGAAATAGAAACATGTCTACAGAAACATTTGAATGATCCAGAGAAATAACATGAGGTTCCTTTTTATATTATGAGAATGTACTTTTTATTTTGAAAAACATCTGTTTTTTGCAGGGTGCGCAACAGTCTTATCACTTTGTAATATGTTTTCAAATACAATTTTTAGTGGAAGCAATTGGTTTTCCTCTGTGCCATTTTGTTAGTTACTTCATGTCACTAACTTACTGCCTGAAGGGAGATCCAACAGCACGGCAAAAACCTTTAAGCAAATGCATGAAATATTTTATATGGTACTAGGAAGTTAACTATGAAATGATTAAGGTGAAAAAGGTTTAGATAACACTATACATCCAAGGAATTTTGAGATTGAGACACAAATGCTTGTGTTATAAGTTAAATATTATAACATAGAAAAAATATAATGCCCTTTTTTTATTAAGATTTTAATGACTATAAATTAGTCACTAGATATTAGTGACTCTATACATTTTAAAAGTCTATAAATACTTTTAATGTTAACCAATCAGCAGTTGTAGCATTGTACTATAAAGCAACTAAGAAATTTAAAATTGAAAAAGGTATTAAAGTGTGTTTAAATTTGTAGCCACAGATCTCTAATATTTTTAGTATATCGAGCAAAAGAAGAATAGACAAATTGTACAGTTAAAATGGAGTATTTTTATTTTTATTCCTAAGTTAAGATTTTAGGTGTTCAGCTTTAATAGTTTCACTTGAGATACATCGAACATTAGTTAAAAATACAACATTCTTATGTAATAATGATATACAAGAGTGTTGAATGATAAGTTGTAAACTTCTCTAAGTACTAATTTTTATTCTTTTTTTTGTGAAAATACAGATTTATTTTATTCCAAACATTTCTCTAAAATCATATCTAGGAACTATTATGGCAGACAAAAACAGACTAGAACTAGATTATGTTATTTTAATATAGAAAGTATTATTACTATGACTGATCTTCTACAAAGACAGATAAAATTATGTAGAAGGCTAACAGGTCTAACTGGACTGTCTGTTGATTGATATCTATTGTTTAAGTTTTAAAGAGCTAGTCAGTCATTCCTCAATTTTAAAATTGGCACATTCAATGAAATCAATATTACAAAATACGGCTGTGTTTTTCCTTCACCACATTTATACCACTTACTTTTACATCTACATCTGCTAGTAAGCCATTTTATTTAATCATGTTATATTACAGGTAGTCCATAATTAAATTAAAGTCAAGTGTGATTGATTATAATCTAATTATGGACTATAGGTAATAAGCATGATTAAATAAAATGGCTTACTGGATTAAATTAAAAAAAAAAAAAAATAGAAATAAAAAAGTTGAAAAAACAATCCAGAGATGATGAAAACTGAATTTTTTAAAATCAAAATTCTCTAGTTTACTGCTTTCAAAATGTAGCCGACAGAATGTTTCCAGTTACTCAGAACAAAAGCTTTACAGTATCACTGCCTGCACTCAATATTCTTTTTGACCTGAGCTGATTGGTGTATCCAAATAATGGTCTCCCGTAACTGCGATGATTCTACATAATAACAGTTAATTCACCAATAAATAAACTATCAATAGCAGTCAAATATTCTAGGAACTAAAAGATATTTTTATGATATATTAGTTTAAAAGAAGTAAATAGATTTAAATATATATTTGTTGTTTATACACTTATTTTTTCTCTCTCACACAGAAATTTATTATAAAAATTTTTAATCTTCAGGTGTTGAACATTGTATCTTCAGTTCAAAATAGAATGAGCGTAGATGGAATATTTTGTTTTGAATTTGAATCTTAAGTTTTTAAATGAAATGTTCATGCCTATTTACAAAGATCTAACACTAATTTAAGTCAATAGTCAAAAGTTTTCATTGAGGTTCGTTTTCCCACTTAAATAAATAAAATACATTTTGAAAAAAATGACCTAAGGAAGTTATAGCCTGAATAACGGCAGCCATTAAAAGTGACATAGAAAGAGTTATTATCTTTCTTTTTAAATCTTGTTCTTCAGTTTCTATATTATCTTCTTCATTTTCATTTGAACTTTCACTCTCAGATACCTCAATATTATTGTCATTATCCATGTATCAGCTTATTACTTCCTCAGATTCTTGCAAAAGAGCATTTTCACTGTTTTTCAGTAAGATCTATAAATAAAATAGTTATAAGAGATGATCATAAAGTATAATAACATTATACAAGATAAAATATTTTAAGATAAGTTTATTTAATAAAAAAATATTAACCTTTTTCAACTCAAAAGGTAACAAAACTAAAATATTTCAGTAAAAAAATAATAATTAAGAGTATATGCTTTTGAAAAGGACAATATGCAGGGAATTTTCAGGGTGAATCTGTTACGATCAGAATTGGCAGTCAGCCTGTGATTGGCCCTTTTGATCTCGACTAAAAGTCTTTTATATGTACCTATTATATTACTCACACTTTTTTTTTTTTTTAATTTTAAATTGTTATTGACAACAAAAAAATTCTAACTTCCTATTCCTTAAATATTTCTCTATCTAGCTTTGAAAGTTAAATATAATTTTAGGAAATTTAAATATAAATATATAAAATTTATACAAGGAAAATGTATGCTGGTACTACAAATATAATTTCCTTACCTCAGGATGTGAAAAAGATATTTCGCTAAATTCAGAATAAAATGTAAGAATGTATATACAAAAGCAAACGGCTACAATCCATTCTGAAATAGTACTTGCCACATGTAATTCCCACCCACCATCGTTAGGATACCACTTTCTAGGATTATGACCTAGAAGAAATAAGATACAAATTAATACAATAGTGGCAAAACTAATCCTGTTTACACATTAAATGTACCTTTAAAGTTGCATACTAGACTCATAATAATGTACTAGTGAATTGTACGCAGATACTCAAATATATATTTTTGTTAAAAATCCTATGTAATACCAATAGTTTCAATCAACAGTTTCTCTTAAAATTTATTCAGTGTAATAACTATAAGTATACATTTTATTTGAAATTATTTTTTTACAAATTCAAAATTGAAACAAAAAAAAAAAAGTTAAGATATGGAGGAAATTTAATGTGAGAGACCCATTTTTTCTTTTCATTTTTGAACTTTTCTAAGTTATTTTCACAGTTTGTTTGGAAATAGTGACTGAAGATTATTATAACAAAATGAACCAGAAAAGAACTGGAACCAAATATATATTAGTAGGAAATATTTCCTGGGTAGTAGAATTGAAGTTGTTCCTGTGAATAGATAATCTATGTGAGGGCAGATTAGATAAGCGAGGAGTGGTGGATTGTTTGTTAAGGATTGATGATTAAAGAAAAATACAGAAGATTTAATAGAGAGACTGACTAGGTCTATCTGGTCGCGGTAGAGATGGGGAGGGTCATTTTCAATCAATATAAAAAAATATTGTATTATCTTAATTTCATTAAAAATTATTTCATATTGTATTACATGTTATTTTTATTAAATATAGAAATAATAATTGATTATCTAAAGACAAGTGCGGATTTATAAAATTAAAAACAATTTAATGTTATTTCCTTTGTCTTATCCTGAATAACAAAACATGCAATGAAAATTTTGAAATAATAAAGTCATATTACTTATATAAATAAATACCTTTATATTTTAAATGAGACATTAAACCTGCTACAGCAACTACAAAGAAGAACATTGTGCAAATCATTGCTAAAGTAATGCGGAGATGAGCCATTATAATACTGTTAGCAATCGGATGCATATGATATGAGCATAATGCCTGAAAAATAAAAATAATAAAAACATGTACAAAACTTATATTTAATCTAATCATTATGCAACTGTAAAAATAAAATGTGTCTGTTTTTCATTTCAAAATAAGTTTATAAAAAATATATGTACATAAATCTTCAAGCATTGAAGGTTTTTCAATTTTTATGTTCAATCTAACCGACCCATGCAGTTGGTACGTTAAAAGAAACCTGCCATTAAACCTTTACGTGATTTACATTTTGTACCATACTGGAGAAATAAACACAGTTATTTCTAAATGATTGTAAGCCGCTACTAATTTAATGAAGATGGAATCCTAAAATTCAACATTTTGGCCATAATATGTCATTTTTCTTGATATATAATTTTTCAAGAAAATCCATTCTTTTCCCTTTAGATATAGTGTGTAAGAGTTTTACAGTATTACTTTTATGTAGGTATCAACAATTTTAGAAATAGTCCTTGAAGTTAGATGCATGGCCTGACCCAGGGAGATGTCTTTAATACATTTTTTTTAGTTTCCTTCCTGCCTCCCCAATACAAATAGTAGGGCGTGAGCATTATATCCAGTAAACACTACTCTTACACACAGAGTCAACTCGGTCCCTAGTCTTGGAAACCATACTATTTAAACTTTTTTACAGTCTAGGGCCCACAATTTAACTGTTTTTTAAAAAAATATTTTTAATTTTATATGTATTAGGAACTATGTATGTAATGATTCTAAAATAAGTAATATTATTGTATTGGAAAGTCTTGTAGGTTGAACATTCACAGTTTTTTATTTTCCTAAACACTTTACAAATTGGTTCAAATAAAAGAACTACCTTGACTGAGATAAAATTTATTATTATTTCATTATATCATAAAAGTACATATAAAACTAAAACTAAACTATTTCAAATATAAAACAAATTACCTGTATCCAAAAATAGATGGTTCCTACTCCGAAACACAGTGTCGCACCAAAATAATGGACATATTTAACACTTGTTTCTTGGAAGTTGGCAACTATACTCAGTCCAAGGCAGGAAAAGACTCCTAGCCAAACCCCAGCTTTGTTTAATCTGATGACTTTGGGAGAAATTGAGTAACTTTCATAATATTGACAAACTTCACAGTATCTTATATATACCATAATACATACTGAAAACAATAAGACAAATAAGTTGCTAAGAAAAATATATTAGGATCATAAGCATTTAATTTTATTTTAGATGATAACAATCATTAGCAACACATCAACAGCCACATTTAAATGGACTAGTGTTTGCCCAGTGATCAAAATTCGACCATAGCCATTAAAAATTTGAGTAAATCATGATTCAAAAATCCTCATTTATTAATATAAATAAAATTTTAATTTCAATTAAAAATTGAGCTTAAACTACTTAAAATTATTTATAAGTAATACAAAATAGACTCATTCAAAATATTTAATTTCCATTTTAATTTATGTGTGTAATTATCACAATAAATTAATGTTATGATTGAGCAAGTAAAAAATAAATTTAAATTAGCAATTTAAACTGAGTTTAAATCCATTTTTATGCAGAACTTCTCTGTAAACAATGTTCTTTTTGAATGTTCTGTTATTGTTTAGTACATAGCCTTGCCCATTGCCATTGGCAATATAAACTTCAACATTTTAAATGAACTTGCTCTATTTGCTGCCACATATAATGGTCCATGCGAAATCACTGGACGTCGCAATAATACACAAATTTTTCCAAAACTTTGACCCTGCAATTCGATTATGGTCATAGCAAATGCAGCTATTAATAAGAACGTTGTTCTTTGAAATTCGAATGAAATTATTCTGTCAGAAAATATTAAATTAATTCTTGGAATTGAAAGCTTGTTTTCGGGAAAGTATGTTATATACATAAATTATAAATGTTTCAAGGGGAAGACTTCAGCCAAGTTTCGTTAAAGTCGTATTGGCGCTACAGTCTAAAGCGAATTACATTTTTCGGCCGCCATTTCGAAAGAAAAGGCCTGATGATAATGAAACGTATACAAAAACACTTCTAAATATGATTGCGACGTTGTGTCCAAATTTCAAAGAAATCAGTGAAGAACTTTCAGAGATTAGCTGTTTTGAACACACTACTATTTATATTTTTATTTAGAAACTATTTCATATTTGTATTTATTTATAAAACTTAAGCTCGTCAATAGCTATTACACAAAAAAAAGAAGGAAGAAAATCGGTTGAATAATAGAGGAGGAGTTGAACTGTTTTGTTTTTGTCTCTTTATATGATTACATGTTTAAAAACTAAAAATATTAAGAAAATAGAAAATCTGATTTTTTTGTTATGAATAAAATTTTCCGTTCAATTTTTATTCCATTCTTAACACACTGAAGGTCACACTGGATCTGACAGATCCGCCAAGAGGCCTATTTGATGTGATTTTATACCGCTTGCTAGGAGAGGACCCTCCCTCCCTGTATTCTGCTGGTTCTTGGAGTCTTAATATCCAGTAGAGGGATGAACTGTGCTGCATCCATTTTTTTAACGAAAACTTGAGGATTGAAACCGTAAATTTTTCACAGGAAAGGGATAGGGATACAATGGCAACTGATATAATTGAAATAAAAGTTTTTATCGGGCTGATATATATTGCAGAAATGCATAAAGTCAGGAGAAATATTTTGCATCATTACCTAAGATGTAATGATCGAGAAACGTGAACAACGTAAAAAAATAGAGCGACTATCATCTGTCCAGGACATATTTGAAGAGTTTGTCCGAAACCAACGATCTTGTTATTCAGTTGGAGCAGACATGATTATCAATGAGATATTAGAGGCCTTTAGAGGCTGTTGTTCATCTTATGATGATGTTTGTATTAATTATCTTTAATCCCATTATAATTATTGCCAGTATTCAGTGATTTTTGTGTTTGTATTTAATGGAAGACATAATTTAATGTTCATGATCCTAATTTTATCAACATATTTTTCGTTTTGATTTTTAGTATTTTTTTAAATTATGAAAAAGGTGTGTTTTACTCAATAAATATATTTTAAAAACTCATCTTATATCTTTTTAATTCAGTACAACGAGAAATGTGTTGGTATTTTTGATCAATAAATTGATTTGGTGAAGTGGATCTCACAAATCTGTTGCGACCTTCAGGCAGAATCCCTTTACTTGGCCATAGACACAAATTTCATTCCTTGTTAGAAATTCTATGCTATAAAAACTGTCAACTGAACATAAGAAATAAATGAACAAAACTTTTATACAAATAATAAAAATGTTGACAATATACATATACCATTCATTTTTTAAACAAAATTCTTATCCTTTATTTAAAGTTACTTGCTGCTAAAGTTGCTTTAGACATAGTTTTGCACTATGTTGAGCAACAAGAATTGGCAACAGATTTGGATTTTAAAAAATAATAAATTAATTAAAAATTATAAAAAAAAAGACTAAGCTTCAGAAAAAAAAATAGTTCGATGAAACAAAAGAAAAAAAAAACAGTGACTACAGTCAAAAATTGAGCAATTGTTAGTACACCTAAATAATCATGCATCTAAAGAAATTTTTGTTTAAAACCTTACAGAATATTTTAAACATTAATAAAATTTTATATGTCTTACCTTATGATGCTTATAATATGATCCATAACAATAATTCAGCATGCATACTAAGCTAATTAAATATAATTTATATATTTAATCATCAAGCCATAGTCACGACAGACTAACAGTCTTCGGCCCTATCTCTCAATATGGTTTGGTACTTAAATTTATTTTATAAAATCAATATCATATATGAGCATGAAACATAAGTGAGTCTTATTCTTAAAATCAATCAAAATGTTCTATTCCAGATTCATATATAAGCAAACTAGAAAATCAAATAGAGAGAAAAGATTATGTGACACAAATAAATATGGGGGCAATCCTTCAGATAGTGATAAGGCAACGGCATGTGAGTCCTGACACAAGGAAAAAAATATTAAGGTTTCAGAAAGAAATATTCTTTGAAGGATATATAGTCCAAGAAATAAATCAGGACAATGATATAAAAAAAATCAAGAGTTAATGTCAATTATGTAACCAACCAGATACTTTGGTATTCATCCAAATTGCAAGAATATGATGACCTGGCTAGGTTACAGAATTTCAGAGTATCCCCAACCAAGAAGTGAACTATATGAATACCAGAAAATAAGGTGAATACAAAGACCATGTCTGAGGTATCTTAATCAGATAGACTTTGCGCTGGATGAGAATGAGGAAAGGGAGAAAACATGCAGCTGACAGAAAAAAATGGACGAGCTTGTGTGTATAAATAGATATATATTTTTAATTGGTGAAATTAGTGCCTCCCTCCGAAGTAAAGTTGTGGCTATGAGTCTCTTTATAATATTCTATGCTATATTTTCAAAGTAAATAAGACCATTCTTACATAATATGGCACCAATGTTTATTAGCTGCCCAAAAACACAACTTTCTGGTGGATAGGTAGCAGCATCGCTTATATAAGGGAATTCAGGTTCAACATGACCTTGTAAAACAGCTGCTATATAACTAACAAAAAAGAAAACAAAATTAAAACTATATACATTATTATAGTTAATCAAATAAAAATATAATACTGAAATATCTTTATTACATTAAAGCTGTAAGATCTGAACATTAAATCTCATAATAAAAAGCAATCAAACATAGAGCATTGTAAGTTCTAAGTAAGTTTCATTGCTTTCAATTACTTTTAATTGCTATAAAATATTATACAATTATGCACTTCTTCTACTATTGGCTCTTTGACCCACTAAGTTGAGTCTTGGCCTGCTTTGACATCGATGGTAAGTTTTTTCTATCAAATGCTGCTGCCTTTCAATTATAGACATAAAGTTTAGCTTGAGTATCTGAAGCGGCACATAACTCCCACCAAAGCTGTCTTCTGTCTTTGCGATGAAGATTTGCTTTCGAAACACTTTAGTAGAAATCTCTTCGTCCTCCATCCTCACATAAGCAACCAAGCATAGCCATCCTAATTTGTAGTATTGGATTACATCAACGTCCATAAGATGATTCCTTGATTGTTTGTTATTAGTCGGTCCAGCAAATCGTTTGTGAGCTTTTGTGATATAGGAGTTTTAAAAGGACATCAGCCTGCTGCCGCTAAGGAAGGTGAGAAGGGGTTGCCTTCTTAGAGCATCCTGACCTGCTCCTCCATCTGGAGCAGCTTCCGTTATTCACTACTATTGTAAAATTAAATCTTTTAAGAATTTTAATGCCAGTGATTTATTACAATAAAGTATTCCTTATAGTGATCTGTAATGTATTTAATACTTTTCAGCAGGCCTAATGTTAATGAACACTTCAGTGTATAATTAAAGTTTTGCTACTTTAGATTATTGGGCTTTTGAATTAGAAATATAATATATTTATAATACGATAACTGTTAACCACTCACATATCTTTCTAATTATTTCTTAATGTATTACCTGAACATATGGGTTATCTTTATTGTATCAAAGAATAAAAAATATGTAATTGAGGACCAAAGAACAGATTTTCATTTTTTTTTTAATTTAAGAATAACATATGGTAGAGCGATAGATATATTGTGTATTTAGAATTCGGTGGGATGAATGAGTCTGGCTGAGGATGATACTGACAATCAGAAATGGAACTCTGAAGAATAATAAACAATAAAGGGCATCTTAGACTTTGTAATATTCCTGATCTTAATAAGAGAGAAATAATTTGGAAATTGTAGGATTCAGCAATTATTTCATATCATTTAATCCCTCTATTGTACTGTAAAAATAATAGTTATTTTAAATTAATTGACTATTTAATCAGACTATACAGATAACAAAACTGTAATAATTTAATCAATCTTAAGACAAAAACCTGAAATGACCGATTATGTTACATAAAGCTAAATATACAAAAAGTAACCAATAGACATTTAATGACATTGTCGATAATTTTTTCAAGATTTATATTTTCCAACAAAAACACCATTCCTAAATACTACTATTTGATATGGCTTTTATTGCAAAATAAAATATCTTGAAAAAATTACTAATGTACTTTTTTTTTTCAAGAGGCTTTACAGATCTTTGATCTGTTGGAGCCAGTCTTCTCCATCTCTCCCTATCTCTAGCTATAGCTACCCAGTTTTTTGCATGCAATATCTTTGTTGATTTGATCTATCCATCAGATTTTTGGCTTCCGAAATGTATACAGGCTTCCTAATGGATTCCTCTGAGCAACATTGGCCAACCATCTTAACCTACTGGCCTTCATATCATGAGATATTGACTGAATAGTTTCTGTAAGCATTTCTTTATTGGTTCTTCTCCTCTCTGTATTAGTACTCTGGTTATCTAGCAGAGGTTTTACTCTTAAATTTTTCAATACCTCTTTCTAGTGAGCTGGTTAGTGTCCTGGTCCCACCGGCTTAAAACATCACTGTTTTTATTACAGTATTCTACACCCTTAATTTGAGATGTTCAGAGAATTTTTAGTACCTTTGATATATATTTCAATAACAATGTACTTACAAAGCAGGGATTTACAAAATTGTCAGTAGATTGCTGGTTGCATAACTGGGTTCATATATATTTATGTTTAAAATAGCAATCCACGTGAATAGCTTTTTGTCGAAATGGACATCAATCAACTATAACAACCATGCTAATGCTATTATAAAAATAAAAATATTACAACTAAAATTACATTTATAAATTACAAAGGACACAATTTTCATCCTTATGCAAACAAAAAAGGCAATGCTCCAATATGATGTATCTGCATAAAATAGATACAGGTAAAAAAAGCTACAAACTTCCAAATGATCTCATATTAAATGATTATTTTTAAGCAAGGAAGCAGTTATGCTATCAAATTGTGACCTCTTTCATGATTAGAAATAAAATAGCTTGAATAAATTAAGTATACAAAGAATCTGGAAAATATTTCAATTGTAAAAAATCATAAATTTATTAATGGCAAACTTCCTAAAATACTGGTTGGTAATGTTATACACTTATAAGACTTTTCTGATTATTTGGTATTTATTCATAACTATAATATTAATAAAAAATTATTTATCACTGCCTAAAAAAACATCCAACATGATAGAAAAAACTTACGTTCCTAAAAACGTTGTTGGAAATAAAATAAATAATATTAAGGGTAAATAGTGGATCCTAGAAACTATCATAATTTTAAAGCATTTCAGTTTTTCTCTAAATAAAAAAAGGTAAAAATATAACCCTATCTCTGTCAGATACACTTGTCTTTGTTTTATTATCGTCAAAAATGTAAACTTCTGAACCTTCCTGACTGTTTTGATAATATAACCTTTCTCAATCATAACCGCCTGTATTAGGATTATAACCTTGTACTCTAATATTACATGTCTTTTCAGTGGTTCAAATGCTTTAAAAATTGTTTACTTACTCTAGTGAAAAATGGATAATATGTCGCCAGAAGATAGTAAAGGTCCTTTGAATCCTGTGACATCCAAGAATTTAGAAAGTTCCCATTTGTTCTCTTGTTTAAAAAAATATTTTGGTTTCTCATCTTTCAAAAGTGATCTTCAAAGGAAAGCAATAGAAAAAATTTTGTCTAGTGAGTAATAAACCAATAGATTTATTATAAGGGTATCATAATTGAGTGGAATCGTCAAAGTTATGAACCTAAATATAAACTTTTTTTGTTCAGGAAAGAGTGATGTATTTATATCTATGCCTACGGGTTCTGGTAAATCACTGTGTTTCCAGTTGCCTGCATTGATGTGTGAAAATAAAGTAACAATTGTCTTTAGCCCACTGTTAGCACTAATGAAGGTAAAGACATTTTACAAAATGCACTGTTTTGTTTGGTATATTTTTTAGACTTTAAAGTATGTGTTTTATTACTTTTTATGCCTAGGACCAAATTGACGCTCTAAGAAAACTTAAGATCAATGCTGAAACAATAAATTCAAGAATGTCAGCAAGTGAGCGTCAAAGAGTGATTACTGATTTAAAGTATGTTAAACCTAATACCAGGCTGTTGTATGTTACACCTGAACAAGCAGCAACTTCTACATTCAGGGTTAGCTATCTTTATCTGAATTTATGATGGTTTATATAATTGACACAAAGATAGAATAGAACAATAAATTAGTTTTTAATATTTTTGCAGGAAATTCTATATTTATTATATAGACATAATAAATTAGCGTATATCGTAGTTGATGAAGCACACTGTGTCAGTCAATGGGGTCATGATTTCCGACCAGATTATTTAAAGTTGGGGAACCTAAGGACATCTTTGCCAGATATACCTTGGATTGCTTTGACAGCTACAGCTAGTTCAACAGTATTTATTTATTATTGTTGCATTCACCAATACAGTTGTAATAAAAATAGTGTTTAATATAATTTATTATATACATTTATTTGCAGGTAGTGAGTGATATACAGACACAATTAAAATTAGTGCAACCTATATCTTCATTTAAAACACCAGTATTTCGTTCAAATCTTTTTTATGATGTTGTCTATGATGATCTGTTAGAAGATTCATTTGAACATTTAAAAGATTTTATTAAAAATATTTTGGATGATGAGCCTGAAAAGAAAAAAGCAAGTTGTAAAGATTACTTTGTCTTTTGATTTTTACAAATTGTGTTAAATTAAATAAGTATATTTTGATTTAGAGTGAACGAGGATGTGGAATAATTTACTGTCGAACCAGAGAACTAACAGAAGAAGTAGCAACTGTATTGTCCATGAAAGGTGTTCCTACTGTTTCATATCATGCTGGTAAAGTTATTATTTCAAATTAATTTCTTGTTGCCTTTTATTTGCCTATATACATGATATATAGAATGGGAAAGTATTGCGATCATGAGTTTTCAGCTGAAATACATGGTTTGAGGTCCCCTGAGTTCAAATAACCAAGTCCTGCAAAGTGGTCTGTGTGTGAGTGTGAACACTCTAGCTCAAAAACAAAAGGTTGTACTAGACTGAAATTGCCTATTGAAGGTTTTTATATGCCTGGGATGTTACAGCGAGCGATATCGATTTTACACATTTTTAGCTCTAACAATTTTGATTAAATTCATTATATTAGTGCAAAATTGAGCAGTTTTTAATATAATTTAGGTCTTTTTCTCATTGATGTTCTTTAACATAGTTTAAATGTCTAATTTTCAAAATTTCTTCCTCTATTATACCTAGTGATTTTTTTAATTTGAAATAATTAACCATTTCACATTGTAAACTGATATAAATTTTTTTTAAATATAATGAATGAAGAAAATTGACTGATAACAAAATGAGAAACATGGGTTGGAAGCTATGCCGAAACAGTCGAGAACGCCAATCATCTTCCTTTACAGATATCCAATACTTTTCTGTACAGGATTTTCATATTGTTTGTTTAACTTTTATATATCACTTATCAATAATTTTCTAAAAAGGTTTCCATGCCAACTGTCGAGAATCTGCGAATATAAACCCAATCGTGTACAATAATTACTAAATTTAAGTTATTTTTTTGATAATTTTTGTGATTAATGTTTCCTATAAAACTCACAACTTTTCCAAAAGATCATTTTTCCCCACGAATCATTAGTATTTTTTGATTTTTTACACAGTCGTAAAAGGAAATGGAAAGTGATGCAAACGTATTAATTTAACAGCCTTTCGATGGACAGGAAAAATATGATAGTTAATTGTTTTAAATGAAGTTATACCATCATTTTCACTTTGCCTACTCTATATATGAAAATGCCTATCTAATCTGAGATTGCTAAGTGAAAGTTGTGTGATGCAGATTTGTTATTTTCTTATGCTTCTCCTATTATAACATGATGTAGCTTGATCAATTACTCTGCTCTTATTTAGGTAATAATAAACATAATGGCTTACTTGATTAGAGTTAAATCTTATTTATTGCATTTCTTTTTTAATTTAATCAATTATATTTGCTTTGAGTTATAGGAAACTGGTTTTTCACAAGACTTTTTAGAATTTCAAGAGTGGTATTAATAAAATATATGCGAGTACAAAACAATTTATTGACTAGTAAATTAGTAACTTTAACTATGGATTGCAAGTATAGATCCATTCTCCTCCATGATCAATGATTATTCTGTTCTTGAACCAAGCACAACTCCGAGTAATAAATTTTGAATTTCTTCAGTACTCATGAGACCAATCAACGACTAATACTCCCTCTCAAGGCATTAGATTTTTTCAACTAAAAAAATCATTATTAAAAATGGGCAATATACAATGGTTTATTGAAAACTATATCTCTTAATGTTCTGGACCTGTAACATTTATGAAGAAGGAATTTTAAATTGATTGTTGGAAGCAGCATGTGAAAATGTTCATGAAATACGACTGCAACTGTTCCTGTTGCACGATTGTCATCTCTACAATGTTATGTTTCATTTGATACTAATTTGTTTGTTTTTCATTGCTTGGAATTCTTATTTATAATAGTAGATATTTGTTTATATTTACTTATTACACTTTTTATTTTATACTAACATTAGCAATAGTTATAGATTGATGGAAATCTAGAAAAAATTAAGAGTTAATAGAAATGTATGAGGAACTAGATATTATAGTATTCATCAGTATGAAAAGAATACGATGGGTTGGACATGTGGAAGAATGCCAGGTTATCGATGGCCAAGAAGGTTGCCTTATTAATTGCCAAAAGAAGACAAATGAAAGGAATACAATGTCTGAGATGGCTTGATGACTTGGAGTCAGACCTGCATCAGATAGAAGTGAGGTGATGGAGAAGACTGACAGGAACTAGTGGACGAAGATAATTTTGGAGGCCAAATCCTAATAGGATTTGTAGGGCTAGTGTATAGATAGTTATAGATTTAGTAATTTTATGCTTTAAATAATAATAATGTTTGATCTTTGATAATTAGGTTCAAGTCTTTTTATATTCAACTTAATTTGTGTTACTGAAATTTTTAATAAAATTATGCTAATGACAGTTTAGTAAAATATAGAACATATAATCTACTGCTGGAGAAAAATTAATTTTGGTTTATCTCATTTCATTTCTCAACAAATAAAAAGGTTAAGTTTTAGTCACGGTTAGTGAATTCAGCTCTGGCCATTCTTTAAATTAATCCAGTTCAAACTTTTAAATATGTAAGCGTTAGATGAACAGCGATGGAATCAATTTTTATTTTCAATAAACTTTTATTATTAATATGTATCCATTTAATGTTGGGCTAAGAAGGTATTGAAAAAACAAAAATTTTTTTTTAAAATAGAAAATTAACTAAAAAAAATTAGTGTTTCTTAATTTTTTAATATTAATTGACATTTTCACTGAAGTTGCAAATTCTATAAAGTTGGAGCTATTAAAAAACGACTTTAAGTCAAAAATTATTGAAAAATAAAATAAAATAAAACTTTAAAGAATGTTTTATTATACTCCACTACCCTTATCCTTTCCAGTAACTCACATTGTTACTAATTTTTTCCTTCTGCTTCTACTTTCTTTCATGGTGCTAGAGCCTGATGTAGCTCTCGACCTCCTCAAAAAGTTCTCATCGCCATTCTCCACTCTTTTATTTTATAAAGGGTTTTATCATCCTGGGTTGAGTTCGGTAAAAGTCTTCATGCAGGAGACCTAGGATTAATTTGGTCAGCATTTAAAACTCAGTGATGTTTTATGATGATCATTTCCCCTAGTTACTCTTGTAGCTCAATATTTATTCTTCTTTCAATTGATCTCCAACCTTGACAGAACTAAATATTCTTTCTTTAAATGATGAGGATTTCATTCTCTCGGGTATTCATTAGGGTTCACATTTCTGAAGGATCCCTGAGCACAGGAAGAGTCATTGTCTTTTAGAGCAATAACTTCATTATCCTTGTGATAGATTGGTGAGGTGTTGCTATATGATTTTTTATTTTTTCTATTCTCTGAGCATTTCCCACCCAACACTTTTTCCTTCCTGCCTATCTGCATATGCAGGAACTGTTTTAGTATGGTGAATATAATTGGATTTTTTAAGAACCTAGAAGCTCTTTAAAGACTAGGTTTAATAACAAGCAAGCTATTGGTATTCCTTGCTTGAGATCTTTTTTATAAGAATTAGCTGGAAAACTGTAATTTGAAGGAACATTTTACATCATTGATTATTTTCTTTTAGCTCCATTATCTGGATGGATTTCTGAGTTCTTTAAGTTATTGAAGAGTATGATACAATTGGTTTTCTTTATGCTGTTGTAGGTAGGTGTATTTAAAGTCTATGATACATTTAATTGTTATTATGTTGTTTTCATTCTAGTAGCATTTCCCATCTAGACTTTGTTCTTCCCGGCCGGCCTTTAAATTGAAATTTCTATGCTGATGTTCTCAGATGTTTGAAAGCTATTCTGTCTTAAATTCAATCTATTTTGGTCCAAGGATAGCAGTGGATCGCCCATCATGGCAATGCTTCTCCTGGCACTTGCTAGTTTTGCATGAGTTTTGGCCTCAAATTTTATTACTGTGAAAGAACACTACTTTTATTCATCTGATTTAGTATCATGCAACTCTTCTTCATTTATTTCTGCAAATAATATTATTTTATTCGGAAAGTCTATTCACGATTGGTGAATCAGCATACTTGTAATAAGTATGCTGAAGTAACAGTTTACTTAGTAAGTAATCAGCTTGCTCTAAAGAAAAAAAATCTCTTCAGTTAAGTAATAAGACTCATCTATTCATAAATAAATGTTCACCCAATATTGTACTCCTTGAGACCTATTGGGTTGGTTTAAAAGAGCAAGATTCTTAGTTTGTAGTTCTCTTACTTATTAAAATTGGAATAAGAATTTCATCTCTATGGCTATATTAATAACTAAGAAAATTCATACATGTCCACAAAATGTGTTCATTTCATTAATAACATCAACAATTTTCTTTTTATACTTTTTGTGGTGCCCAAGTAATGTCAAGAGTCATACTCTTTTGTTTACACTTTCAAAAGATTTTTATTTTATCATAGACTAATAAATTGGAGTGTTTTAATTTTTAACAAAAACCTTAACCATATATGGTAAGTAATTCAGGGTACCTAGGAGGATATCAGCAGTACTTATGGTTTATATCAAACACATTAATTTATAGTTCCTAAAAATGCAAGACCCAGTACGTCCTAACCAGGTCTTGATGTATACTTTGAAATCTCTAAAACTTGAATTGTCGCTTCTCAATATCCTAACACACTACTTTCAGCAATTTGACGCCTTTTACATCTTTGAATCACTTTTATTAAAGTTCTAGTAGAAATTTAAGGATCTAAATTTTAAAGAATCTAAAGGAGTCGTTACTTCTTCATAAGTTTTCTTTTCTTTTGACCCCTTTGTCAAAGTCCATTGCTCCTACTGCTAAAAAAGGGTTCTATACTGCTGTTTTACACATACATATAATGGTGTGAAAAAGTCTTCGAACAAACCAAATTTTTATAATAATGATGAATGTTTTAATTTAAAAGTTTTTTTATCTTCTTAATTGCAAACTGATTTAACCTCACAGACATCTTAAATGTAATATATATTTAAACTAGCATTATTTTCAATTAACATCAAGCCAAGGGACCAATCTGTTGTGTTGACGTTATCTTCAGAGGCTGAATATTGCTACATTATTGTTTAAATTTCACTACTTATTAACTTGATTCTTTATTATTTATTGTTAATATCAAGAGCCATTGTATAAACTCTAGGAAGCTGAATGAATCTGTAAAAATTGTTTTAATATTGGAATTCCCTGTTGTTTTTTTTCAAACATTTAATTTAACATTTCATAATCTCTTTTTATTTTTTACTATTGTTAATTTTATTTAAAAAAGTGGCAAAATATCCAAAAAGTTTCATTGTTATCGTGTTGAAAACTAAAGCTCAATCATCTTAATCTCGGGTGGTATGGCATGGTATATAAGAATGTTATGGTACCGTTTTTCACCTACTTTTCTTCTTTTCACTAGAGGTCTCCAATCTCAGATCAAAAAACATACCCCTTACCATTAATAAGCCATCTCCACGTTTTACTGTTTGTTACAAATATTTATTCGAAAATTCCACTCCAGTTCTTCCCTAGCACACTGCTTCCATCCGCAACCAAACATTTCATATTTTGACTCATCTCCCCTTAAAAATTTGTTCCATTCTTTTTCCTTCCAATTTTCGTGTCTAGGCAAACTTAAGTACCCTCCGCTGGTTAAGAGACCGGGGAAGTATTTTCTTCTGGGAATATAAGCTTTAAGGCCTAATGATAGAAGATTCCTTGGGTCCTAGAAGCACCGGCTATTTCCTGAGCCAGCTCTCTGCTAGATTTTTAGCAGTTTTGCCAACATAAATAATTTTAATTGTTCTGGTGAACTATAATTATGCTGAACAGCAGGATTATATTTTTTAGATCTGCCTGAAAGTTTCAAGTCGCGATTTTGCTTGTTTTTATTAAAAAAATTGATGACATCATGAATTCCAAACAGAACCTTCAACTTCTTTTTGATTTTCCCTGATTGAAAGATATTTGGTATAGATATTGTTGATACAAAATTATAATTTTATGTAGGTCAAAAATATGATATTTTGCCACTTTCTGAAATAAAATAAAAAATTAAATAGAAAAAAAAATTATGAAATATGGAATTTTAAATTAAATTTTAAAAAAAAATGCAGATAATACCAGAAATTTTCACAGATATACTCAGCTTCCTCGAGTTTATACAATGGCTTTTGATGTTAACAATAAAGAATGAAGACTGAAATGAATAACAAAGTAGTTATATTTAAACAATAAGGTAGCAATATTCATTCCCTGAAAATAACGCCAACACTATGGACTTGTCTCTTGACTTGTTGTTAATTGACAATAATGCGAATTCAATTATATGTTATATCTACAATGTCTGCTAGGTTAAATCAATTTACAATTAAGTAGATAAAAACACTTTCAATTGAAACATTTTTTTATTTTTATAAAAAATCGGGTTTGTTTGAAGTGATTTTCACATATACATATACCTATATTTAATAGATTGATATTCCATTAGAACAGTTATATTTTTCTTACAAGAATAATCTTTCCAAGTTATTTCAAAATTCAAATCATATATATTCAGAATCATGAAAAAAATATAATTAACATAGTTAGTGATTGTGGGTTTATTGTTGACTGTAGTGAATAATTGAAGAGAAGAATGGTTGGGATGATCAGTCAAATTGAAATCGTAAAAAAAAATATATAAATAAAATTATTTATTTTTTACCATTTCAATTTGACTGATCACCCGAAACATCCTTCTCTTCAGCATAGTTAATGAATGATTATTGAACTAGATATAATATTAAGATATTAAGTTACATCTGTTATTTGTGCATTTAAAAAAATATTGTACAAAATAAAAAAATCATTTCTTTTTTATTTACTACTATTTGTTTTCATGCTGTTATGTGAAATAATGCTTTCTTATTTTAATTTCTTTTTATTACATTCTTTCATTATCAAAAATCTTTGTAAATCGTACTTTTTTCAGGAACCTTCAATCTTAATTAGAAAAAAAATTTTATTTATCAAACATATAGTATCATTTAAATCATTAAAAAGGGTCCTTAGTTTACATTCATAGGAATGAGTAATAAATATATTAAAATGTTGAAGTTTTAGAGTTAAATTAAGAGTTTTATAATTAAATCCTCAAAGTTCAATGAAATTGATGAAGTACTATTGAAATTTTGTCATCTAGAAATTTTCTTTTATAACTTCTTCAATTCTAAAAAGTAAATTACTTCTTTTTAGTATAATAAGGATAAAAACATTTTAATTTTTTTAATTATTAAATTTTTTCTTTTGAAATGTTTAAATATCTTAAGATTTGACTGTATTTTCAATTTTTAAACCCTAAAAAGTAGTTTTCCAGCCACAGTTTAAGAGTCCCAAACATAAGATAAATTGTTGATGTTTTTAATCTCTGTCTGTTTAATAATGGACATTAGCGAAGCTATGTTTTTTTTTTCATTTATACTGTATAATATACATGAACATTTTTCACTTATTCTGTATTGTCTTCTGAGTCTGATTTGAATTTTTTGGTTCCACCTCCAAATTACTATTGCACCGTTTTTAAATATTTTTGGTTACTGCCTCCATTTTCCGTCGATAATTGGGGTTTGATCTGTTTACTTTCATAGATCTTTTTTATTTACATCGCCAATCTCCTTGTTGACATCTTTTTACTTCCATGTCTTCATTTTTCTTCAGAAACAATGTTTGAAGGATTATTTATGATGTTATTATTTCTCATGCTTAGGAGTTTATTTATATTTAGGATGGAATTGATGTGAGTGATATACTTCAGTGGTATATTTTTACTTTCTAATTGGCATATAAAGATGCTTCATCTCCTTTTTATCTTCTTGAACCACTTATTTACTCTACTTCCTAAAATAAGTTCAATTGTTCAGTATGCTGTTTGAAATCAATCTATTTTAAGGTTGACACTATTCTTACATAGTGGCTGCCAACCTGGGGGAAAGGAGGGAGTGGACTATTGGTTTGGGAGGCGTCAGCATTTGGGATAGATGTATTTTAATATAAACATAAATAAGCATGTTGTTAAGCAAAACTTTGTTTATTGTAATTTTAAATATTAAAAAAAGTATGTTATAATTTAAAACCAGTCTATATAATTGTATTTATTAAAATATATGAAGACAAAAAAAAAAAAAAAAAAAAAATATATATATATTATGAAGGCTTGGGTACTAGGTACATATAGATTTGAAACTGCTGTTCTAATTTATTACTTTTTTCTGCCTCTTCAGCAAAGAGTTTCAGTGATTTATATGTTATCAATGCAGATGCTGTTGACAGTGTTTCTTACTTTTCAAGTTTATAATATTCTAAATAAACCTCTACCACATCTTTAATGTTTTTCTCCCTAATATCTCACATTACCTTAAATAATAAAAAAATAAAGATTTCCTCAAATATTAGGATTGCCAGAATGATCCTCAATATCTGAATTAGTTCTAATCAATGTTCAATGTTCAATGCTCATTTTCAATGTCATCAATGTTAATATGTGTTACTTATGTTGAATTTTTTAAAATATGTATTACAAAATGTGTTATCACTAAACCTCGTTTTGCATTGTTCTTGATTAATGCTATTTGCTAAGTATAAATTTATAAAAATTGATCGATAATACCTCATTTACTTCATGAGATTATTATTTTTTTGTTTTTATATTTTCAATTTTAAGGTCTAAAAGATAAGGATCGAATCACAGTTCAGGAGTCATGGACACAAGGTGATTTTCCAGTGATTTCAGCCACAGTCAGTTTTGGAATGGGCGTTGACAAAGCTACAGTTAGGTATAATATATTATATCCCTTGTAATTTCTTCTCTATGTCTCCTACTTATTTTTGTCTGAGGACTAGAAAATATCATAGCAAATCAATATGGTAGACTTACTACCTACTCTCTCTGCTGAAGAAGGTATATATAACATATACCATTAGACATATTTTTCTTCCTCTATCTTTAATGGAATGGTATGATGTCTCATTATCTTTGTATTGTTAACATTTTTGAAAGCTTCTTCGAAATATGGTGACTGTTTATGGAAACTGGCAGTTGTAGGAAGCTACTAGTTTTTTTTTATCTCTAGACCAGGACTTCAAAGAAAATGAGTTACCTGTACCGATAATTTACTACATCTGATCGTAAATTCAATTAACATTTGTTATAGGATTGAGCAGTAGTAATTTATATCTTTTTATTATTATTAATTAAAATATTTTACATTTCTGTTTTATTCATCTACCACATATGATACATTTCTGTTGGAAATTTTATTGTAATTTAGTTTTTTTGGAGGAAAAACATTGGTCATTTGTAATACTGTCTTATATTCATTTAAATTTGTTAATGGTTTGATTTATTATACTACTTTGCAAGAAAATTACTTAAATGGTCAGTTTATTTTTGTTATTAAATTGAGAGTTTTCAAACAATATTAGTTTTGTTGTTTACATTAATCATATTTATAGCTGATGAGCTTCTCTATGTTCTGTATTTGTATTTTCTTTTAAGTATTATATTCTATGATAGAAGAGTTTTTATAAGTATTTTTCTTTATCCAGTGAGAAAAAAAGTTTATTTTGTTTTGTAATGATTATCTAATAATTTGTCTGTATTGAACCCATGCAGATTCTTGATTTTTCTCACTGACTGGTAAGCTTATCGAGATTAAAGTTATAAACATACCATTGAAATAATTTTCATTTCAAATTATATATAGCGATAGGGAAGTTATGTATAAATGTGTATATACTTTAAGACTTTATTTTTATTTTCTGCTTCGACAGAAACCATTCCAAATGTAATTAAGTCGGATTTTAATTTTTAAAATTGTAAAAATGCTATATTAATAGTTCCTAATACAATCACATTTTTTATAAAAATGTTTTATAAAATAATTATTTACTTTTAAGAAAATAAAGTATACAGATGTTGATTTGGGAATAGTATTTTTAAAAACAATTTAATCAATCTTTCTATGTTTTTTTTCTTGTTATACTTCTATAGAAATTCATCATTTATAATTAGTTTGATTAGATATAGGTTCGTAAGGTATTTGATGATCTTAGATATTATGAAACTACATACTTTTTACTATTTTATCATTTTCTGAAATCAAAAATTGTTAATCCTAAAAGGAACAGGATTGATCAGTATGATTTGCCTTTCATCTCGAAATCATTATTACTAGAGACCAAATTTCCATGTTATTCCACATTTTATTCACTTGTATATAAACTCCGGACCCAATTATCTATATGTTTCAGAATCTGTAGAATAACATATTAAAGATTGTATATTGTACGTTTTGCCATTTTTGGCTTAAATTGCATGAATTTTTTTAAACCTAACTTAGCTGTGTTTCTCTGCCCAATAGTCCTTTTTAAATAGTTTAGCAATTACAAACTCTGTTTTTGTTTAAAGTAGATTTTGTCCAGTTTACTATGGAGCAATGTTTAGTTACTTGAATGAAATGTTTTTTAGGTTATCGCTTTCTATTCAACAAAAGCCGTGACTCACTTAAAAAAACACAAATCTTAAATTTCCTACTTTTCTGCTAGAAATTGGGCAATTGTTTATATGAACTTTTTTTTTAGATCTTAATTTCTACCATCAATCTTTTCAATATTTCCACCTACTTGAGAGACACTCCTGTATATTAAGGATATTCACATCCAAAGATGTTAAGAATATGAGCATTAAGAAACTTAAATATAGGGATGTGTACAAAGTTTCCTTGAACATATAAAATCCTAAATGAATATGGCAATCCAATTTGGAGATATACAACTTTTCTAATAAAATGGGATTTTACAAACTTGAAGGATCAGATCAGATGACTATCATGGGCTAGTCACCTAGCTTATTTTCTGAGAAGGAAAATTCTAAAACATTCTGACTGAGAAACTGTTTAATGAAGGTAGAGTTGGGAAGCCAAGACCACACTGGGTTGACTGTGTTGCAATGGCTTTTCAAAAAATTATGGAATAGTATTGTATTAGTGCAAGGCTGGGACTAGTGGAGATTATTTAATGCTAATTGGTGATGATTAAGGACCGGATTTGTATTCAAAAATTTGTAATAAAATATGAGATGTGCATGAACAGAAATCCTGAAAGATGATTTTTTAAAAACATATTTTTAAAAAATCACAGAACTTACATTTAAAATTATGAAATAATTTAAGATACCATAATAAATATTAAAAAAACACTTGTAATGAGTACTTACTAAATTAATGTGAAAATAGAAAAAATAATAAAATATGTTTCAAGAGATGGTTCATTTTTATTTTATTTTATTTTTTATCAAAATATAAAATTTCCTGATTTAAATAGTTGGATTTTTTTTACTCAAATACAACATGGTATCAACAAAATACCAATATTTTAAATTAAAATGAGTTGGTATTGGATTTCTATTTTTTGTAATTTATGTAGCTGTTCAATTCTAGTAAAATGGTTCACCACAATTCTTGTAGTTTGGAGTAGCTTCTCAAATCTCAAATTTTCAGGTTTTAAAAGAACTGAGGTCACCACTGAATATCTGAGATATTTTGATCCTTCTAAAAAAAAATTATTACTTCATTTTTAGGAAGTATATTGCATATTTCTATTGGAAGTGGATTGTTGGTTTTCTACAGGTGTTGTTGAAGAAATGAGGAGGTGCATTTATCGTAATTTAATCATCATCTCATTTAATGAGTGACGGTTAATTAAAGTTTTACTGTACTACGACTCGTTGAGTTTGCCCCATGTGTGGAAATTTTAACTGGGTGTTTCTCAATATTCAGGTTTCTTGAGTTCGCCCTTCATATCCGCAATGTCTCAATTAAAGCTTTGCTTTACATTAATTTTATTTTCTCTATTTTCATTTGTAAAGTGTTGGAATATGATTGTTATCAAAAACTATTGCCTCTTTACCACATTTTTTTCACAGCAATCACCAAACAAAACATTACTGACTGAAAAAAGTTTCATTACAAATGTATTTTGGCATTAGAATAAATGAGTTCACTTGGCCATGTCTCAGTATGCAGTATAATAAATTCCAAATAATAAAGTTGATAGGGAAACTACTAATAAAGTTGATAGGAAAACTACTTTATAAGTTCACTGTAAATCTAATTATTTTCTACTCCAGTAGTTTTTTACTACTTCCTAACCCAAAATCCACCAAATATCTTGTGTTAAAATACTTTCCTCTTATTTGTTCTCATTTTTATTTTCATCAATATAGATTTTATTTGTTATCACATAGGGATGATAATATGTAGATATACTTCAAATATGTAAAAACATGCAATATTCTCCAAATATGTAAAATAAACTATTGAAAAAGTGTGTACAAGGTTTAAAAAAAGTGGAAATATATATAAATCTAATCCTTAGTGATGATAATATTTACTCAATTAAAATAACAGGAAAAAGCTTTTTCAGTAATAATCTTTTTATTGAAATTTTAATATTTTTAGGTGAAAATATCTATAAGATATTTATTTTCAGTGAAAATTCTACTAAACAAACTACCATTAATGGCTTACACATTAGATTTTTTTTGTCTATGAAAATCAATATATATGAGCAGTGCAATGTTTATTTGCTACATAAAAGGATGGAGTAGTTTAACTGTAAATCAACTTGTCAGATTCTGGTTAAGAGGAAATTTTCTGCAACCTATGATATTACTTAATATTTCTACATGATTTTGTCTATAGTATAATATACTGTAGCTATAATAATGCCTTCATTTATATTAATATTTATTAATGAATAGTATCTTGAGAAGTAGGCAGTTCCATTATATAAATGGAAAATTCCAACCCAAGTTTCTGACATATGGGTGAATAGTTAATATGTAGAAAAAAAAAATTGATGAACTGTTGATCTGTATGTTGTATGTTCAAGGTTTTATCACTGGAATTTTCCATTTATATCCTTAATTACTTCAATGTCTCTATTTGAATAATTTCCTCTTTTATAATAAGATTATAAATTATTGTATTGTCCACTCTGCAACTTACCAGTAAAAGAGGACCTGTTCCATTTTTTGGCTGACTGTTCAATGCTTGGTCAAATTCGTATCAAATTTCTTGAAACTTGCCCTGTTTTTCTTGTTTAGATATCGAATTATGCCTAACCAAGGTGCCACATTAAAGTTTAACCATAATAATAATAATTATTATAAGTCTTATTATATCAATGAGATGTTATGATTTTTATAATAACTTTTTTAAAAGTTATTTTAGATGATATTTCTATGTTTGAAGGTTTGTTGTTCATTGGGGAATAGCCAGCAGTGTTCCAGCTTATTACCAAGAGAGTGGTCGTGCCGGTCGAGATGGTTTACCTGCCCATTGCCGAATATATCATTCACGTGCATCTCGTAAGGCACTTGATTTTATATTAAAAAGTGAGTGTTCTAAAGCTAAAACAAAAGATAAACAAGCTATGGCCCTCGCAGCTCACAGATCATTTGAAAAAATGGTTGAATACTGTGAAACATTGAGGTAATAGTGTCAATGTCTATTTTTTAAGAGAAATTTTAACATAACCTAAAATAATATAATTAATTTTTAACTAGTTATTTTAAGAGGAATTAATATTTATTTCACATGCATGGATGAACCTGGAAAGAGAGAATTAATCTTTATTTGGATATGACCTCAAAAAATGTAGATAAAGTAAATCAGAGCACTTGATGAATAAAAAATGAAATAAAAATTGGTAAATAAAAAATAATTAAACAATAACGTTATTGTATAATATGTAAATTTACAATAATATGAATACATTATTTATAATGCTTTAGTACTGTAGTATTTCACATTAAATTTTGAAATCTCAATATGATTTTAAAACCTTGATAACAAATTAGTTTTTAACATTAGGGAATGAAGTATAAACATGAAATAAATAATAAGAATGTATTCTAATTTACACCCACAACATTATATGTATATTTTTACATCTATTATCATTACATAGATAGACAAAGAAAACAATACCTATTTCTTCTCTGTTTCTTAACGAATTTTTTTTTTTTTTTTTTTTTTTTGGTAGCTATTAACAAGTATTAGTGTTACCAACAAACGAATTTTGAAATTAGTGTATATAAATACTCTGTCAATTTCTGGAATTTCCTCCCTATCAATATTCGGCATTCTCCATCTGTATCCAAATTTAAAACCCTTCTATTCCAATTTCTGTCCCAAAAACAGTGAGATAGATGCTGACCTTTTGATATCATACATTTATTTTATGTTATTTATCATCGAAGGATATTGGAGTTCTTTGCTAGGGATATTACAAAAAATCTTTACCCATTTATATACTTAGACATTTTATATGGACAGATTCAATTTGCTTTTTTCTTAGCTTATTGATATGAAGAATTGTAATTTTTTCTTAGAAGTGTACATTCATACTTTTTCATCATTGTATATAGTTTTAAGTTTCTTGTACATAGTATCTCTATACTAGCTGACAATGCTAACACTCTTGTTTTGTTTATAGGTTTTTTTTTTTTTTTTTTTTTCTTGTATATAGCATGTTCACTTAATGTTTTCTTTACTTTTATTTTAATTTTTTATTGTTTCAAACCTTAAGCCAGAAGTAATCTTTTATTTTTGTACGATTTTGTTATTCTCAAGGGACTTAGTCTTAGAATAAAGTTATTTTCTACCTATCTAAATAAAAATGTAAATATTAATTTGTTTCAAACTGCTAATCTCCGAAAGTTCTTCACCAATTGCTTTGAAATTTTGATCTGGCCTTTTGTTTTGAAATGACGAAAGAAAAGTGTGTATCACTATATACAGTGCAAAAGTGTCTGTAACAATTTTAATGAAACTTCTCCTTTTGATGAAGTCTTCTCCTTAACTCCTTTAAATTTATGTATACATCATACTTGCTGAAAAGAAGCTGAAAAAAAAAAGTAACTATGGATTCAGAATTTTATTTGCAAACAACTAAAAAGTATACAATTTCGGTTCATTAAAGCTATGAATATTTGCTTTCTGAATTCATTACAAAGTGAAAAAATCATCGAAATTGAAAAGAATGATGTCTTATAAGATATTTTTTTATTTTTATTCTTTAGGAGAGCTCTATTATGACAAATTTATATTTAGCATATTGCTATAGTATAAGTACAATGTTGAAATGAAACAATTTGTACCGACTGAAGGAGTGGATTCAGATATTTTTTTGAAAAAAAATAATGATGGATTCAGAATTTCATATGCGAACATCTCAGAAAGTACACAAATGGTAATGCATATTGGATTAGTTATTGTAAGTAGATATAGAAGTGTATGTACAAATATGTCAGAGAAGAAAAAAAAGTTGATATCAAGCAAATTCATTTATGTTTTCCTCAAATTTTCAATAATAATTATGGTCAAATTTCGACCACTGGGTACTAGTATATATTATTACGTATGTTGCACATGTGAGCAAGTAGGGTACCTGAGAGTAAACGATACTTACTATCTTATATTACTATAATATTGTTGGTGATGATTTAGTCATTGTTAAAAACAATGTGTTTTTTATATCTTTGTAATATACATTATGTTAATGTTGTAGGTGTCGTCATTGGACATTTGCTCTGTATTTTGGTGATGAAAAACCAAAGTGTATAAAACAATGTGATGTTTGTGCCGATCACAAAAATGTAGAAAATTTATTAACTAACTTTCATCATATTGGTGATAATAAGACATTGGCTATAACATCTGCAGAATATGAAAAAAATTTCAATGATCTCTATGAAGATGGACGAAGAGGATTGAAAAAGTACTTTTATTATAATTCATTTTCATTAGTAATCTAGCTAACTTCTACTTGACTGTTCTGAGCAACTTTTTTTTTTCCTCAAATGCTTTTCTAATTTTTGATCTTTTTCCTGAATAGTTCATTTTTTTTTATAGGTGATAAATATTCAGGACGCAGTCATTATAAAGTTTTTATTAGTGCCAACATTTCAACCCAAACATGTGGGTCATCATCAGGGTATGTTTTGAGCACTGGAGGTATTCAAGTACTCAGTATGGAATACTTGACTACCTTCAGTGCTCGAAACATATCCTGACAATGACCCAAATGTTTGGGTTGAAACGTCGGCACTAATAAAAACTTTATAATGACTGTGTCCTGAATATTTATCACCCATGATATCTAGAAAAGTCAACTAACTTTCTACAATAATTCATTTTTTTTATAATTATTTTTTTATTTGTTTTCGAATTCTAACTGATAAATTATTAAATATTAATATCTACCTCCAAGGCAGAGAATGAGTGAGTATAGCCTTTCTCTGGAATAGCTCTTTTTGACATAGTGAAAGTAGTAGATCAACCACAACTTCATAATTTGTTCCATAATTTTAATAATTTGTTGTAAAAGAGAATATGGTCAAGAATAGAACCAACTTGATGGCTTTACTTTTATGAACATGGTTTGTTTTAAACTATTTTAAGAAAACTTTTAGTTCTTCAGTGTAAAGGATGTCTTATTATGTTCTGCTTTTTATCCTTCTGCTTCATTTTGTCTTTCGTTTTATCTTGGCTGCATTGCTTTGATGTTTATTTTATCTTTTCAATGGCATTTTTAACAATGCCAAACGTGATTCTAACAGCAATGTAACAGTTAAACATTATTTAGTATACCTACTCACAACATTCTTCAAACATTAATGAAAATATTTTTTACTACCTTTCTACAGGCATAAAGCAGTCCAGTAGTTTTTGTGGTTAGTAGTTATAATAAAAAAAAAGATAAAAAGCTGTTCTTTTATACAATTGTATGGGTGTATTATGTCAAGAAAGTATATTAAAGTAACTCGATAGAGCTGCATTATTATATTCAAATAATATAGTTATTAGCTAATAAGCAAGTAAGATTTTATTAAATTAAAGTACTTCTTATACTTAATAAGTAATTAGCTAGTCTTATTGGACAATATCTCATCAGTTTCACAGTTAAACAATATGATTCAGCTCAATAAACTTAAACTAACCCAGTGTTGTACTCAGTGAGACCTATTTGTTTGCTCCAGTAGATCAGGATTCTTAGTTTGTAATCCTCTCACTTACTAAGAATATAGAACATAAAGCAGACTAAGAACTTCATCACCTCTATAGTGGTATTAACAACCAAGAAAATTGAAAATATGTCCACAAAACCTGTTTATTTTAATAAACAATATCAAAATATTTTTCATATATTATCCAATATTGTACCAAAAGTGTCTTAGAGCTATTCTCCTTTGCTTAACTTTTTAGTTTACTACAGGCAATAATAAACGATATTTTAATTTATAAAAACTTAAACAATATAATAAATATTGCATGGTACCTAGGAGATTATTGGTAAACCCTAGTACACACAAGTAGACCATGTTGCCCAATTAGATTGTCTTGAGACGGGCTCAAGACACGTTTCATTATTTGTCTCCTCTAAACCGTTATGTTCTACAGTCTCATTTTTGCAGTCTACCATGCAGGATATTTTTTATGTGAAATGAGTTTCTGCTGAGTGCTAATTATCAGTGAAAGAACAGGGAAACATTAACGACGGTGGACAAGCGAATTGTTCTCAGAAGGACCTAGGTTCGGTAATGCATTATTAAATAAATTAAGACTGGAAGACCATGGGTTTTCGAAATTTCACCCGGCTGACGCCAACTGATTTTGAAGATTTGTGCTTCTGATGCCTAGAGGGATAAACAGCCAAACCATACCATTCAGTAGCTGGTGAGAAACTGAGCCGTGCATCACCTCTAGGCGCTGAGTGACATCCACTAGGTCAAAATGTTGCACAACATGTATAATGTTGCATTGGTCTCCAATTCTGATCTGGAATTTTTGGTCTCACTCCAGGCCTGTAGATGGGGATTGGTCTATAGACATGTCTACCAAGACAACCTGAGACATGTGTGAGAGAACGAAATCACATAACATGTCTAGTGTGGACTACAGAAAAATACAGTTTATCTCGAAAACAGAAAATTTAAGGCTTTATTGTGCAAGGACTAGGGCATTCCACAGGCGTGTCTTTAACAGGTCTGTCGTCTCAAATTCTTAAAACTTGGATGTTACAACCTCGATCTGTCAACTTACTAGTGTAGGAATATTGATGCTGCTTACATTTTTCAATAATTTTTATTAAAGTGTTAGTTAGAAGTTAAGGATAGAATTTGGGATTCATCACTTCTCCATCAAATTTCCTTTCTTTAGATACCTTGTTTGTCAAAATAAGTATTTTATATTATTTTATTTTGATGAACTCAAAAGTACCAGAAGCCTGATGGAATAAAATTGGAATTTTGAATTATCTGTGATTAAAGTGACATTAATGCATTAAAACTAATGTTGAATTAGAAAGTTTTTCTTTTTTGAAAAATAATCAATATTATAGTTAGACAGAAGTTTCATAATTGCAAATTATTGTTGATTTTAAGCAAGACATTTGCAAAATTGATGGCCCTTTGTCAATTCCTAGTTCTCAGAAATACCGAACATGCTTTAAGTCAATTCCAAGTATTTTGATATTAATGTATTTTTTCAGTAATTATGATGAGTACTACCGTGAATCCAATGAAGATTCTGATGGACGTGATGAAGTAAGAGAAAAAAAAGATACTGAACTTCTTAACTTGATAAAAAAACAATTTTCTCTCAGAAGAAAATCAAAGGATGATGAAGATTCTTCAGCATCTATTGGGAATGACATTGTTAAAGCTCCTGGAGCTACTGAGTGTAAAGTTCCTGGTCTTAAACTGAATGTAAGTGTTATATTTATTTCATTTGATATTATTCAGTCATCTTATTAAAATTATTTCGATAGGTATAAAAGATGCTAATTGTAATGTGTTTATCATAGATATAGTACTTCATTATGGAAATATACTATTTATGGTAATACTTAAAATATACTCGCGTACTCAAAAATAGATCTTTCTTTATAAAGATTCATATATATTTATTTTTTCATTTAGAGACACAGTTCTATTAAAGTTTGATCTTTTTCACTAGTTTTTAACCTATAGGGTAGGCTTAATAACATAAACTTTGCATTATTTTTATAAACTTTTTTTTCCATTTTTTAAATTATAACTTCAAATTTAATTTCTAATTTATCTTAGATGTGCTAGTTATGGATTGTATTGGAAGTCCATATTAATTATTAAATTGAGGTTCATTATGAAAAAAGTTGTTTAAAAAAAATTATGTGATTTTATATATTGTCACCTTAAAATACCAATGTTTTCAGCTAAAATGACTTCATATAAACTATCAGAAAACTTTTATTTCTTGTTTTTCTATGACCTGAGAGGTATTATAATAAAAATAATTACCTAAATACAGTTTTTATTTTATAAAATAAAATGGTAAAAATAATGATTTTTTCATATAGTTATGATAATGATAATAATAATAATAATAATGATTTTAAGTGATAAGGGAATTGTGATTTTTACTAAGATCTCCATTATAGGAATTAATTCGTGTTTATAAGTGATGAATTAAATGTTCCTGATCATAATATTTACGTTTTCATGAATATCATTGAAGAAATCAAAATGTTTTTTATTTTAAACGTTAATATCAGAACTAGAAATGATATTATGAAACATTTATTTTGTAAAACTACAATTATATTCACAACTGCATATCAATAGCAATTTAGCAGTTTGATTTCATGAAGGTATTTTGGGGATTTGTCCTTGTTTACACAAGTAGTAGAATTTATTTGCCAGTTTGTTCATTTGAACAGTTTTGTGGACAGTATAAATTAAGCTGAAATACAATACAGACTAACAACATACATGGGACTTAATGTCAGAGCTAAAACCATTCGAAAATCCAGAGGTATTTGCCAAGGGTAAAGGTCAGACAGCCATTTCTATATATAAGAAACTTTTTTCTCAAAAAATACCAACATTTGACTACTGATGATTGGAGGGGAGTTGTGTTATAAGACAAAACAAAATTAAACCACATTGGGTCAGATGGATGAAAGTGCATGTGTAAAAATCTGGAGAACTCCTAACTAACTGGGTTCAACCAAATCCAAAATTTGGCGGTGGCAGTATTGTGATCTGGGGGTATATAAAGGACCAAAACGTGGGACGTGAGTGCTTGAATAGACTGGGGGGAGAGAGGGAGAATGAATACTGATTGCTATCGAACAATTTTATAGTAGTTTACTGTTGATATTGCCCATTATATATACTGTTTTTTACTTTATTTTCAGGTTCGGGAAAATTATGTTAATTTCTTCAAAGATTTATTAAACAAAAATCTTGATAAATGTAACATTGTCGATCCTCCTAAAAACAGCATTGAAGAGGATGATGTTAAAACTATTAGTGCTGACCTAGAATATAATGTTTTCACCAGTTCTAAGTCAATTACTGTTTATAGAAGAAATATTTCTAAATTGGTGTGTTTATTTATAATTATTTAATATTATTCATCATTATTTGAAATTAAGGATAAGCATTAAGTTAGTTAAAATTTCATTTTATCTATTTAAATATGAAATCATATGCTGAACTTTAAAATTTTGTAAAGAAATATTTATTGCTTTAGTCCCAAACTAAAACAATCATACCAGATAATTTTTTTTTCTCAGAAATAATAGCTTTGATTTCTTCTTGTAGAATATTTCATGAATGATCTTTTGTTATTCAATTCAAATTTTAACTTTCATTTTTCATGTAAAAAAAAGTTTCTGATCAACAGCTGATGTATATTATTTCTGTATTAATGCAACAATCATTGATTATTTATTTACTTCAGGTTATGATTTATTTGTGAGATTTAGGCATTTTTATATCCATTTTAGTTTAATTATTTCTTTTTAAATATATTTCATTATAGTTTGATTTAGTTTGCAGATATACGGAAGTGTACTGATGGAATGACATTATATTCTAATTTAAAAGATTTTGAAAGGGATATTAATAGTTTAGGTTTAAGCAAGATGCTGGATCATATAAAAGTTGAGAATAAGAAAAGAATGTCTATAATAGATGTCAGTGATACAATGAAACAAGAGCAAAGTTCAACAAAGAGCTCTTTGAGTAGTGAAGAAGATTCTGAAATGGAAAAACATGATAACTCTGAAAGCAGTGAAAAGTACTCATCATCTATTGAAATAGAAAATAAAGATGTTGAGGATTCTCATGAAACTAAAGGAATTAAAAGGTTTTCTACTAGCGATGAAAATGAATTACGAAAACCTCTTAGTTGTCCAGCAGTGTCTGAAAAATATTCCCCTCGTATTGATGATGATTCTGAACCTGAAGTTGAAAATCAGCATTTAAAATTTTTAATACATCCTAAATTATTGAAAAATAATGTTTCCAGAGAATATACAAGTAATGAAGATAGTTTAGACAAAAAAGTTTCCAATAATTTGAATGAAAGTGTTGAAACTACTAATATATATAATGAGTTTCTGAAAGTGAACAACCAAACTATCCTCGACTTTTCATTTGATGCAAATCAAGTTTCTGATACAACAAGTGCTTCTTCAGAACCTCAAATAGTTCCACCTCCCGTAGTGAGTGAGGTAAATAGCTCTAATGATTTTAAAATCAGCGCTCCTAATGGAGCAGTTCATAATGTTACATTAAAACGGAAATATGATGATTTATTTGGAAGTAGTCCTGATCATAGTACTAAAAAAGTGACTAAAAAGATGCAGAATCAAGAAACTATTTCTAAACAGAAACTTGCTGAAGCTGCTTCAAGAGGCCGCTATAGAGAAAAGAAAGTAGTCAGTGATACTGTTGTTAAACACCTAATGCCTTATTATAAAGCTAAAAAGATATGTTCTAGGGATACTTTTAAATTGTTGGCACGAAAAATAGTTCATAAGCTGGTATCAGATCAAGCTGAATTAGGTAAGTTCATTTATAATATTTTGTTATTGATTTATACATGTATATTTATGTGTGTGTGTATTTATTAAAACTGATATTATTCCAGGTGAAAAGGAAATAAAAAATTATGTTGTGAAGATTTATAAAACTGGGCTTTTTAATAAGAATTCTGATGAGTTGGAAAACACTGTCATATGAACTTCCATAATTTTAATTTTAATTACTTGCTTTTTATAGATACACGACACATCTGACTTTTAAAAGTACTTTTTAACCTGTTTGAAGCAAAATTGTGTTTTCACAGTTAACTGTTAATATAAATAATTAATAGTTAGTAAATAATTCATCCCACATAAGAACCTATACATATTTAAAACCATATTAATATCATTGTTTATGTGGTTATAATAGGAAATAGCAAACGTTAAACATAAAATATTACATGTTTGTTGCATGGACATTTATTAAGAAAAAGTTATTGGAACTTTTTCTCAGACCTTATGAAAGCGAAAAATTTGCTTACATATAATGTATATGTTTTCAGAATATGGGAATAACACCATTTTCTGTTATGTAATATAGAAAATCCAATGTTTAAATTAGAAAAAAATTGATAATTTTTTTTTAATTACTGTTTTAAAACTAAAATTGTGTGTAATTATACATGAGTACTTATTCTATGTTTTCTCACATAAATACCATAATATTATCGAACTTTGTAAACAAAATACTTTTTAAAAAGTGAATATTTTTGTTTTTATGATTAATGCTTGAACTAGTTGAGTTGAGTACAAATTATTTTTATTTATTTGCTTGTAGTTTTTATTTAATCTTTAATGTTATCTCTTAGGTTCAATATTAAAGCCATTTGATTAGAGCTCTATTTACTAATTGGCACAGTTTATTATCTGTATTATACTACAATAAAAACTAAAAACACCTTTTACTTCTTTTTGAATGAAATGCCACTGAATAAATAAATTATATTAGTATTGAAAAAAAAACTATTTATTTAATAGAGGGAGAGGAGGAGTTGAAGATGTGCTCGCACAGACACATGGGTTTTTCAAAATTAACCAATAAATTCATTATTAATAATCTTGTGAAACTGACACATGGTAGAAAATAGATCATTAAATTGATGTTTATTTGAAACAAATACATAACTGCAAAATCATTAGTAAAATGGAACTTTGTAAGGAAGAGATTATTGTCCCAAAATAACAATATGTTTTAATTATTCATCACATCCTGATTTTGATGAATCTTGTTATTTAATTATGTACTTTTATTTCTTATTGGATGCCTTATTTTAGTTTTAAATCAATGTTTCTTTTTGGTGAGATAGATGGTTCACTAAAACTCTGGAAAGAGAATCTATTGTAATAAAACTTGGTACATCTTTTCGTTAACAGAATATTTTTGTGGTAAATTGTCCTTTTCCCCGTGTGCATATAGAGAGTTTAGTGCCAATTATCAATCTCTGAGGTGGTTTTGTCAAGACAGAATAATCACAACTGTCTAGAATCAGAGTACTTTGATAAAGTATGTATAAAGGATAAGGGCCAATAAAAACTGCTTATAGAAACTATTCAATCAATGTTGTAAAGACAAGGAAGTTTAGACCGGTAATGTAACTCCAGGCAATCCATCAGGAAGGCTCTACACATTAATGAAAGCCTCAAAAGAGGATAACAAATCACAAGGAAGGACAAAAAAATGATGGATAGTTCTAGTCAACAAAGATGCAATATAGTCATGGTAAAGACTTCTACTTATCAAATTATTAATACCCATCCAAAACTTCATGATTGGCTTCCTCTAATCTTAATTTACTACATTTTTATCTACGCAATTCTCCAAAATGGAGTGTTTTCCTAACAAAATAATTAATTTAATAAAGTACTAAAAACTCGTGAATGTCCGTCTGATAATTCGATCACAAAATCGATAAAAAATGCAGCCTTAAAAAATATTGGGTTGTTTGGAAATTTTATGAAAATCGGATGAATGTAGGTAGGTGATGTGCCCGTCACATTGATTTAACTACAGACTTACAAAAAGAAAAGTGTATGTTCTTTGCAACCATTAAATTTATATCATTGGAATACATTGAGATATTCGGGTTTAATTATGGTGATTATTGGTTGGACATCTTCATGTCGACATCTAATTCGTTCATGAGCAAACCAGGCATATTTGACTGCAGCCCAGTTGCGTTTAGCCAGGCAATATATATGAATCTGTTTTCTGGTGTCATGTGTTCAGCAACATAAGTCCTTTCATCTCTTCCCCAACCAAGATTTCTTATGAAGTATCGTTTTATCTTTCGGAAAGAGGTTACGATCGATCTGACAGAGGGTGCGCTCTGTTATTGTCGGTGGACAAGGATCTTTTCTTCTCTCCACTACATCTAATTGTTTGGTACTGGGCTTAATGCCCAGAGCTGCACCAACTAAACAGATCACATCAGGAGTTTCTTCTGATTTCCAATGATTGAGAAAGATGAGCCTGCTCCGTATGATTAATCCCTCTCTCCATTGTCTTTATTTTTGTTTTTAAAGTAGTAATTTTTCTGTATTTTCATCTTGCCTTTTGACCTTTTCTCTAAAGTTTTCAAAAAAATTATTCCCATGTTTATTTAGGATAGTTTTACTACTTTTGATGTCGTCAATGATTTTCGCAACTTCGGCAAGTATTGCTGCAATATTTTTTTCATACTTTTACTTAATATTGCTTCTTCGCAATCGATTTCGCCGAACTCTCACAGGAAATACAGACCCATTGGTTATTTTTCAGTAGCTTGACTTCGTTCCACTAGCAGATCCAGCCGGGGGGCTCGCGCCCTCCTTCCCCCTAGAGGCTGGAAAAAAGTTCCAAAAAACAGCTATTTAAAGAAAAGAGAAATATAGGGAAAATCCATCCTCATAGACGATGAATTTCGTAATCTAATATAAAAAAATTATTATCGTGTCAAGCACTTGCGAATTTTGTCAGGGAACATGCACTCCCTTGGGTGGTGGAAACAATTCCGAAAAAAACACCTATATAAAGAAAAAAGAAATATAGAGAAAATTTATCCTCGTACAGGAATTTCCTAATGTAATATAGAAAAAAAATTATTATCCTAACCAGGACTAACGAATTCTGCCAGGGGGCGCGCCCTCCCTTGTATGGTGAAAAAAAATGACGAAAATACACCTTTTTAAAGGAAAGAGAAATGTAGGAAAAATTTATCCTCATACACGAATTTCCTAATGTTATATAAAAAGAAAATTACTATCGTGAACAGCACTAGCGAATTCTGCCAGGGGGCGCAGCCTTCCTTGGATGGTAAAAAAAATTCCGAAAAAACACCTATTTAAAGAAATTATAAATAAAGGAAAAATGCATCCTCATAGCCGGATTTCCTAATGTAATATAAAAAAAAAAGTTATTATCTTGACCAGCACTAGTGATTTCTTCCAGGGTGCGCGTCTCACTCTGGATGTTAGAAAAATAATGCCGAAAAAAAAGATCCAAAAAAACACATATTTAAAGAAAAAAGAGATGGAGTTTTTGGGCTGCCGTGAGATGCGAATGCTTTTGTTCCTATTGATTCCGAACTGAGTCACCCATTTGAAATACATAATGGAAGAAAATTTATTTTTAAAAAAAACTTCATTTATTCTGTCGTACCTCCTTTTATTCGAGCACAAGAAAATAGGAATTTTCTTCCGGATCCTAAGGCACCTGAAGGTGGCCAACTTCAAATCCCAATCCTTCAACTCCTACTTTACTTCCCTCTCTTCTCATGACAATTCCCCTATGGAAGATCATTAAACAAATCCTAAAACCCCATCATATATCACATCCCCTCCGTCGAGGTGATGGCTCTTAGGCAGCGTCTGACGAAGATAGATCCGAGGAATTCGTTAGACACCTTTCCCTTACATTCACCTCTCATCCGGAATCCAAGCCCACCCACACGTTAGCAGTAGAAGAATTCCTTAATTCACCCATCCCACTGTCCTTACCGCCTAAAGCAGTTAATCCTTCTGAGGTCAAATACCACTTACAAAAACTACCTACCCGCAAATCACCTGGATATGAGCTCCTTACTTCTCAGATCCTTAGACAACACCCTCCTAAAGCTGTCATATTCCTTACATACTTATACAATAGCATCTTACGAACCACCCACTTTCCTATTTTATGGAAACATTCTACTATTATCCTATTTCCAAAATCATGCAAACCTCCCAATCCAGATTGTAAATTTTGTATATAGGTATGTATGTGTTCTTTTTATTTATTTATTTTTAGGTTATTTTATTCTTATTTATTGTACATAGAGTGTGAATGTGATCTCTGAACACTACTATAAATGTCCTTGAGACAGATTGTAATATTTTTCAATAAATAAGTTAAGCAGAAAAAAAAAGATAACTCATTTTCAAACTGCAGGGCCATTTACAGTAATGTTTCTCAGATGTAAACAATATCGATAAAAAATAACGTTCATTGACCGTGGTTATCGACCATATCACTTAATCAAATTATTAAGTTTAGGTACTCGTTCAACGAACAATTTGACGTTTTTTTAATTTTTAAAAGAATACGTTTTTCGCTTTAATGCACTGTTTAGTAGTAATACATGATAAAAAAAGATCAGATAAATCTGAAATTTTCGGCTGTAAAAGGTTTTCTCTTGATTAACCGTGTTAGTAATTTAGTTTTTTAAATGTTTAAACCCATATACAGGGTGTCTCGTAAATAGAGGAAAATATTTAAAGGAGTGATAGCAAAACTCAATAAATACAAAAAAGTTTATATAAACAATGGTTCGATTTTTATCAGGACAGTAGGGAATTAAAGTTTTGTGATTTTTATGTCACGTTTTTTGTTGAATAGGATGTGATAAAAACATTAATATTTTATTAGAAATTGCAAATGACTAGACTCTATTGAGAATTCTAGTGGAGCGTACCTAAAGTAGGAACAATCAGTTGATCTTCGTTCCTTATTTACAACTAACGTGTTATACATCGTAAGAAAACATTTTTTTTTTTCTTTAAGCAGTTTGTAAAGTTAATTGAAACAAAAAAATACTTCCTCTTACTATGTATTTCATACAGGTAAGTGAATGTAAAAAAAAATTTGCAGAGATAACTAGTATACACTTATTCTAAAAGTCGAAAGAAGTGTAAATAAATGTTTCGGCTGTAAACTTTAAGAAAATATGAGAAGTGAGATTCACACTCGTTGTCGAATTGTCGAGAAGGGATGTATAGTGGCTTCATCTCCAACGGTTATCTGCCGAAGTTTGAACTAAAGTACCGGAAGTGTAAACAAGGACGAGAGATATATTACTCATAAATATTATGGATAATTAAATAAATAAAGAAATATTTGTTTTATATAACTTAATTACTGAATAAGTGGTTTACAGAATATTTTAAAACTTATTAATTATCCTTTATTTATTATAGGTTGTGTTTGTTCTTTTTAACCATATTGCTTTATCTTTTAACAAAATCTTACTTCAAAAAAGTACTTGGATTTCCATGGTTGAAAAAAAAGAGTAACTTTAAGTAAATAACTTTTTCAAACCTATTGTCTCATGATTTTCAGGATCCAAGGTCAATAAAACTACCAGGTTCGCTCACTCAGAAATGCGTGGTGGGGAAACTTGAAACGTGACGTAAGGAATAGACTGTCAGACCTACCTATAACTCTTTCAAGTCTATCAATGAAGGCTCATTTCAACATTATTGTGTTTTTTTTTTTTGTTTTCTTGTTTAATTTCATGAGAAGAATACTTTTCTGTGTTTTGACGTTTGATTGAAGATAATTTCAAGTAGATAAATAAATAAATAAATATGGCTATTAATCTAGAATAAAATGCTATGAAAATTACAGCCCAGGCCTGAAATGAAAAGAACGAAATTGATATTAAGATTATTTGTAAATTCTTTTTTTCAAAATCTCTGTAAATAATATATAAATATATTACATAAATAGAAAAACTAAGATTTTTATTTATTTAGAGAAAATTTTAGAACAAGGTCTGTGTAATTTTGTTTGTAGATGTGAAGATCTTTGTCAGGATTTGTAGTCAAAATTTCTTTAAATAAATATTTTTAATTTAAAAAATAAAGAAATTTTACTGCAAATCCTGATAATTTATTTTCACCTTATAATCTTAAATCTTAACAGTCAACTACTTATCCGTCTCTAAAATAATATTATAATGAGT